GGGAGGGTGATGGGGACGCCGTGGGCTTTTCAGAGTTGAGGAGTTTTACTTGTTTCTTGTTGTGTTTGGCTTTTCAATTGGTTTACTTGTTTGGGCTGTATGGCCGTTACGGGATACACTGGGGGCTTCTCAGCAATGGAGTTTAACGTTCTGGATTGGGATTACATGGGGTTTAGACCGGCGGTTCAACTCATGCAATGAGAAATGGATAGACTCGGTCAATCCAATGCCTGCAGATTGAAAATTTGGCTGGTGGGACACGGCTAGCATCGCTTATAGCTCGTGGCTAACGAGGCAGAAAACGGAGCGAGACCTCGGCAAATGGGGCCCGTACGCATAGAGATCGCCAATGCAGTTTGCAACCAGCTGTGACCGCGGAAAGTCGGTTCGGCAGTGGGATCTTGCATAACCATGATCGGGACGCAGATACATAACCATCTGGCTTGTCCTTTACCAATCAACCGTTATCAGGTGGTTTTGAAGAACAGAAGGAAGTATGGAAATAAGGCTTAGATAGTTAATGACAAAAATATGGTCTCAGTATCATCGATGGCATAAATAAGAGCAATTGCACATGTGAAATACCTACCAAGAGCTGATATCTAGTTTGATGCCCTACTTTGATGCTATTTGCCCTATTCAACCACCAACTTGGTGCGGCATCCGGCTAAGGGCAGCTCGGGTCAAACTTTGTCCGAGAGATTTCTGGGTCGGTGCCGGCGAAACCCGGAGACCGACATTCTGCCGTTGCAGGATATCCCTAACTAAAGTGGTCGAATCACAAGAAAGCAGGAGATAGCTCTGTCTCGAATAATCATCACCTGCGCATCATCCCTATCCTGGGTTGTCAACCATCAACGTTTCTCCCTTCCGACGGTGCTTCCTTTCCCTTTTTTCCTTTTCAGACACCACACAGCCTGCAGCCATGTTCCGTCTTGGTAGCAGCCGCGCTCTTGCTTCGGCGTTGAACGCCACCAAGGTACGTTTTTACCCCCCTTGCTGCACCTCGACGTCACTGCTACGACCTTTCGAAGCTACAATGGAAAGCCTATGTGGTGTCTACATCAAGCTCTCGTTTCTAACAACCTTGTGCAGCTCGCCCCCTCTGTCAGACTGCCCGGTGTCGCACAGCAACGCAGAGCTCTGAGTATCCACGAGTACCTTTCCGCCGACCTCCTGAAAAAGGTAACGCCAACATGCCACATCCGCAGGCCATAATCGCACCACAGAGAAAACTAATACGGACGGTCATCTACAGTATGGAGTTGGTGTTCCCAAGGGCGCTGTCGCCAAGAATGCCGCCGAGGCTAAGGCCGTAGCGAAGGAGATTGGAACTGAGGACATGGTCATCAAGGCCCAGGTCCTGGCTGGTGGCCGTGGTAAGGGCACCTTCGACAACGGTCTCAAGGGCGGTGTCCGTGTCATCTACTCTCCTCACGAGGCCGAGATGTTCGCCGAGCAGATGATTGGCCACAAGCTCATCACCAAGCAGACCGGCGCCCAGGGCCGCATGTGCAACAGCGTCTACATCTGCGAGCGCAAGTTCGCCCGCCGCGAGTTCTACCTGGCTATCCTCATGGACCGTGCTACCCAGACCCCCGTGATCGTCTCGTCTTCCCAAGGAGGTATGGACATTGAGACCGTTGCCAAGGAGACCCCCGACGCCATCAACACCACCTACATCGATATCAACGTTGGAGTCACTGATGAGATGGCCCGTGACATCGCCACGAAGCTGGGCTTCAGCGAGCAGTGCATCGAGGATGCCAAGGACACCATCCAGCGCCTTTACAAGATCTTCCGTGAGAAGGACTCCACCCAGATCGAAATTAACCCCCTTTCCGAGACCTCTGACCACCAGGTCCTGTGCATGGATGCCAAGTTCGGTTTCGACGACAACGCCGAATTCCGCCAGAAGGACGTCTTTGAGTGGCGCGACACCTCCCAGGAGGATGCCGACGAGGTCCGTGCCGCTCAGTCCGGCCTGAACTTCATCAAGCTCGACGGTGACATTGGCTGCCTTGTCAACGGTGCCGGTCTTGCCATGGCTACCATGGACATCATTAAGCTGAACGGCGGTCAGCCCGCTAACTTCCTGGACGTCGGAGGTGGTGCCACCCCTGCCGCCATCAAGGAGGCCTTCGAGCTCATCACCAGCGACTCCAAGGTCACCGCCATCTTCGTCAACATCTTCGGCGGTATCGTCCGCTGCGACCACATCGCCATGGGTCTCATCCAGACCGTCGAGGCCCTCAACCTCAAGATCCCCATCATTGCCCGTCTCCAGGGCACCAACGTCGAGCAGGCCCACCAACTCATCAACGAGTCAGGCATGAAGATCTTCTCCATCGACGATCTCCAGAGCGCCTCTGAAAAGGCCGTTCAACTGTCAAAGATGGTCAAGCTTGGTAAGTAGACCCTTGATCCCGTCCCCACAAAAACCTTCCGATTTCCCCTGGTTCCCGTTTCTGATGTGGATATTCGTGTAGCTCGTGACATTGATGTCGGTGTCGAATTCACTCTGGGTATTTAATTTTAAACATAGACGGGGCTGGCTGCGTTTTCCGGTACATATAATATTTTGTCATGGTGAAAGGGCAGGCAGGTATGGGCGGTATAAGTAAAGGCTTCAGGGAAACGGATCGATACAGTTTCTGCTCTTCTGTTGTGTTGTCTCTTTTCCTGTAATAGCATCTTCTTCAACTGCATGTTAATGCCAACGGACGGTTGGCAAAGGGCCATCGCTTAGACTCCAGTTCGTCTTTCCTTGCCATAACCCCATGTGTTGTTCCATAGCTCGACAAGGCTTCGGTAACAAGTGAAGGTGGACACTCAAGGCGAAGGAGTACTGATGATGGCTGATGGAGCATTGGGAGTCAGTGAGCAGTCTCGTTGGGCACAGTCGTGTTTGCCTGAATAAGGGCAGGGCTAAGAAGCTGGGCTAACCCGGGCCAACCCGAGAAGGTCAGGGAACGTGTCAGAACTCGCACGTCATGGAGCACATATCTAAAGGCCCGCAGCGGTTGGGAGATGGGTTCGGGGGTGGTGCAGACGGAGCACATTCTCAGGGCGGTCCTAGGAGCGGTCTCGAAGGCAAAGCAGAGGCCATGGCATTCCGGTTAGCCGTGTCTGCCATCCAATCAGGGACACCTGTCGCAGATAACTCGGGAAGTCCGCAAAAAAAAAAAGTGAGGCCGCTGCCATGCCTGTTCGCGCGAGAAGGAAAACCGGCATAAACACGACCCTATTGAGAGAGAGGAGGATATTGGAGACCCACTGGCCCGTCGATATCGGTATCAGACGGCGTCTAACTGATATCAAAGACGTAATTAGGTGTTGGGCCTTTGGACCCATGTAGGCTCCTTCTATCAGCGTGGTCAAGGACCTAGGGGTGAGGAAATGGAGACTCGCGAGCGATGAGGCGCTTCGAGGGCAGCAGGTTCCTCTCACATCACGAGATCAGTGGGCTGCAGATGAGTGTGCTCCTGAGAAATCATAAATCGAGTGCTGATTGGGCGCTGGGCTACTGCACAGAAGCTTAGAAGAAGGCAAAAAGAAGTTCACTGATGTTCGTTGAGGGAGGCAAAGGCTCTAATAGCCGAGCGAGGGACCAAGAAGTAGGGCCCGTTATAGTGGATGCCGGGAGAGCTCCGATCCTCCGAGACGGCAGACCCATGCACGAAATACGGCTTACGGCTCAAAGCTGCAAGAAGGGTCCCATATAAGTGTCGTGACTTTGAGATGAATAAGTTTGGCTGAGGGCATCTCCGATGTGTCCGAGCGGAAAGACGAGCAATCTTCGCTTCTAAACCGCCTCACGGCAGCATGTTGCAGGTTGAAGAAGCAGTTGGGAGGAAGGCGCTGTATCTCAAGCAGTTCGCGATTCCAGGTCTGAGGCAGCTAGCAGCCATGGACGTATTAAACGGAACCTGGAAAATGCACTTCCAGAAGTCGCAGGTAGTGGCTGTAACTGTGGCTTGGTCACAGCTAGCGCCACAGTAAATTTTTCTGTTGCAGACTCAAGCTGTGGCTCAACACCATTGCTTACCTCGGGTAGCAGTCGGTAATTAACTGGTGATACCCGTTTTGGGTAACTAATCTTTAAATGGCCGCCACCTTTATTTACGGTGCCTGTCCTGTGCGTTGCCTTTACCCTACCTACCTACCTTGCCAATGCCATGTCATGCACGAAGCTGCCACACACCTCCTTCATGTCAAACATGGATAGGAAATCTTTCTCCTTTGTTGTACTCGATCCCCACCGTGCGGTCCAGCCGCTCCAGGGCCTGGTTGGCTAGGCCCTTGCTTAGATCCCGTCACAGCTCCGAGAAGTCTTGAGCTATAAGTATGAGCCAGTGCCCTCGACCTGACCTCTGTCAGGTGGTGGCACCCATACACCCTTAGACCTGCTCTGTCGACTTCCTCGACGTTCTTTCCCAGTCGAAGGCAGACGTCTTACACACTCACTCACCTGGATCTACTGTTGCAGTCTTTCTGTCTCTCAACACCAGGACCCTTACTACAGAATGCCTTCTTCGTCACTCAAGAATTGGTTCGCCCGCCACTGCACCCCTCCTCCTCCGCTCAACACGAACCCGATATGCCCGTGTCAGGCTTGCTTCTCTGGTGGTTCATGCAGTAGCTCATTCCGGTCAAAGCCCTCATCGACACCAGCCCCTCCCCAGTTCCAGGAAGCCGCTATGAATTCATCAGCAACACTAGTGAGGCGTGACACCGACACCTCATCCCTAGCAAGCTATGCAACAACAATCCAAGTCGAGGAAGCCCCCCGCCAATAGTCCACGCACAGGACAGCCACTCTTGTTTGCAAGTCGGGGACCCGGGTGAATGGAGGATGCACGAGGGAACGAGACCCAAGGGAAGAGGGGCCACGAACAGGAAGAAGCAGACACACTAGTCACGCACATCCCCTCACTGCGTGGGAATTCCCGGAACCCCGTCTTCCCCTCATGGCGCCATCATACGTGGAGGAGGTAATCATGTGAGGGAGAAAGTTCATCAAGGGCACCAAAAGGAGGGGGGGGCCTCCAATCCCCCAAGGGAAAACAAGAATGTGGCATGTTGCATTCCAATCCCAACCAACGACGGGGGTCTTGTTGGTCACTCGCCGTTTTCCCCGGGGTATGGGGTAATTGAGGGGAGGGAGGGGAAAAGCAAGGAAAGGGACTTGGGGGTGTGAGTGGCTTACACCGGCGACAGCTGGCGTAGGCATAGGGCTAATGATTCATTAGCTTGCATCAACACCACAAGGATGGCGCATATAAGCAAGCCTAAGGTGCTGGGCGGCCTCGAGCTATTGGAGGGAATTGGGCCCGTGCGGACGAGAGGAAGGGGCCTGGAAGTGAGTCTCGGTTTTTCTCTTAGGCGTTTGGGAATAGAGGCCATGGCAGACACAGAACAAGCGACAGACGAAGGTACTTTTTGACAGTTCCAGCGTCCCTATCAGGCTAACACCGCACGGCCGCTGGTCCTTGGATCCATATTTTGAGTCGCAACCCAAAGTGCGATCGGCCATGCGTCTGAAACTGTTGTTTATGGGGCGAGATTGGGCCAGGAGCCACTAAAACCGCCCTCTCCAACGGGTGCAGAACTGAGGCCTCGGTGGGCACCTCCAGGGACCGGAGAGCTTATTTTGACTCGCACGAGCTCCCAGCTGTCCGCACTGTATTATACATCCATTGGCACATTGAGCACATACATTGTATATAGTAGCTATATCCTGAAGATTCCCATATGCGCGATACAATTTTATCAGCGCCTTGAATGCCTAGAAATGTATGTCAACGTCGTGACCGCATGTTACAAACAAGCGAGGAGGATATGCTTGAGTTTCTTCATACCGCCAGCGTCGGTAGAAGAGGGTGTTTGAAGTTTGCCCATATGAGTCTTCTAAGCTCAACGATAACCCGAATTTATACACCTTCTCGAGCCTTATTGGCAGATGGGTAGGTTACAGCACATAGACAAGAGATTCCATGGAACCCTAATTAAGCTTATATATCTTTAGATTAATCCGCGCATTTGAGCGGGGGTGGGCATATGAAATGTAGCGAATGAATTCAGTCTAGCCCATCCATGTGTTGTTGACGCTTGCCGCGTTGGAAGCATATAAACAACACATCAACCATCCAGTCTCCCTGCGGGCAGGCTTGCAGTACTGAGAATACTTAGCATAATGATACACTCCGCTGATGAGAGGGAGAAGAAAGAAGAATGATTGAAAGAGCTAGAATCTCAGAAGAAAGAAAGAAAGGGAAAGGGAGCCCATGGAGTGTCATCTGCAGCCCCTATCACAGCATTGTTCGGCCAATCGCGGAATTCATATCAGATTGCGGCTCTCGCTCTACCTTTAGAATAAGTGTATTGATGTGGGGGTTCAAGCCCGACCGCGTGAACAAGGTCACATCCTAGCCCTAGCCTGCTCTTAAGAGACTGTAGGTATCGGGATTGCTGTTATTTCAGTGTTCGTACTGTCACCAACTACTTGCCCACCACACTGGAGCAGTCGCTCACCGACCCGTCAGTCCACAAACCCACCTATGATTGCTTGTCGGCAGGCGTTTGAGTATCTGCTCAAGTATGCACCGCACAGACCAAACAGGTAAGAAATACTTGGCGGGGTGTGATGGAGGTTGCTAATAAGCAAAGCGCCACTTGACGCAAGCTGGAGCCTCTCGGCACGATGTCGCCCATAATTGGGGCTTATCGATAAGCAGGCGGTCGTGTGCCGCCGCCCACCTCCGCGGCAAGGACCCATGAATCAATGACGAGCCAGATGCCGATAGCAAATGGACCGTCTTCGCACACATTCCTAATCACTCGAAACGCCTCGCACAAATAACCGAGAACAGCGTGCTAGGTCCCGCGCCTCGTTCCGCATCTCATATCATCTACGCGCGTCCATCGCAGGATACCTCACCATGGGCGCAAATGGGAGCAAAGTCACCGCCCAGGACAAGTGAGTGCGACTAGCCCGGGGGGGCTCTGAGACAACTTAGGATACCACAGACCTGTCCCCCTCGCCTTCTCTATCTACTTGCTTCCGTCTCTGACACTTAATAGGGCGATCCTGAACATGAAGAATCAGCGCGACAAATTGCATCAATACCAACGGCGCATCACCGTATTGACCGATAAGGAGACGGACATTGCTAGGGAGATGCTCGCCAAGGGCGATAAAGAGCGCGCTCTTTTGGCTCTACGGCGCAAGAAATACCAACAAAGCCTGCTTTCCCAGACGGACTCGCAACTCGAGCAGCTAGAAAAGCTGACATCCAACGTTGAGTTTGCGCTCATCCAGAAAGATGTGTTATTCGGCCTGCAACAGGGCACCAGGGTGCTCAACGATATTCACAAGGAGATGGGTGGCATAGAGAATGTGGAAAAGCTCATGGGCGAAAGCGCCGATGCCATCGCATATCAACAGGTACGGCTCCGCATTGGATCCTTCCCAGACATAGGTCAACCTCCCCAAGGCTTGAAGACTAATACGTTTGGTCTTTCCACGGTATACAGGAAATTAGCGATATGCTCGGCGGTCGCATATCTGCACATGACGAGGACGAGGTAGAAGAAGAACTAGAAGCTCTCGAGAGAGAAGTGACGGGCAAAATATCACAAAAACTCCCAGCGGGCCCCGAAACGACACTGCCGGATCTCCAGCCCGTACCGAATCACGAGCCAGTTCATTCTGCGGCTGAGCAACCGCAAAAGCACAAACTTGAGGCGATCCCGGCATCTTGAGATATCCATATTCGGATTTCCGTTTCCTGTTTACATGCACGGAGCTTGTCCAACATTGCCTGATGATGATAACGAGTTCGGTCCATCCTGATCATTAGAAAGCTAACACTGTAGTGGCGTTAAGGCATGCATATTTCTCGAGTTACTTTAGATATGTCTATTCTACTTTCCCTGCGCCTGGGTAGGTGCCTGCTCAAGGAGCAAACTCTGCTTTCTATAATACAACCCATTGGTGGAAGGCTCCTTCCAAGGGATTAAACTTAATCATTGTGTGTTCCTGGCTGGGGGCGAGTACAAAGGTGGTGTATTCTCTCCTCATTGCAAACTGGTCGCCTTTTACGTTACTTCGATATTGTTCCATGAGCATATATATTCAGCAAAGTTATTTGATTTCTTATCCCATTGGTCATGGACAACACAATCACCCCACGCCTTGCTGACCCAGCTATTATTGCAACTGCCGGGCCGAAGCCGGACCAAACCATCTATATGTACCCCCTTAAACAATCGGGATATCAAGATTCGTTTAAGTTATATGCCAACTTTGGGGAGGGCCCCGTTGGTCTTCTGGTCAAGACAGGCTTCGGGTGACACGCGAAAGCCAAGTTCAGAAGTATGTGACGCTAAGAGCTCTGACTCCATCCATATTCGATGAAGGAAATATAGATACGACGTCTATCCAACTCGCCCTCGTTTGCTGATCCAACAAATACTCTTTCGGCAGGAGAGCATGAATCGCTAATTGCCATCAATAAAGCCCTCAGAGGGTTTGCCCCGTACTCATTCGGCTACGGCCGCATGGCAGGAGACGAGGACGAATTCTTCATCATAACCGAACTCTTGAATGTGGTGTTGGACGGTCCACTTGCTACACTCGGCCAAAGACTTAGTAGAATGCACTCCCAGCCGGCTCCAATCCACCCAGTCTTCGAGAAACCTGCGTATGGGTTTCCCGTAACCACCTTCTGTGGCGAGATACCACAGGATAATACATGGAAAGCCTCATGGCCCCAATTTTACGTGGAGAATCGCCTCCGCCCGATTTGCCGTCGTATTCAAAGGCCAAGGAAGCACGATTCCGAGCTTGAACAACAACTCGAAAGGGTGATCAAGGACGTGGAGCCAGAATTATGTGGAAGAATGCACCCTAAAAGTCTTGCTCCCTCGCTACTCCACGGGAACCTCTTATACTCGAGACGTTCTCGAGGTCAATTCTTTTCTTTGGATAACGATGTTGAGGAAGAGGTCATTCTTGAGCCTGCATGTTTCTACGGACACAGGGAATACGAGCTCGGCGCGACGAGGGTGTATGGGTTTCCACCCGCGTTCTTTGAAGAACATCACAATCACTCGCCCAGGAATGATCCCAAGGAGGGCTGGCACTGGAGAGTGCTGCTCTACGAATTGTATGGACTCATTCAATTACCCTCCATTGTGGGCCTATCAGTCTACCTCGACAACTTCCGATTAACTAATGGCATACAGATATCACCGTCTCGTTGTTTACGCCACGCAGGGACCTGGCTATCGCGATCCAGCCATGTCCATTATGAGAATGCTCCTAATCAAGTTTAGCACTCCTGATTAGGCGGGCATGAAACACTCGTATACAGTATATAGAAACATGATTATTGTTGTCAAATACGCAGAATAACCACACAGGAGCCACAACAGAAAGAGAGTGTAAAACCAGGAGGTTACCTTATCTCTAAGTCCGTGCATTATAGTATTGAGTAGCGATAAGAAGCTCCTAGGTTCGAGGTGCGCAGAAAATAACCTTCAACTAGTAAAATGAACGAATCTCACCCAAAGAAGATCGTGGAAGTGAAAATACGAACTGGAAATGTGTTTACATCTTCGGAGTACGCACACTAAAGCTCTTTTCGCGTAAGGCAGGGACCTCGTTTTTAACTTTACATAATAAGAAGAGAATAATAAACTATTCTATGATATTTAGCTTGATATTGTATTTAGTACTAGGTTGATTGTTCTGATACTGTATTGAAATTCAACTGGCTTCCTTCGTCTTTGGAGAGAAGCCAATTCCGGTTCCACAATTTTAGCTCTTCTCACTGGCCGAAGAAAATCTGTTATCGATAAATCTGGTGGGGTGATACTACGGCGATTCAACTTCGTAATCTTGACTTAAAAAAAAGATACAAACGATACGTCAATAGGTCATTGCCCGCCATGGCGCCTACTGTAAGCCTCCGACAGGGCCTGGATAATGATGTCTACCAACTCATCAAGATCCTCGAAGAGAAATCGAATGACGGAAAGCCCTTCAGATCGGTTACCCACGCCTACGAAGCCGTTAAACGGTCCAACTCGTCGCTGAGTCGCAAGAAGAAGCAGGTCCTGAACGACTCAATTGACCGCGCGCTACAGGTCAGGAAGCAGGAGCTACGGGAGGACGACTCGTCGGACTCTGAGGCCGCCCTCGAGGAAGCCGACGAGGAGATTAGTAAACTCGAGGACCAGCGATTCCAGCTCAACCGCCAGATGACCAAGCTCTGGAATACGAATACAAGCTCCTCGGGCTCGCATGCGTCGAAGAAGCGCCGGATACAGGCCGAGTACGGGGACCAAAAGGCTTCACAGAGCGCTGGGGAAAATGGAGAGACGCCTACCTCTCGCGCCAATGGCGCCGCGAACGATGAGAGCGTATCGGAGCTGACGCACAAGACGCCCTCTCAAAAGAAGACGCCAAGACCTACCCGCTACAAGGTAGAGCACGTATCAGAGCCAGTCCGATTGGGAGGCCTTGACCAAATTCGAGATGGTTTACTGCTTCAGCTGGAGTCAATTTTGAAGGGCGAGCATATCTGGGGACCTAGAGAATGGGAGCAGATTCCCGGAATACTTGTTTCAGGGCCAACAGGCGTGGGAAAGACCTCCCTCGTGCGGTCGATAGCCTCGCAGCTCGAGGTACCAATTATATCCGCGGCCGAATGCTTCGACAACCAAGAGCGGATGGAGAAAAGCTTTACAGAGGCCGTAGACGAGGCCCTGCGGCTGGCTCCGTGCATAATGCTCGTCGACGACCTCGATCACTATGCTTCAAAGCCGGGCAGCGCCAAGCACGGCGACAGCCACATGCAAATGGTCAAGCTTTTCCAGCGGCAGGTGGAGAGGATGCGCAAAGAGTCTCCCAGCGACCGCCCCGTGGTGCTTATGGCGACAACGTCAAACATCACCGATCTACATTCAGAGATGACCAAGTGCGGCTGGTTCGAACAGACCATTTCAATCAAGGTCCCCGATGCCGCAACGCGCAGGGAAATATTCAACGCAGTGTTACCGAGGTCAGATACCCTCCAGGATATTGACGTTGAGAAGCTGGTAAAATACACAAATGGCTACGTAGGTAGCGATATCAAGGCACTTATTCGAGGCGCTGAACAGCGAGCCGCTATCAGAATCATTCAGATCAAGGATGAGGACCGCCTCTCCGACGAGGATGTGGCCATGGATGACAACGAAGGAGCTGGCTCTCGCATCGCAATGAAGGATTTCCTTGTCACAATTGAAGAATTCACGCCCTCACTCCGAAAAGAGGGGTTCACCGCCATCCCCAACGTCAGCTGGGACCAAGTAGGCGCCCTCAAACAAGCACGCAAGCAACTCACCACATCAATCATCGGACCCATCAAAGATCCGGAAAAGTATCTGAACTGGGGTATCAAGAAGCCGTCTGGCGTGATTCTTTGGGGACCGCCAGGTTGCGGAAAGACGTTGATCGCTCAGGCCGTCGCCAACGAAGCCCAGGCCAGTTTCATCCTCATCAGTGGGCCGGAGCTTCTCAACAAGTACGTGGGCGAGTCCGAGCGAGCGGTAAGAGAACTCTTCGAGCGTGCGCGCCTGTCAGCCCCGTGCATCCTCTTCTTCGATGAGATAGACTCGCTGGTGAGCCGCAGAGAAGGCTCCTCCTCCGAGTCGGGCGTCCGGGTGGTCAACGCCCTCCTGACCGAGCTGGACGGCGCCCGCGGCCGAAAGGGCGTGTACGTCATCGGCACCACCAATCGCCTCGACATGATTGACGAGGCGATGCTTCGTCCCGGACGTCTCAACAAGCACATCTACGTCGGCCTTCCAGACGCAGACGAGCGGGTGGATATTCTCGAAACGATCGTGAGGTCCAGCCGGCCAAACACCACACAGGCCGAGCTTGACTATCTAGCAAAGGTGGCACGGGACGTCCGATCTTCCAGGTTCAGCGGTGCCGACTTGCACGCGCTATTCGTCGAGGCGGCCGAGCATGGATTAAGCCGTTCCTATGTGGATAATGTGCTACAGTTTACCGAGGAGGACTGGGAGTATGCGCTCAATAACACAAAACCAAGCGTGCAAAACCCAATAACGTGAAGAATAATGAGACAATAGACAAAGAATAAGATAACAATACATAAACACAATAATACACTCTAACCCCTGAAAGTTTCAATCAGACAGACGAATCCCCTGCTAGCGGCGGATACCTTCCCACATTCTTCCCATTTCAATCTCTTTCCTTTATAATATAGTAAATATATAAGAAAATTCTTTTATATATATATACTATATTATTATATGGTAAGTCTTTAATATAAGAATTTTAAATCTTATAATCTTTATTTTATTTAGTATTATAGAATTGATAGAGAGGTATTCTTAGCTCTAATTTTTTTTTTCTTATTAAAGAGATCTAATTGATTTATCTTAGTGTTAGGAAGTACTAGCGATTGAATCTTTCAGGGGTTAGAGTATAGAGCAAAAATAGAGAAGAATTGAGCACAATAACTCAGCACACCTCCCCTTGAAATGGACTTAGTGAAAGGAATCACGATTAATTTGGGTACATGCGAGCAAGAGATAATAAGGCCGTTTTTATAGCATAATACACCAGCCCTCTATCCCCGGGCCTGTCTAATCAATTCAAAAGCCATAGCCAATTCAACGATCACAGCAAACTGTCTGGGTGATAGTTGCCAAAGAGGAGTTTTATGGGGTACATACACCGTTCAGGTGCTCCGACGAATCGGTCTCAAAAAAGTCTATCATACACGTTCGCCACAGTCACCAGTCTATCCGTAGCTTTTTTCTAAATCATCACCCTGTGTCGTCATAGCCACTTATTTAGTGGACTCCTTGAGGTAACTAGAAGGGAGACATGTTAGCTCGACTGTGTTATCTCACATCCGACCTCCACACCGTCCAGAGTCGTTGGCGAGTTCTGGCAAAGGGCGTAATCCGATGCATTTCCCCGAGTTCAACGTGCTGGGGTGGGTGAGTATTGGTACACCGGAGGGGCAACTTACGCAATCAGGTCGTTCCTGTCCTTCTCCTTCTTGAGACCACCGAAGGCCATCTTGGTGCCGGGGAGGTACTTCTTGGGGTTCTCGAGGTAGGCGAAGAGGGTCTTCTCGTCCCAGGTGATGCCGGCCTGCTTGTTGGCGTCGGTGTAGCTGTAGCCAGCGACGGAACCGGTCTGGCGACCGAAGAGGCCGTGCAGGAGAGGGCCGATCTTGTTGCCGCCGTCCTTCTCGACGGTGTGGCACTGAGCACAACGGGTCTTGAAGAGGTTGGCACCCTTCTTAGCGTCACCTAGAAAGCACATGTTAGCCAACTCACGTGCGAGGGCTGAGGGGAGGCGAATTCTCGAGGGGTGTGCCAGCGATGTTCGTAGAATGGTCATCGTCGAGGCTCCCTCCAGCGCTGGGGTGGGTAGAGGGCGGTGGGAAGAGCCAACACACTCTTCACAGCAGCATGTAAGATTCCTGGGCCAGGGGAAAATGGCGCAGCCCGACAGCACGCTGAGAAGCGACGGCTAGGCCAAGGAAGTCCGCCCAAGACAGATTTCCCGCATCGCATCATTCCTCGGGACCAAAGCCCACGCTGAAGCGAGCCCCCAGAACGCTGGATGAACCTCAATGGCATTCTGAACACCGGCCGGTGCACCCCCCTCGGGTGTAACCGTATTGCACTTACCGCCAGCCATTTTGAAAGATTATGGGTTGATTAAAGGTAAATGTAAGAAAAGAAGTCGTAGGCTAGGAGAAGCAATTCCAAAGAGCGATTGGCACGGTCTTTGAAAAGGAAAGGTTGGTGGTGTAGTGTAGATTGTCAGGAGAAAGGAAAAGAAAGCCGAAAAAAAAAAGCCTGTAGCGGCGCAATCAAGGAAATCATATATGACAGCATGACAACTAAGAGAGCGACTAGGGCGGTCACAAGCCACGGTGTGGCGCGTGGGTCCGTTATCAGCCAATCAAACCCGCTCAATTACAGTACCACGAGGCTAGGCGCGGTTTTGCTCCGGGCGAACTCGGGTACTTGACTTTTTTTTTTTCGGTGGTACGGAATATCTAATCTATCCGGAAAAAGCTCGGGTTCGACCCAACCTTAGGTAAGCAATTTTTTCGGGACAAAGCCCAACAGAAAAAAGTCATGCGGATAACGGCGTGATTGGAGCCAAGGTTTCTCTTGAAGAAGGGAGACATCAATTCTAGGGAGCCAATTGTCGCAATCATGGCCTCGGGAGCAGTAATCCCACGATTCCTACTCCCTCTCCAGGGACCGCTCTGGCGTGGCATCCGCATCCCGGTTACGCAAAACGTCCTTGTTCGTTTCGCATCGTCAAAGTCACCCAACAATGGCAAGCCGATTGTCCTAGAGAAGCCTCTCAAGTTCAACCCTCCCTCCCACGGGTCTCGCCTCAGGAAGAACACTCTTCCCAAGCACTATGGCCATGTGCTTTCCGCTGAGGAAATCGCGGTGCAGAACCGCAAGTCCTACCCCGGAATGATGGCTCCCGAGGGGACATGGACGCATTGGTTCTGGCACAGCCGGATCTTGCACTTCTTTATTTCCATGGTGAGTTGACCACTTTATAGAATTCTCTACCAATGGCAACCCAATTCTAACCGAAATCCATCGCAGGGCACGCTTCTCTCGCTCGGCATCTTCACCTTCTTCATGAACTATGCCTCCAACTCGCCATTCAAGGAACTCCTCCCCCCAGCATCCTCGTTCTGGAGCCACCCGATCGAGTTCTTCCTCGGCTGGAAGAACGTCATTGTCATGCATGAGAGGGACAAGGCCATCCGTGCGTTCGAGCACCGCATGGAGCACCAAAACGACGTCGCCAAGCGCAGGTACTACATGAAGATGCACGGCATCGAGACCAAGGACCCCATCACGATGATCTTCGGCAAGAGCGAGAAGGAGCCGACGGACGAGGAGATCGAGGCGGAGGCCCTGGGCACTACGGTCCCCCAGGCTGAGGACGCCAAGCCACCTGAGAGGAGGAAGTTCTGGGGCATTTTCTGAACACCCCACCATACATACGTAGGCCCGTGCTTGTACGATTGAAGGATTCCCATTGCGGAAGAAGGACTGTATCAACACCAATTCATGGTATAAGTCACTCATTAAGACTAATGTAGAATCTCCCAAAAAAGAAACTTTTCCGTATGCCACCATATTTTTAATTTCATGCCAGTTCTACGCCGTCTAAGCCATCCAGGACCTCATCAGCGACACCACCCTTTTCCAGCACTGCCTGTATGATCCCATCCACCACAGTAAACTTGGTTCCTCCGAGGGGGGCCTTCCACACGCCCGCGACCGGCGTCTCACTTGACAGATTCGGTGCTGGCTTCCCCTCCGTGGCCGTCGTAGCAGTCCCATTGGGAACCCCCGGCGGCGTCAGCCTCGACGGGGGGTCGATCGTGCGGATGGAGAGCAGCTTCAGCTCCCGGCCCTTGGAGTCGACCTCCATCCCGCCCCGCGGCCTCTCCCGCCTCACCTCCGCCACAGACACGGCCAGCGCAGTCTCGGCCACGGCGAGCTCCTCCTTGGTAGGGTCGAAGATGACGTTGTCCCCGACGGTGACCACCAGCAGCGTGATCGGCGGCCTCGTTCCTTCGGATGCGCCCTCGCGCGGGTACACAAACACCGACGACTCCCAGTCGTCGTCAAACATGGGGTCCTCGTCGCCTTCTGATTTCAACTTTGGTAACCTCGTAGCCAGCAATGCCAAGTGTGTCGTGAGTGAGAGAAGAGGGAGAGGATAGGAAAGCGGTGGCGAGAGGAGAAGAATCTAAAAATACTTTATCAGTTGCATTGCCCCCCAGGCCTAGTAAAGTAGAGGAGAGAAGAAAACCACCCACGTCGATATGAAGCCGCCAATGAAACCGCCTGTTGATCCAGAGCTTCTTAGCGAACTCGCCGTCGCCCAGCAGGGCCTCCCGCAGCATCTCCCCCAGGAACACGGTGGCGGCGTCGTCGTCCCTCTGCGACGGAATCTCCACCGAGATCTCGACCCAGTCCCCCCTCGCCTTCTTCTCGTCTGCGTCGCCGGACTGCTGCGCATCCGGGGTCTTCTCGATCTCGGCCTTCACGCCCACGATGGCCTCGGCGCCATCCGAGAAGGTCACGCACGCGCTCCCGTTGGTCCCCTGTAGGATGCCCGTCTCGGCTGTGAGGGGGCGGAACTGTGTTGGCAGGCGGCCGTCTGAGCGGATGGGTGGGCGCAGCGACAGCGACGTGTGCAGATAATCCAGCTCGGCTGGGGAGAGAAGGGTGTGTGTTGTCGCCATTGTCGCGTTGACCAAAGGGGCTGCGACGTCTGTTTTGGGGGGGTTTGTATTCGGTAGTGCCACACTACATGGGCAGTGTTCTATTTACCACCAAGTTGAAGCTCCCGGATTTTTTTTATCTTGATTGCTTGTTCTAAGATCACTCACCGAGATATGGAGCTGATAAGGCGGGGCAGCGGGGCCGATACACCGGCTTGACCGTGATAAAATCAGAGCTACCCTGCAGTTATAGGCATGTGGGTTGATGCAATGACGATGTCAGCTTCTCCCTTCACACTTCGACAATGTAGGGCCACAAGGGGCTTGTTAGGAAACATCTCATAGTAACAAAGTTGCAGAGGAGTATGTTGAAATGTATTTATTTTTTCTTTCGCACTGGTTCATTAAAGAACAGAGCATTGCAAGTTATACATGAGGTGCTATAGATCACCAAACGAAAGATCGATTAGTGCAGGCGCCCGTTAGCATATGTCCTTTTCCGAGGAAAAAGAGTCCAAGAACCCCCACACTCGATTCTATATCACACCAATTGGATACGGTCAGTATAAGGAGTTGCCATGAATGTAGCCTCAACGTCCGTTGGGTAAATATACGCCTTTTTGTTAACCACTTCGATCCAAGTTGATGCACAGGACATCGACGCAGTCTGTACCGAGAGCTGCAACTAGTTCTGCGATACCAGCCTTGATTCCTGGCCATTGTGTAATTGTGCTCGTCTCCCAACCAACAAGATCGGCTGTTCTAAATTGAGGCCCTCCGAGCGAGCCAACAAGAGGAATGTTGTCCAAGTCGACGAGGCCCACGTCCTCGAGTGTTGCGATACCCGGCATTCCAGAGTTGAATAAAAATGTGGCGTCATCATCATCGTCGGAGTCATTTGTTTCGCCACCAGAACCACCACCACTTCCCTCCTGTGATTTCTGCGCAGGATCATCTATCTGAGGTGAATCATCTGAGACACCTACTTCGGTTTTCTTCTGACGGTGTAAGTAGAGACTGACAAATGGCTCCTTATCCAGGAGGCTCAAAACATGCTTGTCCAAGGGATCCCACGCAAGAGACTCCGGATCAAGAAGATACTGTGGTGAGTAATCGATCTTGTATCTCATTTTTGGGCAGCTGTGAATGTAGAATCCGGGATACCACCAACGATAACCACCTTCCTGAGCCAAACCAATTTCATGAAGTGCCCCTAACTTCCCAGGTGCGAATTTATGAATGCTCTCGTCATAAAGGAAATAGACGGAGCTGACACAATCGGGAAGCAGATCGAGAACACCAATGGCAACTAGTTTCCCATCAAGGCGGTAGCATTGGTGAAAGGAGCCGACTCGACGTTTCTTCCCATCAGGCTCTGTGACAGTTTCCTGCCGCAAGGGAGAGCTACACAGGAAGCGAGTAAAAGAGCGTCGTGTTCTACTCTCGGGCGGGTCGTTGTGGACGGTCATCTGATAGTTATTATAAACTTCATACTTTTCTTCCGTAAACTCGTCGCTCTCAAGAGAAACAACGAGCTTATGAGCAGGCTCTGGCGGCGTCCGCAGTTGAGCGTATTCGGCCTCGTGAATTCGGTCTACCAGGACGAACTCATTGTCGCGACGTTTTGCTTCCTCGCGAGATTTAGGATAGCGACGAGCAACCTCCTTTTGATATTCATCACCAACCACATGCCTGTTGAATTTGTTTATCGTCTGGCGCTGCGCCTTGTTGGCCTTGAATTCGTGAGAATCCAGTCGAATTGTGTAATGCGGACAGCACGATCTTCGCTGGTCCGGACGATAGAGCATTTTCCCTGACCGCCTCCAACTGCGGTCGAGGAGGGTCTGATAGTAACCCGGACTGAGAGAAGAGGCGATCGCATAGTACGAGAAGCCTAATGACGTAGAAGATACGAGTTAGTTTCCATCGGGAGAGGCCAGGGTCTACATTGGTGTGCGAGATCGGCTGTTGCAGGTGAGTGCGAGGCCGGCGATCGAACGCGATGTCTCATGGATGGCGTGGGGGGGACGACATGGTAACTTGTCATGGTGTTCTAGGCCAGGCCCAACAACCCTGACAGCTGAAAGGAACAATATCACTTTTACGTTTTGACTGACTCTTCCCACTGGTGCCACAGTAACCGCACCTCGACGAGTTCGAATACGCTGTTGCTACGGTTAGCAAATCACAGGACTCAAAACATCAATGACGCCGTGGGCATTGCGGTGCGAGAGATGGTTACGCAAAAGTGTCTGAGCGATGCTCCGGATGGAAGATGTGCGACAATGGGCCAACAAGAAGGGCAAGGATGCTTTCCTCTGCCACGAGGTGTTGGGCATCGACTCGAGGTGAGGTGACCGCCTTGGTACCTTGTAGGAAGTGAAGCCCATCACGATGACACATATAGGTAGACAGATATACATGCATACGCATGCATCATGTGAATGAGATGAAAAGCTAGTGATGCATTGTGCAAGGCAGACCCGACGTGGGAGGGGGGTGCAAGACGAGCAGCACAGAAGGCCCAATGGGGGAGACGGTATATTGCAGGCAACTCAAATGGTTGGTAACCAAGAGCCGCTGCCAACTGATTGAGGGGTCTGGCCTGGTAGGGCGACAGCGGCGAGGGAGGGGAAGAGAGTGGGTGCACAGTATTTTTCGACCCGGGGACTGACTTGATCCTGGTCATGGTGGCGCGACACCTTGCTGCTTTGGAGAGCTGATTGAGCGTTTTGTTGCGGGAAGAAAGTTGGGTCGGGTGGATGGTGTGAAGCAATGGTTGCTGAAGAGGAGAAACTGCTCACGGCAACCAAGAGGGGGAGGGGCTTTGGGGAGCCAACGACAAGGGCTTGGGGACGCACGTGTGCAGTGGTCAATTGGGGATTGGGAGGGGGCCAGCGCCAGGTGGCAGACAAGTTGGGAGTGAAGTGCAAAAGAAACCCTCCAGAGAACGGGAATGAAACGATGGCGGCTCACCAATCGGGGTAATGTACTCGTAGTCCGGTGAGGGACCTGCAAGCTGTCGTGTGCCGTCCATTGTGGTGTTGGGCTAATATGAACGAAGAGGAACGTCGATGTGCCAGGATGTGGCCGGTATTAGCGGTTGAATCGAGACTTGAAGCTCTCGTCGGAGCGGGGAAGGCGATGGGCTGGATGCTGGTTGGGGGCCCGTGAGCAATAGATGGGCCGTCTCGCAAGCATAGACGAAAGGATGGCGGATGTGATTTATGTTTTTTTTTGGAAGAGAGGTGGTGGCGTTTGCACGTAGAAGAGGCCGTGAGGTTTGCAGTTGAAGCAAGAGTTGAGGGCGTTGGGAGTTAAGGGTCCTGCTACAGGGTACCAAGGGCAATTTAGGAGTTCAGCTGTAGGTTCAGCCTGGGACCAGTCTCGTAGCATCTGTCCAGCTGTCCAAGGGAGGACCTGATTGCCTACCAGTGTACAGTGGGGAGCCAGGTATAGGCTAGAAGGTAGCAGCACAGATACATCCGTCTGAACTGAAGCACTCAGTCGGGCTGGTCGGGTCCATCAGTGCCCGCTCACTCGCTGGATGCACTATGAGACATCCACATGTTGTGTGTCGATGGAGGCTGCACTGCAGGTCCCTTTGGTGGGGGCGACACCTTCGATGTACCTACTACACCATTGGGCTCGGTATACGGTTAGAGCTCCGTGAAGGCATTGTGTTGTGGGTGCATGTCCGACCCCTCCACTGGCAGGACGCCAGGAGCGTGAACCCTCCATGATCTGGGCAATCTGAGAGTCATACTGGATTTGGAGTATAGAGTATCACACTCACTCCAAATATCTCGCTGTTGCTGCAACAAGATCCGGGAAGTGCTGGCGGGGCTCAGGTCCTAAGGAAGTATGCTCTGCCGTAGGTATGAACCGTTAGCTGTCGAGACTTATTAGGTCATCCAGACGCACAAGACTAGACAAAACATGGCCAGGCTCAAGTCACATCCAAGAGTAAATAAGCGGACGATGGACCCCCACATATCGTATTACCCCTTCCCATCGCCTTGCCTATTGTGTTGTTGACTGGTTGGAGGGGTTGCATAGAGCACCCCTTGACTCAATGGAGACAAGACAAGGACTGTACAGAGGTACCGCTTCCAACGTGTGTTGTACTACCTCCGTTGGGATGCAGCTGAGAGGCCAAAAGTGAGGTGAGGTGTGGGTTTGATGTCCTACCTTACTTAGTACAAGCAGCTAAGAGACCTTATAGGTGAGGGGTCTTTCGTGGTCGATGCTGGTACCATACCTAGGTAATTTCTATACTCCTTACGGAGTACTTACACGAGACTTTAGATTAGGCAACTTTCGGGGCGGAAGCATGTCTCTCGCATTTCACGCAAACCTTTGGCTCACTGGTCCGACCATATCCGAAGTCTAGGACGGGGACAAGGGGGCCTCTCGGTGCTGTTGTCTCATGCTACGGACTCTCGGAAGTCAAAACTCTCGCTGATCAGACAAGCTGGCGACTCTAGGTACAAAGTACGTGAAGGTGCTGTACAAGAAACAGACAGGTACCTTTCTTGCGTGCAAGATGGAGGCCTGCCGGCGCCACCAATTGCTCACACCATGCTACTGGGAGCAATATCCCCAAGCCCATATACCTCCCTTTCACCATACGTAGTAGATCGTAGTGCTCCCCGGCTGCACGATCAACACTTGCGATGGGTTGATATTGTGCTGCTTACCGTTCGTTTAGTGGGCATGTGATCCGCTCCCTCTGTAACATGCAAAGATCAGCCGTAGACTTGCTGTAGATGCGTCTATCCAGTAGCAACGAGACAGCAGGCTGTAGGCTGGTTGTTGGGCACGAATGAGCGTGGACGCATGTACCGCCATGGGCCACATGGAAGAATGAATGGAAGAACAAAGGCCAACAGGGAGCGAGACCACTCCTTCTGCGACATGGCTCTGCATCATGCAGTTGCACGTACATGCTGTGTCACTCACCTTACAGCCCGCCCTGTGCTGCACCTACCAGTAGGTGCGTGTCTAGCTGGACTGGACAAGGACAAGGACGAGATGGACATGCTTGACCTTGTCTCGACAACTCTCTCCGCTCGTCCAACCCCACCAAGACGAGGTAGCCGGGAGGTGCCTCTGTTCAATTCTGGCCTGGCCTGGTCCGGACTCGGGCTTGGCTTGTCAACTTGTCACGCACGTCGGCGTGACGATCCAGGTATTGGGTTCATATCCGCCGAGCCCGCCGCCGCCTGCGCACGATGTACTCGATACCTCGCCGCCCTTCCGCGTCTTTTTCTTTCTTCCTTCCTTCCTTCTCCTCCCTCCAGTACCTGCCTGGCCTTGCTATGTACCTGCTCAATTCTCCATCCTGTCCGTTGGCAGCGTCTGCAGCTTATGTCTTAGCCCCATACGCTGTGACGCAGTTCATCTGCAAGATTGGACAGTCATAGCTTCAGCTAATAATATCGCTTTCATTACTCGCGATACTGTACCGTTCTGAAAACGACCCTGAGCCCAGTCTTTGCTTGTCCTAACCTGACCGGGCCCGACCATGGTCCCTCTCCTGGTAGATCAAAGCCCCTTTGAGGAGCCGTTGGTGGGAGACAGCGGATCGGGCGTCGTGATTAAAGGCCAGTGGCATTGATACTGTATAAAACACCGCCTCCAGCCCGCCGTGCCCCCCCTCGCATCTGCCCCGTTGCCGTGGCACGAGACAAGATCCCACAGCCTTGCAGCAGAGCAGAGACGAGCACAGCAAGTTGCTTCCTGCCTGCCTCATCAGCCATCTCCGGCTGCCTCGTCCTCGTCAGCCCGCTGTTACACTCGCTCTTCGCCACCTGATTTTACGTACCTAGGTAGCTTATTAGTTCGCTGCTCCGAGGCGTGGCACGCCCTTCTCTTGCTACTCTTACACCGTCATCTCATCTCGTCCGGTCCCCTAGACTGGTGCGAGTAGTGCGCATGCGACTCGCCTCGCTCACCACCAGTCATTGAGCGAGCGCCGCCTTGCTACCTCACGCTCTGCCTACATACACCCTCTCAATTCAGCCAAGGTAAGCTGGCCTGCAGCCCTGCGAATGATTTAAATTAAAGAAGGGAACCCAGCCCAGTGCCAATTTCCTGGCCTGATGGAGCCGGCTAGCACGCCAATCAATCAGTAATTAATTCGGATTAGGAGGAGACGGGCAGGAAAACGCCAACCCAAGGTACCTACACCAAGTCCCGTCCAGCTGGGCAACTTACATTTTGCTCGTTGCCTGCCAAACAAAGTTTCGGCGCCAAAATCTCCACGGTCGACTCGATCTAACCTCATGGTCCCACCCAGTGCGTGCCCTGGTCGATACTTACCGTACCTCACTCAATACTGCTAGGTATATTATTACCTTTTAGAGCCCCTGAAAATCGTCTGTCAGGCAGTGTCCGGTCTAACCAAACTCCAACCGACGGCGCTATTGCCCCTACCGGAACACTGGAGCCCACCTCGCGTGCTCTCTTTTTTTACCTCCCGCCACCATCACCTCGCTGCCTTTCCTTCTATCCCAGGCTGCCCTGCGCGCCTGGGTCTTTTGCGACAGCTGTCTCCTATCCAGGCTCACTGTTGGATCGATTTCTTCCTTTATTTGGTCTTTTAGTTAAAATTGTCGTTATGGCGCTTTAACCAGCCGGAACCACCGGCGTCGCAATTATTCGACTTGAGGAAACTCGCCCTTCAAGCTCATATCCTCCCCTCACCCTCGCCATTCGTCACCCTCACCTCACGACCAGGCCCCCGCCAGCACTCAATCAGGAGGCCGTCTCATCTAGACCAGCAGCAGAAGAATCCGAAAAAGAGGAGGAGGAGAGGAGAAGGAGAGAAAAGAAGGAGAAAGAGAACCCAAGCAACCATACAGTTTGCATCTTGGAAGACCTTCTTTTAACCAGTGTGACCAGTATTTCTGCCGGGAAATATGTCTGGGTCTTCGAGTGGTCGGTCGATGCACTCTCGTGTTGGTCGAAGCAATCAACGTGAGTCCTTGCACGCTTTTTCGACTTCCGTATGATTGATCCTGCTCCGCTTTGCTTGCTTCCGCCCGCTACGTTTGTCTGTTGTGTGTGTCCTGCTCTGCTTGACCTTGCTCTGCTCTGCTTTACCGACGCTGAAGCTCGGGCCTCAACTAATACGACTCTTTGCGATGCAGGCTACAACTCTGCTGGTGATCGCCTTGTGGCAGGAATTGTGCCCCTCACCGAAGACCTCAACTACGTCCTCTTGATCCAGTCGACTCGACGAAAAGGCTGGGTTCTGCCCAAGGGCGGATGGGAATCAGACGAGACCTGCGAACAGGCTGCCTCTCGCGAGGCCTGGGAAGAAGCCGGCATCTCTATCCAGATCGACTTCAATCTAAGTACCATTGAGGAGAAGCGAGCGCGCAAATCCTCAAAGGACCGTGCCGTATATCACTTTTATCAGGCTACCGTCTTGCAGGAGTACGATGAGTGGCCAGAACGGCACAAGCGCGAACGACAGTGGTTCACGTACTCTCAGGCCCGAGAAGCCCTCGCCTCACGGCCTGAGCTGCTGGAAGCGCTGGAGCGGACTACAATGAACCGCTATTAGCCACACAGGAACGACCCCGTTATTTTTGTTTCTTTTCAAAGCTAATGATCTTTGGACATACTCATTTTTAGCGAGTCTTCTCAGAGAAGAAGAAAAGCTTCCCCGCCTTAAAAAACCCTAATCGGAGATGGATCGGGCTTTCTGGGCGGACTAGACCAGGTCGGAGTTTCGTCGGGTTGAGGAGTCGTTTTCTGAGTCGGCCAGTACGACTCAACTTTTACTCGTCTTGACTTGAACATAGGGCGGTACCGTGTGTTTGTTTGCATCTCGAGGCGTTCCGGAGGGCACCATGATAGAAAAAGCAAAATGCTCCGGCGAGAAAACAGGGGTTTATGTTGTGTTGTTGGGAACAGAGAGCCTCATATAAATCCGGGCTGCCTCTTTGGATGATAAAGGATATTACCTTATAGATGGTTACACCAAATCGCTCTGCATATGGACCTGACATGCCATGTTTCTTCTGTCAAGAACCAGAGCTGACTGATTTTGACTGTCCTTAAAGCCGTTGGTGAATGAGTGTTGCAGGCCACAATCCTTCCCAATCCATCTATAAGCTGGTGGAATCATGCTAGCAACCAGTGGCGGCTGCAATTGCCACAGTTCTTCATATTGAAAACAAGTGGTGATCTCATACTGTCGGAATTGAAAGCACCTCATACATTACTCCCCTAGCAATTCTCCCCCTCACCAGCTACCCCACGCGCACGAGGGGGAATGTTGACGTTGGTAAAGGCTTATATAATCACGTGATAAAATCTTATCGATTACGCCTGTTCCGTTAAACAGACAGCACTACATGGGGCGGCGGGCAGTACGAAGGGACATGCTCTTGACGACATCTGATTTAATACATACAAGCTGCCAAATGAAGAGAAGCTAGAGACAAAATCCATGGAGCTTCAGCAGAGTGTGTAGACAACGTTCCATTCCCCCAGAAAAGGAAAAATCATTCTAGAATTTTTGCGCACGACCAAAGACCGGAGCAGGAAAGAGGGTGGCGCTTGCGAATAATGGAAAACCTCTCGATCCAGGATGCCCCTCCGCCAGGGACGCATCAAGGCCCCGGGGCGCCTCCTCAGGCGCCCGCGCAGCTGCCGCCGCAGATGTTCACGACGGCGGCGCAGCTTCTGGACCTCACCGACAGTACGTTGTAGCTTGGAGCTCGGGGTTGAGAGGCTGGGCCGGAATTGCCCTGTCTTCTCCGGAATGGAGGACCGAAAACTGTTTTGTCGAACCTGATAGGCTGATTTGTTGTGTCTGTTTCACACAGAGAAGTTGATGATTGCGCTCCGTGATGGGAGGAAACTCATTGGTGTGTTGAGAAGCTGGGATCAATTCGGTGTGTATGAACCCCGGCGGGAAACTGGGCAATTGGATTCCAAGGGAGCATATGAGAGAAGTTTCCTCCTGTTGCCCCCTCGAACGAGTCTACCCATTTTCCTGGACCACTCCCTCTTCGTTGTGCGTTTGAACAGAGTTGGGCATTGGGGGCTAACGATTGCTTTCTATGCGCGGCTCCCCGGCAGCCAACCTCGTCCTGCAGTCAACGATTGAACGCTTCTTCGCCTCGAGCCCGGACAGCAGCGCGCCCGGCGCCCCCAGGGGCTACTACGCGGATGTGACGCACGGCATCTTCCTGGTGCGGGGGGAGAACGTCCTGCTCCTGGGGGAGATCGACCTGGACAAGGACGACGAGGCACCCCCCGGGTACGAGAGGGGCGAGCTCGACTTCGTCAAGAAGCTGGCGGAGGAAAAGAAGGCCGCCGACAGGGCGAGGGAGAAGGCCCGGCTGAAGAAGCTTGCCACGCTGGGCTTCGAGGGGGAGGGGCTTGGGGATATGGTGCTCTGATGAGAGGGGGGGAGTGAAATTGAATTGGGAAGGAGGGTGTCCGGCACCGGGTTTCTCTCCAAAACATTCCTCTAGGCCTGTTTATTTCTTACAAGTGAAAGCGCAGTGCAATATCGGCCCAGCTGAAATATCTCGGGGGTGGGAAAAAGGGGAGACACATGGGAATTGGAGGTCTCTAGACAACCGTGTGTCACCAAAGCTGCGGCGAGATGGTCGTGGGCGGCAGAATATTGTGAAATGCCTCCCGGCCAAGGGCTGGATCATGGACATGGCATGTACTTGACAGAGCTTAGCGAGGGTCTACCTCTCTTGATAGTCTAGATGTGGTTATTGGGCCTGGTGATGGCGCATCATGTCTGTTGCTAGCCTATTAGAATCCTAGCTCCTCTTTCAACATATATAGCTGAGCTTTAAGGTCAGATCAATCCTACTAAAGATAGAGCGTTGAGCCTTCGAATATCAACAGTCTGAAGGACGTTTCGACCGTACTAGTTCGCTGTGTAGGGTCGTTGCTCTCAGAGCTAATTTGCGTGCAAGTGTTGGATAAGATCTCGCAGTCATCTTGCAGGCTTCACACAGCCAGTCACCATTGAAAACTAAGGGATCACCAAAAGGAAACCGGTTGGGAGAGGTGCTCTTATTAGGTATACAGAAATTTGTGTTACTACAATGCACGTAGGCAGGTTATCGGTGAGGGTGTCCAAGTTTTGCTGGCATGAAATGATACACTGCCCTATGAGTCGGGCTATTGATACAACGGCACACCATAGACGGAGGGATCCTTGGTTAGGTTGTGCACGTTCGTTGAGAAGTTGTTGCTGCTGGCTGTTCCGGTTCTAGGTCGGCGATGGTCGTTACATTTGTGTCATAGATTCTTCGTCATCATAGTTCTCTCGAACATTGGCAATGGGGTTCCCGAGCCGCCGGGATCTCGTATCCCGCCAAGGAGCCAGTCAGTCAAGCCCACGAACTTGGCGCCGACTCCTTTCTCCCAGTTACCACCCTCCTGGGCTGTCTCGATGGTGTGGCTAAGGATCCTGCCCTCTTGGTCAAAGTCAAAAATGAAAAGGCCTGTGAAGGCCTTGTTGGCTTCAACGCCATCATCGCGGCCGACAAGCCGGAGGGACCTGGCAATAGTACTGATATGGCTACCGCCCCCGGCCGCTGGCTTGCGCTTCTCGCACCATCTGACGACCAATTGTTCGGGGATTGCACCGGCTCTTCGAGGCAGAAAGGTGATGGGCTCAGTGGTTACGCGCTCAGCAAGGATCTCTATTTTGACATTTCCAATGATCGGCACTCGGTTCCAGGCTATAGGAGAGGTCCAAAGGGCTGCATTGTACGCAACGCGGCCGGAGACTGTGGGTAGGTGAGGATGGGTCGAGGGAAAGAGGTGGAGGGAGATGTTCGGTGCAAGCAGGTCTTGAGGAAGCGGAGATTGAAGAAGAGTCGGTAACCGTTCTTGCAGTATCCTCAAAGCTGTGGCTTTGGGTCAGTGTGCGATCCCGCGTGCGGGGTGGCAAGCATCTTGTCTCTCCAACTTACTGTTACCCAGGTTGGCCTTATTCGGATCGGGCGGCTGATCGCCCCCTGCGCCAACCCATAATGGCCCCTTGGGATCGAAGAAGGTGTGGTGCGAGCTCCCGGAGGAGGTCCTAGGGCTTATGCCAGAGCAGAGCCCGGGCTGCGGTCGGTACGGGGCGGGCGGAGGGCCGTCATTGGCGGCGATGTTCGGCTGTGGTGTTGATGCTTTGGCCGAGTCGACGGTGGTGGTTATACAGCGGGCAAAGGACAGTGAGGAAGAGCGAGCAGAACTGTGTAGGGCACAGCGCAAAGGGGCCGCCATGGCTGGTCGAGGTGGCGTGGCGGGAGACACATGGATTGGCCTGGGGATGCTCTGGTAGGGCCGGCGCAGCGAATAGCTTCGATTAAGATGTTGCATCCAATCTGAAGAGGCTCTTAATTTTTTCTGGGCTTCCTCCCCCAGAAAGCATGGCCCTGTTTTCGGGTGGGGGCCCTATCCGTCGTGGCGGGTCTCAGGCTGGATAGTTCATGGCTGGTGGCCCTATCGTTGCTTGAGTGGTGTGCCACGTTGGGACTCGCATCTTGGCCTGTGCATTTGCTGATGAGCAGGTTGATATCCTGCATGCCCTCAGCCGGGAATTGGGCCATTACATTGCCTTGCCCGCCTTGGTATCTGTCACGTAGGATGCGGGTGCTACCTGGTTTTATGCACGCCGAGCAACTCAGGCACAAACAATCAACATGGATCATGGTGCACCAACTCGACACCCAAAGACATACAACAGCGATCTAGAACATGGATGGCAGCCCAGAAGGTTCAAAAGATGTGCAACTCGTTCACCCGTCCTCAGCTGGCCTTGCCGGCAAACTCCATAGATGCAATTGGGTCGTGCTCCGGCACGCTCCCTACAGACCATTCAATGTCAAGCCCAGTCTGTAGCGATACCCGAGCGGCTGGTGCGTGCATGCATGTGGCAGACTGAGACATGCTTACGTCGTAACTGACAGAGATGATTCACGGCGGATTGGTGAGTGCAAGGTTCCCCCATGTCTGAACACTCCGCGGTAATTAGGCCTGGTGCTCGCTGGCGCTTGGAGCCCGGCAGTGATGCCAAAGATAGCATCCCCTGCGTTCAGCGGGAGGCGAGGCCTCAGGTACCTGCTTACCTGTGCGGGCCTGGAGACCGATCAAGCAGACCTGGACCGACCGTGGCTGATACCGGGCAGACACCTGCCGCCTCCCGCTGGCGCCGACCACATTACAGAAGGGGCCAGCACCGCCTCCACGTGACCTGTCAGCTGCCCTCACCTCCCACCGCCCATAGATCAGCAGGCGTGTCCTGCCTGACGTACATCCTTTGGTGCTATTTCGCAGCCTATTGCTCTCACCTGGACCTTTCTTTCATCATCCCCAACGCCCGACCCATCCTCATCGACCCTTCGACCCATCACCCCACGGCGCTGCACTTCTCGACGACTTGACATCGATTTTTTATCATCTGCAAACTTCTCGAACCGCCAACATGAATCCTGAGTGGTATGCGACCCCGGCATAGTCTCCTATTGCGATAAACCCCCCTGATAGGCACACCTTTGCTGACAGTTGATTTCCAGAGTCCTACCAGCCGCTGCAACCTTGCATCCAAATTTTCAAATCACAACATCCTGCGAACCATCTGATTACGCTGAGTTCTGACCAAATATCCCCAGATACGACTACCTCTTCAAGCTGCTCCTCATCGGAGACTCCGGTGTAGGAAAGTCCTGCCTGCTCTTGCGTTTTGCCGACGACACCTATACCGAGTCCTACATCTCTACTATTGGAGTTGATTTCGTACGTTTTAATGGGCCCATATCTTGCCTTTGATCCCGTTTCTGGAGACCATTACTGAGGCTTGACTAGAAAATCAGAACGATCGAACTTGATGGCAAGACTGTCAAGCTGCAAATTGTATGTATACCCTGCATATATCTCGCTTCACGGCTTGGGACCATGTACCTAATTATGACACGAATGTAGTGGGACACTGCTGGCCAGGAACGATTCCGAACGATCACTTCTTCCTACTACCGTGGAGCCCACGGTATCTGTGTGGTCTACGATGTCACAGACATGGACTCTTTCAACAACGTGAAGCAGTGGCTTCAGGAAATCGACCGCTATGCTACCGAGGGCGTCAACAAGCTGCTTGTGGGCAACAAGAGCGATATGTCCGACAAGAAGGTGGTGGAGTACACAGTTGCTAAGGTATGTAAATCACATGAAAATAGTCAGGTTTTCTGTCCACCAGAAAACCTTCGCAGACCACCATCATCAATCATGCCTCGAATGTCACGATGTTAATTATCTTCCCACAGGAATTCGCTGACAGCCTGGGAATTCCATTCCTCGAGACCTCGGCAAAGAACGCCAGCAACGTCGAGCAGGCTTTCTTGACCATGGCTCGTCAAATCAAGGAGCGCATGGGTACCACCACAGCAAACAACACCAAGCCAAGCGTCCAAGTCGGCCCAGGCCAGGGTGTTGGCTCTTCAAACAACAACGGCTGCTGCTAAGCTGTCCACTACTCTTTCATGGTTACGAAGGTTGATGGAGTATGGTTGACAAGGCGACGAACCAGTGGTGCCGGATTGATGGGCGTCTTTTGCAGCTCATAATGAATGGTTCCGTTATCCTCTGGGTTTCTTATTTCTCCCACAGTTTGCCTCGTTTTTTTCTCTTTTATCTTGATTGCTGCGCATAGAACAAGTAATGTTCATTTGGATCTTTTTTTAAGTCTCGGGCCGCACGACACGTCAGACTTTCGTTCGTCCTTGTATTGGAACATTCCGGGCTAGGGAGGGCAAGGCAGTAACTGAGGCATGGATAATAACTACCCGCCTGGTTCTGGTGGGGTTAAACAGAGTCCTGCAATGCTCGATTTTCTGCTTCCGGTGACGTGACTACGCTCTCTGATGATCATTATGGACTCGAGAACAACCATCTTTATTCTGGGTTATCCGTAGCTGTTTCTCCATATACGATTGGGTGTTTAATCCATGCACTGTTCTACAACCACTCGCCTCCAAAACTCGTATACTAAGAGTCTGCGATACGATCCCCCCGAGGATTTCAAGTAAACTTAAGCCAGTTTAGCTTACCGTGTCTGGGAAGAGGAAGAAATGAGAATTATCATCCGATGGTTGGCTCGTCCTACGGCAAATACACAATGGTATATATACCCTCTAGGTAGTACTAGCATTCACAGTGGAGACGGAATACTTGCTTCAGAATGTGGGTGATTATAATTAAGATATGATGAGATGCTTCGACTTCTCTGTTAAAAGAAGAGTACGCACACCAGCTACTCAATAGCGGGATATAAGAGTTACAAGAAAGGGAAAAAGCCGCCCATAATCCAGTGATTTCAAAGCCGGGGTCATCAACCAACACCATCCTTCCTTTTCATGCACATATTCCCTGCTCCAACCAAGAAAAAAAACCAGCCAACCGGGGCAAAACCTGAGAATTTGAAGAAGAAAAAAATACTAGACAATTATCGATAAACGGACATGAATTTTTTGTGCGAGTGATCAAATCACAATTTGTTAGCGTCGAAGGTAACACGTCGTATCTCATGATAGCGAAAGGTTAAACAACCCTGTGAGTGTGAGGCGTATGTTGTCCTCTTGGATGTGAAACAGGAGATTGGAGGTTTACGCAAGACCCAGAAATTTGAGGGCCTTGCGACTGTTTGGCTTTTGCAGCCGCGAGGGCTTTTGCAAAAAGATGGGCATCAATCGTCGTTCTTCAAAGTCATAATCGCTGTCCTCGGCAGGATCATACGTGAAAACGGACGCTTCATCATCCTCGACGGGCAGTCTTCTTCTTGAGAGCTTCGATTTTCTGCTTTTTGAGGATCGGAAAGACTTTGATGTCTTGATTGTCTCTACTACCGATGTAGCTTTCATCGATAATGCGGGTGAGATGAGGGGGTATGAGTTCCCTGACAATGGTGATTTAGGGCTCTGGGGCCCAGTTGTCTTAGGAAAGGGAGAAAATGTGCTGGTAAGGGGTGGTGGCCGAGGCTTTTGTTCTTGCTTCTTCGTAGGCGTCGCAACCTGTGACTCTTCTGGATTGTAGAATTTGGACACTTCAATCAAGAGCTTCCTGACAGTGGAGACAAAAGTAGCAATTTCGGCATCACTCGCGCTGGATGTGAGAAGAAAGTTGGCTTTAGAGACAGATACATCTGTTGACTCTCCTGTTGGCGATCCAATTGGATGCCCCAATGGACCGGCCTTGTCTGTATCGTCGACGATAGATGCCCCACGAATATGTTTGAAGGCGCCAATATCGCCGCTCTTGGAATCAACGATTTGAGCCACCTTCATGAGATCCACACCAACTAATTTTTGAAGAGCCAAGATCGTAGAGAGATGTTCTGGCGGATACTCCAACAAAAGGTACCTAACCTCTGTGTGGAGGGCCAAATACGTCTCCAAATGGGGGATGATCAGAGTTGCAAGAAGATATGAGTTATTGAATGGGTTATCTGAAGCCTGATTGGCAAGAGGTTGAGCAGTGTATGCCTGCATGGCGTTGGCAAGGAGATACCTATATAGGTGTTAGCTGCAAAATGTCGTCGACTCGGAGGTCATATTAGCGGTAACTGACCTAAAATCCAGCCTTCCACTACGGCTCACACCATTCTTTTTAGATCCCAGCTTGTCCAGAAGGCCAGTGATAGCCGAGGAATACTCTTTGAGTACACTCCTTTGGGATCCGATGGCCAAAATCTGATCAATTCTCCGTTTAGTAGCGCGTGGGCTACCTGGTTCGGCTTCGCGGAAAATTGGCTTCCATAAAGCCTCCATTTCCGGTAGTAAAGAGAAGGAAAACTGTCGGTACCCCTGCGTCTCAGGTGGAAAATAGAAGCTCAGAATGGAACGTAGAGAATTTTGTACCAAGACAGCATTCTGATTGTTTGAGATCAAAAAGTCGGTGAACTTCTCTCTCTTGTCAGACACCGATGGTGTGGACGTTTCTTGGGGTGTTGGAGGTATCTCAAGCCTAATTCCCGCCGCAGTCTTGCTTTGCTTCTCTACAGTCCATGTAGTCTGTAAATAAGCAAATGGGTCATACTCGTCAACATCAACCATCGGTGAAGCAACAGAAGGTTCTGTTGCGGTGTTCTCAGGTCCCTCCTGGCTTGTACATTCAGACGAAGATCTTGGCGTACTTGGGAGCTGATCGTTGACCGAATCGCTGTCCGAGTCCTCGGCAGATTGAGAGAGAACGGGATAAATTCCATTCTTGAAACCTTGGATCACGTTATCAAGCAACGCATCTGGGACCTCATCTTTGAAGTAGACCACAAGATCCTCAGCCAAGATAAAAACGGGTACAAACGGCTCCCGTGCTGCGGTTATTGGTTCAGCATCAGTGCCACGATCAACGTAGGATGGCCGCTTAGCCTTTCGCTTCTTGCTCAACGGGACCGGTTCAAGGCTGACAATGCTCGTTTGTCGGGGCTTCAGTATGACAGTCCGCGGGCCATCAATGATGTCCAGCCTTTGAGGGCAATCCGTTTGATCAGTGACAACCATACAAGATCTTGGTCTTGGGCATAGAGCAGTGGCAGCAGTTTCCTCTGCAATGTCTTCAGAAGAAATGTCCAGATCTCGGTATGTGGAAATACATGGATAAATCCTGTCCAACGACATCACTCGTGTGACTGCAGTTTTAATACTTGGCATTCTCATATCAACGACTGAAGCTTCTCCGAATACCACATCTGTCGTCGAACGAATGTCAAAAATTTCCGATTTCGATGTATTCAGTGTCTGTCCAAACGTTGGTGTTAGGATGTTCGAATTATATGTTTCACCAACACAGCTCGGCGTATATATAGAATCGAAAACTGCTGTCGGTGAAGGCTGATCGTAATGTGTGACAGAAAATACTGGTGCCACAGGTGAGATGGGGGCCTCTTCCATTGCCTCTTCGTCATCGAAAACCTCGCTGGTGGAGCGTCGTTGATCCGGTGCTCCAAAGACATAAAATGGAGCGGCATCCCCAAAGTTGTCGGAGAAGCCGTACATTGGAAGACTCATACTTCTTGGCCGTTGGGTAAATGTCAGGTCCAAGTCGTTCGAAGGTTGAAGACTCGCGGTTTGGCGGTCCAAAGCTTCGGCTGCTCTCATAGCCCGCGTTATGGGATCTTCTTCGAACGGGCCAAAATCATACGAATGACAGGCACTCGATGCTGAATCGGGCGCACTTCCAGCGTGCAGTGGTGTGCCAATCCATTCTTCCTCCTCGATTGTCGAGTCGGATAACTCTCCTCTAATCCACTTTTCCGCTTGTGAGGCTAAACCTCCCAAGCCTCCCTTCACCAGGAAGTTGAACTTGGCCTCAGCCTCAATATCATCTCCGTTTGTCTCATGTCTCATAATTGCGCGGATACACAAGGCTTGGGCACTCGATGTACCTCCATTCATGAAAACGAGGCGCTTATTTGAGGATGTCGAACCTTTAAGAAAGGCTTGGGCGGCATTGTTACGGAGCTTGACAGCTTCATGAACATCTTGAATATACGAATGTGCTTCGAACTCTTTGGTCTGGTCATCCGTGGGCAGGTAGCAGTGGATGCTTGGAAGAATAAGTATCTGCGGAGAGGTAGGAAGAAGCCGCAGCTGTGTTGAAATTGTATCGGGGTGGCCTTCGAAAGCAACTAGGCTGCCCAAAGACTCGGTTTTGGAACAATCGAGATTGGGGCAGTCAGTGGTCGCCATGGCTGTAATGAGAAAAATCGAAAGGCTGTGACGCTCAACTCAACTAAAATTCGAGGAGGAAAACTCTCCCTCAGAGCAAGGCGCCTGCAGGAAGGGTATAGCTGTAGGAAAGAGGGGTGAGTGACGAAGATATGTATTGCCAATCGAGGTGTGGAAGAGCCGGCCTCAGCTTGACACTCTCCCTCTCAGATCATGATCAAGAGAACTCGGTATGCTTCAGCCCAATATGCCCAATATGCCAGCGTCAAAAACAAGGGCTGAGAACGGAGTGGGCAGTAGAGGAATACAATGAGGTGTCACTACCGAAAACACTCATCTGAAATCACACGTTGGAAAGAGGGAGAGACAGGCTGAACAAGGCACTGGATGGACCCGGGGTCGGGAAGTAGAAGTAGAAAATGCAGGCTACGTCAAGCGCACAAGAGAGGTCGAACACCACAGCTCTGGTTACGTCGTCAAAGGGAAAATGGGCCCCCCGCAAGGTTCTTTCCACCCCTGCTGCCCCAGCACATACAACATACGAGAGAGAGCAAAGGCCATTCTCGAAATGCTTATTCTACATATCATTGGATGCCGTGCACAACGTACAAGCGCGGGCTCCTGGGGAATGCTCCCAGCGCAGATAAGGTGGTGGCCAGCCAGAGACCCGAACGCAACCAACCCGCGAGCTGGAGCACAGACAGCGCCAAGCTAGAGGCTCGGGGGTGTGGGCGTGGGTGTGGGTAGTGCAGGGTGGGTGCTCGGCGGGTAAGCAGGTAGGTAGGGATGGGTCTGGCCAATATCTCGCCGGAAGCGATGGACGGCTCTTGGGGACAGCAGGAGCGACCTTCAGCCCAGACGCACAGACTGCCCACTCACCAACGCGCACGGCGGCAGGCACCACCGGTCGAGCGATGATCCTGGCAGGTACCAGAGACAGGCGACACGGCTCCGCCAGTGATTGGCTCGGGGTACATACCTGGCCACATACCTGCCTCCTCGTGCTGGGTAAGGTAGGCATGGACATGCACGTATCCCAGGTAACTAGCACGCTCGACGGCGGCAACAGCTCTTTCCTTGCTTCTTCCAGGCGGACCAACCCTCTGTGCTCACCTGCGCTGCTTTTCGTGGTTTCTTTTTCGACATGCCGCATGGGCTTTTTGCCTGCGTCTGTTTGTGAGCTTACGGTCACCGCACCTGCACCTGCATCTGCATCTGCACATGCATCCCGGAAGTGGCCCAACAAAGTACGAGCTGAGAAGGATATGCAGGCTCATCCATTAGATTCCAGACGGAGGAACTGCAGTTCCTGGTGGTTTTTCTTTTCTTCCCTCCCTGCTCCCTTGCGGGCAATGTGATCCGCTCCCCAGCCGATCACTACGTAGGTGCCCTGGCCACTGCGAAAAGGGTGATCGACATAGCCCAAGCCACGTAGCTGAACAGACATGTTAGCTCCGAACCAGGCATCTCCAGCGTTTATTACCTGGCGGTCAGTTTTAGCAGGGGTTCGCAGTCGAGAACCGAACCTGAGCTTGGAGGCACACAACCTGATGCTTTTGTGCACCCGCTTGACACCTTCTACTACCGGTCTGTTTGACGCTTGTGCAAGCTAGAATCCGAGTTTGTGAACCGTTGACGGCAGATGCTCGTTCTACTACCCGCTTCGAGATTGACTAATGAAACTCGACGGCACACTCAATCGCAATTAGTGGTGACACCGATCCGTATCGCCATGAGAGTCGTTTCGAGCCTCCGACTTACCTTGGGCGAAGAATAACACCGAGGGCCAAAATTCCATTTCCATGCCTTGTGCTCCAGTACACGAGGATGGAACAAGTCCAGCCCCTGCATGATTGATATTGGTATAATTTGCTCACAGACATTCACACTAATTGGGAACAGCGTACATTAGCCACCTGCAGAACCTCCACGGTCCGATATCCGGATCTTCAGACCAGCCTCAGCAATACTCAAGTACTTTCTTTTCTTTTCTCTACAGGCTTGATATTCCCTTCCTCTAGAGACTAGGCGGGGCAATTTCCCATACCGACTATCACATATAAACGTAGATCATATGCGGGGGACTGTACGTTCCCCAAGTCAGGTTTTCTTCTCACGAGAATGATCCCGTCAAGGGTGGAATGCGACGCACGACCGCGCGGACCTCGTCACTTCCCACCCCGGTATCTAAGACATCGACAACAGAGTGATAGGCCGCACCCGGGAGGCTAGTTTCATCGGCCGCGGGCTACCACGATATGTATGTCTCTGATGCCCGAACCGTTGAGGCACTGGTTGTTTTATGGGGTATAACCGCAAAACGCGCAAAACGGTCCGCGAGCACGAATTCGGATTTGTTTGCGAGGAAGGAACCGGTTGCATGACCACGCATTTCCTATATGCAACAACTGACATCCCGATGACTGCGAGTGACCTGCTGCTCTAGCGCCCACCTTTCATCAGGACGACTCACCCCTAGCCCACCCGTAGCTTTGGGTGCTTTTCTTAGCATTATCCACTGCTAATGAATGATCAACAGCCCATTGTCCCAAATTCAGTGCTGGGCCAGGATGAGCACTTGATCTATTGTATGTCAATTCCTACCAAAATGCAGAGTCCTAACCATGAAATTCACTCGATCCACGGTCAACAATTACCCGATCTTCACATTTAGATAATGGGTGGGCTTGAGGTGGAAATCCTCTCAAGCCCGAACGGTGGCGTGTACTCTTGCCCTGCAACATTATGCGTTTCAGGTCCAAAACTTTTGGGAACCAGCTTGGGCCATATGAAAGCCACCATACTACTAATGCAGTGCACAGGACAACAACCCGAAGACGGCGCCCCAGTCCCGCCCTCTTGGCTCTCCCCGCCAACCTTGACCAGGTTGTATGCTGGCGGAAAATTGCGATAATTAGACTGCTTCATACGCCCGAAAAATCACGGCCTACGTAGTCCATCTGTCTTTTCTACAGCCTCGAACTACCTGGGATGCTCCAGCAGAGTAATGAAGATCCCTCAAGCAAGCCCTATGTCGAGTTCGTGGCGAATCTAAGTACTCAACTTTTTGGTGATGCTTGCTCCTAGGCAAGTGGCTGAAATAAAAAATGGCACACCAGAGCTCTTTTCGTGCAAGCTGGAGACCTCATTCTGTTATTAATAATCTTTCAAATACTAACAGTAAAATAATATATCGTCTTATATTAGTTAGCTTGATATTGTGTTAATAACTAGGTTGATTGTTTTGATAGTGTCGAAAATCTGAGGCTGTATGGAAGCTTTGGTAGGGTTCTGTCTGTCCTTTTCCCCCACAGTCGCTTTTATTCAGTGTGTAGATTATTTATTTTGCACCCCATCTTGGTTCATTCTGCGAACATGGTGATTCTGATCGCCCCCGATTGAGAGCTGGTGATCAAACGACGATCATTCATGCGAATCTCGCGTATCTTGCATCGCGCTATATGTAATGGCATAAGACTCTTTAGGAGGCTTTGGGAAGGCCACGACCCTTGCAACCACTGTCAAGGGGTAATTACAATTGGTAGCGCCGGATGAGCACCGGGCGCCAGAGATTAGGCTCTCCTCGTCTACCTAGTAGTTCTTCCTTTAGCTACTTCTGTCAAGTTCCATCGATACCTTGTGATTAGTTCGTAGATAAAGCATGTGGTGATGTGATTGATCACTGTGATATTTGTAATCTACACATGTGAACGGTGACCTGAAACCTCCCAACGCTGTATAACCACCCTAATGCGAACACCATCGCGGGAGGTAGCCGGATGGTATTTTGAGCCCATGTCTTTCACCACCTCTATCGGACTAACCCGTTACATATGCGTAGGAACAAGACAGAAGAAATTTCCGAGAAAATAGGAAGAAAGAATACTCCGCGGTGCGCTTCATCTCTTCCTTCATCAGAAGGGGCGGGCAAAAGCAAACATCTCGGTTACAGGGGGGGCGGGAAGCTAGCAGCCACCATCTTTTATTGGATATTCCTATCACGGCGGAAAAAGCAAGGACAAAATGTGAAGCGAGATCATGTACTTCATTAGGTCACAAAATTGGCCAACGATAATTCACACTGGAGCAGTGCGATCTGCACAGCAGACCTGTCACAAATACATACACTAACCGAGCCAGGTCATCCGAGCATGGGTTATGCACATCCTATTGTCTAACTATTCCTGTGTATTGTCCCGTCTCCCTCCTCGCCCAGACAAGGGCTTGCGTGATCGTCTCTGGACAATTCACCCATTACTACGGCAGATTCCGAGTTGATGGGCATGGGTCCTCCTTTTCCTTCTCAAGCTGCAGTGAAGGGACGGACTGAGATGGAGAGCAGACTACAATCTGAACAATGCCTGTTGAGCTTATTCGCCCCTTTCCCAGGTAGGGATGCCCTCGCCAGCAGATATAAGCATAAGCACGATTATGCCAGTCTTCGTATTGAACACCTTGACAGTGTGAAAATCCAACTGCTCTGTTGCTGTCTCAACGTAGAATCAATATCTCCTAATTTCCCCAGCCCTCGTAAACATGTTATGGGCAGCATGAGGCAGGAGGCGTTCAAAGGAGGCGTCTAGACCCTTCGGCCCTGCCAGTGACATGGTGTATGAATATGACCCGCACATCCCCAACACAATAAATTATCAAAGGCGACTCAATCAAGGCTCAGTGGGAGGTTACATAGTGTTGCCATCGACTGGAAAGTGAGCCGAGGTGCTTCGTGGAATTGCCTCAGCTGAGCAGGCTAGGACAAGACGCCTAGAATGGCGTAGCCCACGAAAGCAATGCAGATCTACACAGGCACGGTCCGATACCCCAAACTTGTCAGGAGGTCTCATACCGACACAATGGATGTGACAAGCTTGGTTTGATGTAGCGTTTTATTGATGGAAACCAGCTAGTCGTCCATGAGCTCCGCCAGCTCTGCCTCCTCCTCTGCTGTCAGTAGCCCTTCCTCTGGCTTGTCTTCTTTCTCCTGCTTGGGCTTTGCTGCCTCCTTGATCTTTTCTATGACTTCGTCGAGCTCCTTCTTAGCCAGAGGCCATGTCCTGACAGTCCTGTCGATGCTCACGCTAGATACACTGGTGGCGCGGCCGTTGGCGTCTCGCAGTAAAACAAGATCCGTCACCTCCTCAAAGTGGCCCTCGAGGATGGTGTACAGCTTTCCTGTTGCCCGATCCCATATTTTGACGTTTTCGTCCCGTCCTGCAGTGATGACCCAGTCCTCTGTAACAGCAATTGCACGCACGTAGTCACCATGGGCGAACTCGTCCTCCGTTACAAAATTCCTGGCCCGGGACAGGCACTTGGCTGTACCATCCGCGCTGGCCGTCCACAAATCTCCGTCGTCTAGGTCGTCGTAGAACAGCCTGTAGACACTAGTTTCGTGCTCCTCGATCGTGAGCCGCTCAGTATCCGGCCGGTCCTTGAAGGATTCAGGCAGCTGCTCTGCGTCCTCGAGCGTGACCCTCCAGCGGCGGATATTGGGGTCGCTGCTCGCGCTTGCGAAGACGACCGAGTCTGCCGTGCTCAACACCGGGTCAATGGCCAGGTGCTGGACCGCGAGCATCGTCGTGCTCGGGTCTTGGAGCGTGTGCAGCCGGCGGCCCGATTCAATGTCCCAGATGAATATCTTCTTATCAGCGCCACCACTGATGAGGATGGGCTTGCCGGAAATTGTCGTGCTTACAACGGTCTTCACGAAATCTGTGTGACCGCTGAGGCTTTTCTTGGAGGCTCCTGTAGCGATATCCCAGACCCAGATATCCTTATCCCAGGAGCCTGCGAAGAGCAAACTAGACCCTTGACCGCCAACTGCGACACATGTCACGGGGGCTTTCGGTCCCCGATAGGTGGTTCTAGTTTCGGTAGACTGCAGTACATGTATGAGTAACAGGCGGCCTTCTCTCTAGGGCAGGCCAGCGTATGCTACATACATTGATGTTAAGCCTCCGGACGGTGCCAGCAGATTCAGCAATGAAGACGCCATCACTTGGGTGAAAAGGGTCAGCTATGGCAGCCAATATCTTAGACTTCATAGATATGGGATCTCCATTCTTGTTGCCAGCCTTGGCGGCCTTTCGGTCCTGTTGTGCGAAAGCCGCACTGATTTCAAATATCAGTTTCTTCAAATTGCCTAAGTCGGGATTCAGGAGTAAAGCACACTTACTCGGTCTGGAAAAAGTTATCTGGATTTGCGGATTGCATGGCTCAGAATATTTAGAAGAGTATGAGAATTAACAAGAAAAAGAGAGCAGACTGAGGAAAATCAAAAGAAAAATCGTAACAAGCCAGCTGGGTATCAATACTCTGGCGATGGTATTTGTCAGGCTGTTACCAACGCAATATTTAGGGTAGGCGGGATATGTTGCGGACCCATCGTGGGGTTAATTTGGTGGGGTTCCAGGTTTAATTGCGACGCGTCTCCTCACCGCCAGACGCGTCTTTCTCGTGGCAGCTACCAAAAGTCTTGCAGCACATTTGGCATGTGTAAATGTTCGAATTGAACAATACGTGCCTTCAATCAACATAAACCATGGACTCTACACTTGCGTCTCGTCCTCGGCCGCGGCCGGCTCATATCGCAGGCATTACACGATGTGCCTATACGACAGACGGCTCCCGTCTGATAACCGTCGGCTCCAACAATACCATCCGCATGTACAAGACAGGATTCGATGGCGAACCGACCAATTTCGATGATTGCCCAGAGCAAAATGTCACAGTCGCTGCCGGCCAGGATGCCTTTGTTGTCGGCTCTGAAGATGGAACTGTCAGCCTATATTCCATGGCGACGACCTCGGTAGATCGGTTCCTCACGCGCACAATCTTGCCGGTCCGAGATATCTCGTTGACAGCCGACTTTGAGTGGTGTGCTGTAGCCAGCGGTGATTCGACAGTCAAGATCGTGGGGATCAAGGAGGGCACGCCGGAAAAGCACCTGCGTGATCACAACAGACCAGTTCGACATGTCACCCTCGACCCACAAGGAAGCCTTGCCGCTGTTTCTGCCGACGATGGCATCATATATATATACTCTATTGCTTCAGACGAGCCGGAGCTTGTTCACAAGCTGGATGGGATTATCGGAGTGGTGGCCGATGATAATGAGGAGGTGACCACCAAAGCGGTCTGGCACCCAGATGGAAGAGCCTTTGCCGTACCAACCCCCACCCATGGGATTGAAGTCATCTCCAAGGGCGATTGGGCGAAGCAGCGCGGCTTTTCTGATGGACACCTCGCCGAGATCACTGCTCTTGCTTGGTCACCGAACGGTGCCCTGCTTGCCTCAGCAGGAAAGGATGGCAAGGTGTTGATATGGGAGACCAAATCACAGACTGTGATTCAACGCTATGAGTATTCTAACGTGCTAGACCTGGCATGGCATCCTACCAAGAATATCATGTCGTTTTCGACATCAGATGGCGAGGTTTACATATACCCTGATTTCCTTCCAGAGCAATTCAGTTCGATCCTCAAGCTACCGAAGCAACCTGCTCCATTCTTTCACGACCCTCGTGCAGAGAGCTCATTGAATAGGAGGCCCATGGTCCCAAATGGCCAACAGCCTAACAATTTGCCCTCTCGCCCCCGAAGAGAGTCTCTTGGAAGTCTTGATTCTTTTATTGGGGACGACTATGGAGATGGCGATGACTTTGTTGTGGACGATGATGGTGCTGGTTATGTTGTGGGTGGCCAAAAGAGAGCCCACGATGGAGATCTGGATGAGCATTCTCGGAAACGCAGACAACTAGAACCACAATACCATGAGTCGTTTCAACCCGGATCTACACCATGGAGGGGCAACAGGAAATACCTATGTCTGAACCTCATCGGTTTTGTGTGGACTATCGACCAGGATTCACATCACACAGTAACAGTCGAATTCTATGACCACGACCTTCAGAGAGACTTCCACTTTACAGACACATTTCTTTATGATAAGGCCTGTCTAAACGAACATGGTTCCTTGTTTTCTTGCCCACCAAAAGACGATACACCGGCCGTCATCTTCTACAGACCACACCAGACCTGGACGCAACGGACAGATTGGCGTACGGAGCTTCCCAAAGGCGAGGCAGTTACTGCCATGTCGCTAAGCGAATCTTTCATCACTGTCACGACCAGCGCCAATTACGTCCGCGTATTTACGCTCTTTGGCATCCCCTATCGTGTTTACCGCCCCAAGAGCTCGCCAACTGTTACCTGTGCCAGTTGGCGGGACTACGTACTCACGATAGGGAATGGAGCTGTTGGTCCCGACGGCAACACTCGCCTTCAGTACACGATCGAAAATGTGAAGCGAGACGAAGTGATCCAGAACGAGGACACCGTAGCTCTCCCAGAGGGAGCCACCCTACAGAGTGTTTTCTTCTCTGACAATGGCGTAAGTTGAATGTTCACGCCATGCCTTTTCCTTTGCTAACAAACCTCAAGGAACCCTGCATCTACGATTCGACGGGGACGCTGCTCACTTTGCTTCACTGGCGCCAGCCTTCTCGAGCTTACTGGGTCCCCCTCCTTGACACCAAGCTCCTCGATCGTCTTGCTTCAGGACGGAAATCTGAGTCGTACTTCCCTGTAGCGGTGGCTGACAACAAGTTCCACTGCATTATTCTCAAGGGCGGAGACAGATACCCGTACTTCCCAAGACCTTTGCTTTCTGAGTTTGAGTTCTCTATTCCCCTCTCGTCGGCTCCGAAGGAAAAGCCAAAGAAGAACGACGAAGATGAAACGATGGAAGACGACGAGGACGAGAGTGCCGATTCAGAAACAAAGAAGCTTGAGCAGCAATTTGTCCTCCAGGGCGTCAAGGCAGCACAGCTCCGCGACCTGGTTGACTCCACATCTGGAAGCCATTCACAACGCTCGTTACTCGCAAGACTCGAGCTTGAAATCGACAAGACCCTACTGCAGCTGCTTGCCGTGGAGTGTAGAGAGGGTGAGGAGCGTGGAATGCGCGCCCTGGAGATGGTGGAACTGATGCGTGATCGGACGGGTAGAATGTTTGAGGCCGCCGGCAAGGTAGCGGACCGATATGAGCGAACGCTGCTAGGAGAGAAGATTCGCGAGGTTGGGGAGAGGAGGACTAGTGGTCTGGACGATGACGAATAGTATTTAGAGCCGTGAACCATCCATCTACCCAAGAGTTGGGGGACGGATCGAGCATTGATAATTGGACATCACTTGATTAGCCAATTGGCCTCCCTTGAGTATGTTTTTTTTTTACACTATTAGCTGAACCTGGAGGCCACGTTTCGCCCGTGAGGATGTGTGGTGTCAGGAGGCAAGTCTTCCTCTGTTGGATACAGAGTTACACAATAGTTTTCTGGGGAATGTCAAGAGACTGTTGTGTCACATGCCATGCCAAGAAGCGGCACTGGCTTCCAGCTGCCCGCTGCCTCAATCAGGGGAATTTGATGGCTGCTGGTTTCTGACACTTCATGCGCGGGAAAGCATGCCGCGCCCGCAGCAAGGCCAGAAGATGCCTCCACCTGATGGTACTGTCTAATGAGGTGTTCACAATGCCACGCCTTGATAGGGTAGATGAGGCTGCCACAGGATAGGAGACAGATATAAGACGTGGGGTTGTCTTGACTTTGCAAGTGACACACCCACGGCTTCCCACAGGTGACATACCACTACTTAAGTACCAGCACAGGGCTATTGGTCCGCGAAGCCCAAAAAGGACAGAAATGGAAATGGGAAGGGATACCTTGTCCCCTGGGTATGATTGCCAACCAACCGTGGCCATGGGCCGGCAGCCAATTGAGGAGGCAGAATGACTGCCCAGGCCATCACATTTCTGGACTCAATATTCCGTCGGGAGGGAAGATGTCAGAAATGCCCACTCCCAGAGGCACCTTTTGAGTGAGACTACTTTAACATAAGGTAATAGGTTGGTGCCGGCATTCATGCAGCCTGTGATTCCAGGGTCACATGCGGCCAGTGACTGCCAGCCTGTGCTGTTTGAATGGCACCCGGTCCAATCTTTTGGATGGTCGCACGAGCGAGGGGCCGGCCCTGCTCACGTACCTGGGCCCTCCCCCAACTGCAGGCCGCATGTCACACTCGCAAGATGCCGTTGGGGCGAACCAAGGATTGCGGGAGAGAGCCCGGGAGCACACCCACTACTCTTGTCACCGTTGTACAACAGCAACGCAGCTGCGCTTGGCTGGACCCAAGCTGAGGCGTCAGGTGGTGGCACCCCAAATCGTGCTCGCACCGATCTTAAAGTTCAGACCAAATCGAGGTGGAAAGCTAGTTCAGGGATCTAGAATGACCCAGGCAACCGACGCCGAAGCCGACCTTAGTTTTTCGGTCTAGTGCTCGACTTGCCATCGGCAGGCAAGGGACCTGCTAAGGTAAGGCAAGGCAGAGAGGCCAGGTCAGGGCTCCTCATCCGATTTGGAGCGTGAGGCCGGGAAGCCCGTTTCAGCAAGCCAGGCGAGAATTGGGAGGTCGAAATGGCGATGTCGATGGTGGTGTATTGCCGACACCATCACGGAGCCAAAAGGGCCCAGATGATCAGCAAACCACCCCCCAGGCGGGCTGAGGACACACGAAGGCAAGGCCGCGGCATGACTATTCTTGACTCCCTCTCTTCGTGTTTGGAGATTTGTCTAGCGTCTACCTACCTCATAGGGCAAGTAAGCCCATTGGCGATGCTCCAGTTGGGCTGCTTGTGTACTACTCCTCAACCGCGTTAAGGTGCTTGCACTTGGCTCGGGCGGGACATCGGCGGGTACCAGATGGTCTTTTCTCACCTACATGATGATACATCTACCTGACACTGGCAAATTCCCAAGTACCTGGAATGCAGGCCGACCGGTAGGCTAGCACACCAGCACGCAGTTGCTGCTGGCCAGTGCAGTTTCTAGAACCCCGGCCGCGCCGAATCAGAGCGTTGGGAATTTTGCAGCAGAGAAAAACAAGGTTCTGCACCTAGCAGGCTCCGTACCTCTACATCAGCTTGGCATGGACGCATGGACGTCCAGGTACCTGCACTCTGGGGCGGGAGAGGGGACCAGCGTAGCAACGGCCTGTCTGGCTGAGGTGGGTTTTCCTAGCGCTGGGAGCTGACCCAGTTGGCAGGGCCTGGCAGCGCACTAGGTCAAATAAACTGGACATTACATTGGAGGGTGATGAGATATGCGATATGCGATATGCGGAGGGCTAATGACAGGCGTTCTCCCTCCAAGGGGAACCGGGTTCTTGCGTCCCGCGAATTGGGTCCCGTCGCCAGAACGAGTGAATGGGGTGTCATTTCCTATCACGGACCGGATACATGGACGCATTTACATAACGTATAAATACGCCCGCCAGCGCAGGTTACAAGACAAGGGCGGTGGCACCCTCCTGTTCCAAGATCTGGCCGCAGCTGGTTGTGGTCATAATGATGTTCTTCTTCGCCTGTTCCACCCCAGGCCTACTAAGGGACTAGGCAGGTAGGGCTAGTGGTGAGATACGTGATGGGTGTCTAGCATTGAGGGCCCGAATCGTGGATGGCGGAGGCGTGGATCAGATTGGAGTCATGGCCTGTGTGTGGCTTCTGACTCTGACTTTGCCCGTGCAGTGTTGGTGGTCTCAATTCCGCGATTCCTTGGATCCGCTGGCCCACGAGACGAAGCAGAGCATTATTATGTATTAAGGTCAATGTGTGTGGACACCTCCATGTTGGTTTGTCACGTCTTCTCCAACCGAGCTTGGCCACGGCCACCCGTTTTCTTTCTTTTCTTTTGTTGTCTTCCTACTTTTTTTTATCTTTTGTCCGGCGTGTCGGGAGGAGGGAGAGTGAGGATTCAAGCCAGGATGAAATATCACTTGGCAGCTGCGGGCGAGAGAAGGCTTGGGCGAGACAGCCAAGGGGAACTCCCCAGACCCCCTCCCCTCCACTTGCTTAAGACAATCTGTACCACAGAGCACCTCAGTGGCCAATGGATCTCTGGCTACGCGGCCGACTAGGCTAACTGGGAGCACTCACTTATCCACCTGTAGGCAGGTGGGTCCCCATTGAAGGTACTGCAGCAGAGGGCATGTCCCTCCATGCCTCCATGTACCTGTAGGCCGTAGCTACTTCCTCTAGGAGGCAATAGGTACAGCCCAGCGTTGTGTGAATGAAAATCGCAAGCCACACGCCGCACCTCTAGTGGGCTTGGGGCGGTTTTAGGAGACGGTCGAATAGGCCTGGCCGGGGGTCCCCTTCCCCACTCTCCTCCTCCCCCCCCCGAAGGTAGCGCCAGGAGCGCCTACCTAACTCACCACCAGCCAGCACGAGCAGTCTTCTCCAGCCGGCCGACCTTCCGACCTTCTCATCTTGTCGACCTCCACCTCTCGGTCCTGGGCCCTTCTATCCTCAACCCTCTGCATCTCCTGCGCAACCGCCTGAGCGTGCATCTTGCTTTCTCCTGACCTTGCCTGTCCGCCGGAGCCCTCAATTGTGCAGTCTCGCTCCTGTCCCCCAGCTGTCCGCGACTCCGCCCAAGCTCCGTTGACAAACCCCCCCCCAAGCTTGCTCAAGCTTCGCGACCAACGTTGCAGCCTCCAGAAGCTGTTGTAATATCCCCTGCGCATCCATGCGACACTGAATCAGCCCTCTTTCGACTTGCGATCTGCATTTGGTGTGGGCAACCTGTAGTTAATTGCAGTACGAAGGAGCCCGGGTTGATCAACGACGCTGCCTTGTTTGCGACGCCGATGCGAGAGAGCTGCGATACATCCACCAGCGCCTAGATTCCGGACGACGCTGTTTGATTCAGCACCTACCGCCTATGGGTGTGGTAGTATTCGCGATCGCTGTCATCTTGTTATAAAGTTTCCCCTCCTGGAGAGCATCAATTGGTAGACATGAGGTAAGTCCGATACCGAGGCGTATGCGTGCTGTTTTGCTCCTGTCGCGTGAATACCAAGATCGCACACCCTATGTTGGGATCCCAGCATTCCAAGTTGGCCGTCCTGAAGCTGTTGACTGGTATGCGTGCGGCTATCGTGAACAAGCTCGAACGGCCGCCTTTTCATGATGCGCCCATGGCATTGGAGCTGACTGTGTGATCCTCGTTAGGGCAGACCGGTGGTGCGACTGAGTGCGCTGTAGACACCCACGTTAGGACCAACCTGAGAGCGACAACGGCCCACGACATCCAACCTGAACCTCGCTCTCCGCGAGAGCCGCATTGACTCCTGGCTATCCTACCTCTTTATTTCCTCCAAGGCGCTTTAGCCGCATAACACAATCCAACATGTCTACGTCAGCCTCCGTGGTTGCCGAACCCATGGAAGTAACCACACCCAACAGCCACAAATCCCCTTCCTCTGGCCAAGGGCCGGACCAAGACTCAGACAGCAAGATGAATGATCATTCCAAAACTTCTTCGCCGCAAGAACAAAGCGCAGCTTCGAATCCCATCCCCATGGTAGCCCCACCACCCGCTGCCGCTGCTATCCATCAGCCAAAGATCGTTCAAACGGCTTTTATTCATAAGCTCTACAAGTTAGGGAATTCCCATTAGAGGCTGCTTGAGGAACTCAGTTGACTAACACGACCTGTAGCATGCTCGAAGATCAAAACATTAGGCACTTGATAGCTTGGTCATCCACGGCCGACAGTTTTGTCATGTCACCCTCGCCTGATTTCTCAAAGGTTTTATCGTGAGTGAGACCTGGAAACGCAAACCGTCTGCAACACTCTAAAGCTAACGATATTCAGACAATATTTCAAACACACCAACATATCCTCCTTTGTGAGGCAGCTGAATATGTATGGGTTCCATAAAGGTATGTTATCATCATGGGCGGCAGTGTCTATGAAGACGTACCTAATTCGGTTGGTGTTTATATATAGAACGAGATGTTTTTCACACTGGCAACCCGGATAGTACGCTTTGGGAATTCAAACATGGCGGTGGCAACTTCAAGCGGGGTGATCTGAATGGGCTTCGGGAGATCAAGAGGCGGGCGAGTCGTCATGCCCTCGTAAATCGTGAAAGTAACTTCACGAAGCCTGTCTCCTCACAGCCAGGCACGCCCGCAGAGCCAATACACGTAAATCCCGAGACTGGTGATAGTCGATTGGCGAATTTGGAGCAGACGGTGTATGAGCTCAGCGCCCGACTGCTAAGAACCGAAGAGAATGCCCATTATGCCAACGTCCGGAGTCAAGCCGCCGTGGACATCTTGAACCGCCTCCTTCATTTTAATCAGGAGCTGTCAAAGACGATACTCACTCTTGTTCCTACTGACAGTAGTGCTCATCGAGATGGTAAGTGGAGGTCTGACAACATTGCTTTTGCGGAATACCCCTGGCTAACATATTTCATCAAGTTGCGGTGCTCCAAGCGGACATGCAGAGGCACGCTGAGACTATCCGGTCTTTGGAGGACAATGAGCCTCCATCCTTTTCCACCAGGCAGCAGTTTTTCTCTAACATTGACAACGCTCCCATCTCTCCACGGCAGTTTCCCCAGGATGACACTAGGCGTTCAAACCTGACCGTTCCACAGCCGCGCAATCAAAATCTCTATCGGCCCTCAGTACCCTCTAATCTGTCGGTAGGCTCACGACGGCCCTTTGGCTCGATCGGCGGGGTTGCTACAGCCCAGTCCTCTCCCTCGCGCAACCCTCCCCCAGCTCCACCACCTGGACAGCATCTGCTCCCTATTGAGCACCCGAGTATGGCAAGAAGACATACCGCGGCCGACATTAGGGCTCATGGCTGGCAAACCGGAATGTCACCACTTGGCGCCACTTCAACAGCTGCCTATCCTTCTTCACCGAGCCGTGTTCCCCCAGAGGACCAGCGCATCCGGGAATCTCTATCTTCTTACACTTTACAAACCGCATCCAATCCTCATCCCAACTCCCGGCCCACCACCCCTCCGTCGATGTCTAATGGAGTGGGAGGAGGCGGCGCAGAAACATTTGGCAATTGGACCTGGGGCTCTGCCGTCAGCAGGAGCCTGAAAGATTCTTCGGGGCCGCCAACACGTCGAGGAAGTATGGCCCATATACTCAACCCTAGCGATACCACCGAGCGTGCCGAAGAAGGCGAGGATCCGCGGGGAGATGACGACAGGAAGCGAAAGCGGATGTAGTATTTTCCTTTTTGGCAACTAGCACTGTACCATGTATACCACAGACCGACACCGGATCGTACCTAGGCCGCGAAACGTTTTCATTATTCCTGACTGGCACTCAATTCCAAAACGACTGCGTACTTGGATCGCCTGCAGGGAGCGGTCTCGCCAAGGATCGGTTAAACGAAAAGAAGAGTGCAACATGCACAACCTAACATTGTTGTACCGAGCGCGCAGGGGGGTGTGGCCTGTGTATACAGGCAGCCCCAATTCATGTCGTTGGCAGAGCGACGAGTCTCATATACACGAACGAGGCCTCACTACCTGCTTCTATCTACCTGGGAATCCTAGGGCTGGTCGCAGGTCTACATCTCCATCTACATTTTGGACTAATACTGTGCAGAGCACGTGTAGCATTGCTGTGATACCCCTGTGGTTGGCGCGGAGGCTGTAAAATGGTTTGCCCCGCGAAGGTTGATGACGAGTATGTTGATGTTGGGAACGAGGCAGACATAGCCATGGCCGTATATAATTTTTTGGGTCTTGCATTCTTGGATAACCCGCCGTTAACCTCATCATGTCAGCAAAAGGAGTTGGCAGATCTCATGGATCTTGATTGGATTTTCCCTAGCCACTTGGGTATCATGCTCCTTTTAAAGAGGAGAACCTACTCGAGAAGAGACATAATACTTTCCCCTCTTTATGAAACAAGACTAGAGCCGTGATCTCATTATGTGTATTTTCGTTTCATGTGTCTATTTACTTAAGCTTATGAGACTCCCTCATTCTTGGATTTTCTTGTTCTTGTTCTTCCTCTTCTTTTTCTTCTTCTTTGTTTGTGCTTCTGCAGTCGACTGATTGTGGTCTGGTGTATCGGAACTACCTGGCTCCCTGCTCTGACTCGTTCTCGTGTCGTCCAAGTCATTGTGCCCTTCTTCTGTTTGGTCCTGCTCCACGTTGTCCTCACGAGCCTGGGAGCTTGTTTCTACCTCGACCGCCTCCTGGGCAGTTTCCGCTACCCTCTTCGGCCTCTTCCTCTTCCCCAGCGAGCTCCTGCCGCCCTCGTCATCCTCCTCGTCCTCATCCGCCTGCCGCCCCCCCCGCCTCCCGGCATTCAGTTCCTTGCGCTTGCCGAGCAGCCGGCCCCTCAGCATCCGGTCCTCCCTCGCGGCCTCGTCGCTCTTGGCCTTGGCGGCGTCGGCGACGTACCCCACGCCCTCGTTGGGGCGGGCGTACTCCCGGAACAGCTCCTCCTCGTCTGGGCGGTGGTGCTTGGAGGGTTGGCGCTTGGCGGTGGCGGCGCCGGAGGAGGATGACTGCTGGTTCATGGTCTTGAGGACGGAGGACTGGGCGGAGAGGAGGAGGGAGATGCGGTTCGAGAGGGCGGCGCGGTCGGGGGCGAGGGGGAGGGGAAGGGGTTTGTCGGGGGCCATTGCGCCTGAGGGGGAGAGGCGCTCCTCTAAGCCTGGCTTGGGGAGGAATTGCTTTGCGCTGACGGGGGGATTGGTAGATATTTTAGAGCGCTTGGGGTAGGATTACGTCTGTGAGGATGGGGTCTGTAGTGCAATTGGAGCCCAGGCGGGGTGGGAAGGTCGAGGTGGGCGAAGAGTCTTGGGATGTATTTGATGGCTAGATTTGCGATGATGGTTGAACGGGATTGGAGGTTTGGAGCTTTGGGATCTGCAACTTTTTTTGTGGAGACGAGTCAAGCTATTTTAATCTGACGACGGGTAAGACAATTTGGTAGCTTGGAAGCTTCATAATAGAGTAAAATAGATACACGGTGAAAACTTAGAGTGTTCTTATTATAGGAATAAATAATGCTTTTCTGTGCATGCTTTTTGCGCAACTAATACGCTAGATTAGGTAAAATTGAAAGTCGCTATGATGTGATCGTGATTATGCTCGTCAGTCGTGCTGGTCTGCCGTTGAGGACCAGAGGGCCGATTTCCCGGCCTATGTACCGGCTTAAAATACATGGTATTAGATATATTAGATATTGAAACATGAAGCACCATCCTTCCACGATATTTTGTGGATAGGGGTCAAGTCAGCGAGATAGGTTCCTTGGTTATCTCTGGGCTGGACTTAGACTCTCCGCTGTGCCACTCAGGTTCAGGACGTAGGGCCCATCCTGGTTGTCTTCGTTCGTGGAGAGGCGAATCACCGATGCTGAGCTCCCAGAGCGAATACTGGGGCTAGGTGAGCGAGAGTCGTCCATGTGGTACGGATTCCGAGACTGGGCAAAACTATTGCTGCTGCTGGACTTGCGAGAGATGACCCGCGCTGTGCTGTGAGGGGTGTTTGGTGCAGTCCGGTAAAGGTTCCAGGAGGAGCTCCGCATGGGCCGCCTGACTGAGCTCTGCGAGCTGACAGTAGCAGCTTTGGAGCGTTGGCTTCTGGGGGTCATGGCGCCATCCCTGTTGCTTTGACCAACGAAAGACTCGGTGTACGACTGGAGCTCTTGCTCTGCATCCAAGGCTTCGAGATCCAGGGTCTGCATAGAGCGAAGCATCTCCGCGAACAGATGCATCAGTTCGCGGAATTTCGCATTCGAAATTGGTCGGGTGGAGAAGCGGGCGTATTCGTATCGTTCCAGAAAGCTAGCAGCCGTGTCATCGATATTCAGGACGCCCAGCGAGGTCAGCTGCTCGATGTAGCCCCGAAGACTGAGATATGAAGGTTTTTGGAGTAAAGCGACTGCCTCCGGGTCCAGCACCGGGGGATCGGACTGCGACGTCGGGTCTGGCGGCGCGAGGGTGAGAGCCTTGGCCTCTATTAAGTTTGGAAGCTCGGAGAGAACGGTCGAGTACTGCAGGTTGGGCAAGTCGGCCAGGTTAGGGGATGACCAGCCATGGTGCTCGATACCGTCCCAGATCCTGCTCTGCAGAGTCCGCGATATGCCCAGGCCTTCTGACGCGGGAGGGATGACCCTCTCTCCTGGCTGACCCTCCTTCTTGTTCGGGTCGGCACTCGGGCGTGCCTCGAATGCGATGGCGGCGCTGCGCTCCAGGCCAGCTTCTATGATTGCATGTACGGCCCTATTCACATCACCAGGCTTGATCGGTAGGGTGGATTTCGGGATCGCGGCGAGGACGGTCTTGTTGACGTAAAGTCGCATGAGGTAGATGAAGGTGACGATGAGGACGGTGACGACGTAAAAGATTACAAGAATCCATATGTTGTAAGTCTGGCGGTTTTGTAACGATCGAATAATGGCGTCGGCGGGGGTGATGAGTAGTAAAGCAAGAAGAATAACATAGAGAACAAGGTAGATGGAGCCGTAGACGATACGGAAGAGTTGGCGTGCTGTAATCATGTTGGCGGTGCCCGAAGTGTCTCAGGTCCGCGGATGCGACCGAGATATTCTATGATGGTATCTTGATGCGCATGACTAGAGAATTGGAGAGGAATGACAGCATGGGGGCACAAATGGAATGAGTGGCGCGAGGCTGGTTCCTCGCTGGAACCGGTGAAGGGGTTGGTCTGCACATTGACAGGGACCGATCCAGAAGTTGGATGTGGAGGTTGGTCATTATAAGGGACAGGTGCCAAGGCAGTTGCTATTTCGGGGCGGGGCACAGGGTAGGCAGGCAGATATCCACCTCGAATCTCTCACTACGACGTGAAGACTGTACACCATCAAATTAAAGGATGTGACATGGTACAATAAAGGTGTACATTTGAGCTAGTGTGCGAGAAATCAATTTCATATTCGACCTTTTATACATATATCATGTGGTATCAATTAGCCTCCCGATCCGCTTTATCCCCCTGAGTACGCCGGCTTTATGTTTTCTACCTATGCCTCACTTGCTCCATTTCAGGCCGACTGTGTCGTCGTCTGGAAGGCTGCCGTGTCTCTATGTCCTGAGTCACCTTCTCAGTAATAATTTGACGAGAAGTCTTTTCGGGGACCTTTTCCTTCTCTGCTACTGGCTGGGGTGCAGCAGGCTTAGGCTTTTCTGCAGCCTCTTTAGCCTGGCGCAAATCTCCTTGAGTGAGTCTCAGATCGTGGCTGAAGGGCTCGAAGCTGGCCACAATTTGCCCCAGGCCAGTCCGCAGAGCTTCAAGAACTTGATCAACTTCTGGGGTGTCCTTGTCGGAGCCAGCGTCGGTCCAGTGAACGGGGAACCGTTGCTTCAATGCCTCAACGCTTTGGATCACGGAAGTAAGGGTCCTAATGATGTTAGGGACATCTCGGTGGACATTGCCGAACTGGTCTTCTCCCAAGCTGTGAACAGCCAACTGACACAGAGCGTTCACCGCATGACAGTAAAATGCCGGCTCTGCATATGGTCCGCCTAGCACCGCAGCTGTAAATGCGGTGCGGAAGTCTTGTCGGAATAGTAGGTCAACCCAGTGTAGCGACTTAATTAATTGTAAAGTGGTACTCTGAAAGTTGTTTTTGATGCCTTCCGAGGATACAGCATCCTGCTGCTCCTTTGTCAGAACACTATCCTTAGTCTGAGCCCAGGTCTTCTTTGCGATAGGACTGAGCTTGGACAATGGCGAGCTGCCGCTGTCATGGGATGCGCCGCTGCCCAATGCATGCGCGCCCTGGTCGATGAGTGTCGCGAACTTTCCCGCTCTCGAATTTGGAGCGGACGTGTTGAAAATAGGGTCATTACGTAGCGAGGAGTTGGTGATCTGTGATCTAGGGTTGACAGCTGCTAGGGCTGGCTGAGCAGGTGCTGGAGGCTTTCCATAGTCTTTAGCCCGAGTATCTATGCTCTTGACAACATCCATACAGACAGCGTAAACTTGAGACCACATAGGCCCCTCCTTTCGGTCAATATCGACATAAATGGCTTTGCGCCTGGGCTCAAACCTCTCGGCAATGCGGGAAAGCTCCCACATAGCGAAGAACTAATAAGTGAGTTAGAGGATAAAGGCACTGAGAAGATAAGGGAGAAATACGACTGGGACCATGCTTACTTGAATAGAAGGCTTCTTGCTCTTCAAGCCATTTAGGAGACTGCCATTGGGGTCCTTTGACTCAGATGTAAGAGGCTGGTCATTCTTCAGAGGTTCCTGAACCATAAAGATGGAGAATGCGATGTTGGCGGCGGACCACATGAAGAAGAGTAAGGTCCCGGCGAAGACGCAGCGAATGACGAGAAACACGTCCACTGGCCAGGACAATGGGAGCAGATTCGCCTTGGGTAGATTATAGAATGGGCGGAGAAACATCAGGGCCCAGCCCCAGGCGATGGACCTGACGACGGTAAAGTATACCACGAACGAGACGATATAGGATACGAAGGCCATTTGCACGGAGTGTGCAAGAAGCCTGGGAAACTGCAAAATAACCCTTTTGAGGGAAGCCGACTGATCCTTGGTCCCATTTTGACGGGAGATTCCCAGGTCCAGACGATCAATGTCGTTTGTAAAATGGACAATGCTCTGTCTAAGAGCACAGAATCCAAGATAGCTTGCCAAGAAGAGAGTGCGCTCGTTGACTCTCGCCCGATCGCCACTGAAGTAGGTGACCCAACTCAAGTTTGCTGACTCAGGCGTCGACCAGAGAAATACTGGAGAGAATAGAGTGCTGGAGAAGAAGTACCAGAATGCGGTCTCGTAGGTTGAGAGCTTCGTAAGGCTGGCTCTCAAGGTTTGGCTGCCTGTTCCGATCGTTCGAAGCCCGACATGGTAATTAGCTATCCGGAGGACGAGGATCGCAAGGCCGCAGGTAAAGATGAATGCTGTTCGAACTCCCGCGCCTCCAAGGGGAAACCAGGGCCAGATGACTATGCAGTGTTAGCAATTGGGATTTCTGGGCTGGTGTAATGCGTTGCTCACGAGAGTTCCACTGAGCCAAGGCGAGAGCCTCAGCATAGGAAACAGTTAAAAGAATGATAGCCGTCGAGGCAAATCGCCGTTGCAACGCGGGTTGCAAGAAGTCCTTATAAGGAGCCCTTCGGACTGTGAGGCCAGCCATTCTCACAACGCATCGTCTGCACGAAGAGTTGGTTGAGAGAAAGCTGTACTGACAGATGCGCTAATGTAAATAAAAACCTACAGCTAGCAACAGTATCTTAGGTAAGATGTCCAGGAAAACAAAGCTTGATCGCCCCTTACCTAATCAGTCACGTGGAGATTGCGCCAGGCACTTGTCACCGAGGTACGTACAGAGTGGAGGCGCAGGGTGGCGCTTATTGGCTCTAGTAGTGGCTGGTTACGTCGACATGCACCAGGCACCCGGAGCGACAACCACCATCCCGCTGAAACCAACCATCGCCTCATCCGACATCGCCAACACAAGCCTTCCAACCTCAGGAGGCTCTTCTTACACCCTGCTTCATTTAGACTTCATAGCCATCGTTGCGTTTTGGTTTTTCGCATAGAAACGATGTCGTTCGATCAGCTCTCAAGCCTCGAGGCGGGCGCTCGCACCGGCTATACCGACGACCCAGGATTCCGCGATTTACAGTATGAGCTCAAGAACAAGCTACAGTCGCTGATGGTCAGCAATCGCAAGCTCGCAAGCGATGTCGGTGTATTGGGAACAAAGAAGGACACGCCGCGGCTGCGCGAGCGTGTCCACGGCACAATGGAAAAGACCCGCGACATCTGCAGAGAGTTGGGAGAGGGAGTCAAGAAGCTCCAGACTTGGGAGGAGCTGACCGTACGTTGCGCTATCTGTGGTATGGATCTTGGGATGTGAAGCTGACTCGATTCATAGAAACAACAAAAATACGAACAGACCAAAATCTCCAGCGACTTCCAGGCAGCGCTCCAGGAATTCCAATCCCTTCAACGAAAAGCGCTCGAGAAGGAAAAAGCATCTGTCAGCGCGGCGCGCACAGCTCACGACGCAGAACAGACCGGAGCGGGATCTCCATCGGGTGCGCCGCTTGAGCAATTGCAGAGGCAAGAGTTTGCGCCGTTGGCGAATCAGGATGAGGTCGACTTCCAAGAGGCTCTGATTATCGAGCGCGAAGAGGAAATCCGCAACATTGAACAGGGCGTGGGCGATCTCAATGTGCTGTTCCGACAGGTTGCGCAGATCGTCGACGAGCAAGGGGAGCAGCTCACATCTATCGAGGACAATGTGCACAACGTTCGTGACGATACCCGACAGGCAGACATTGAAAATCGCCAGGCCGCGCGATATCAAAAGGCTGCCCGCAACAAGGGCTGCTGCCTGCTTCTCATCCTCGCAGTCATCTTGACTATTATCATCTTGGCTGTCGTTGTTGGTTGAATGAAGTGGAACTTCTCGGTGGCTTTATTCTTTAAATTTCCTTTGTCTTATGGGTTATACTTTTCTTTTTCCTATATATCCTACATTGGCGTTCAGATCGTGTTTTATGGGCATCTAGTTGTAACAGCGTTGAAGATAGTGTACATGAAACGGCAAGAAGCCCGTTATTATTTTACACCCAACATCCAGTGTTGTAGTTAAGCGCTTCCCTGCTTTTTCTTGAGCTTCTCGGGAGAAGCGGGCAGGTAGGATCGTACATGGCTTCTCCCCATATTCGGAGGCTGAAGCCTTGCTTTCGTCATTGGGAAAATCCTCTTCAATATTAAGTCGTTGAAAAAGGTCAGGCTGAAGCTAGTCAGCCAATAGACGAAAATAGCACTTGGAAGATGCGCAACGACAAGAGGGAAGAGAGGTACGGCAAGGAGAACTCTCTGGAAACCTCTAGTCATGGGTGAGGTTCCGGCTTGGCTCCCACCAGCGCCCACCAGCACTCGGATTCTGTCTATGCCCAGACTTCCCCAACTCGTGCTCGCAAGGACTGCAGTGCAAAGCAGTGGAAGACCAAAGTAAGGATCGGCGACTGTCAGATCTGTGAACCAGAGCAGGCCGCCCTGGGTCAGAGACGGGTCGACTAGAGCGCTGGCCGCCGTAGACGTAGCCGCCGAAGCTTTCTCCCCAACTGTGACAAGCCCCATATAGACAGATACTCCGCTTAACCGTCTGAGAGCCTCGGAAGCCAGGACGAAGGGGAACATGGTCGTCAGAGGGAGAAAGCTCTTCCAGATTTGCACGCCCCAGGATCTGTAGAGCCTCCTGCGTGAACTCCTGATAGCTCGTAAGCTGGCTAGATTCCTCGCATGTGAGTCCACTTGCTTTCCCGGAGCGGCTGCGAATTCTTGGATGCGGTGCCGCCAAGCCCAGGCGTTGACGAGAGGAGTGAGCTGGTTGCGCTTAGCGGCCAGGCTTCGAGCGTAGTACTGCATGGGCAGCCTGAAGGTGAAGTTGACCCCCGCGGCCACGAGAGGGATGGTGAGGTACCAGGGGAGCCCGGCATTGTGGATGGATGCGATGGCTTCGGCTGTCCATGTGGCTGCATGGTCAAAGGTATGCACAATTGGGTGATACTCTCGACGACCCCCAAAGCTCAAACAACCAGGCCGGGAAGTACTTGTCAGCCGATTGGGCACGATACCCTTCCTCAGCATACGGCCTGATGTCCTTGAGAGCATATACATTGCGACGCAAGCCGGTACATTGGCGCCCCGACCCGAATTGGGATATATTGCCAGGCACAATTGAGGGTTGGCTGAGAAGGTGAGCAGCTGACCTTGATTTTGCTATGCCAGTGATGAGAAGCTCACCTTGAGGGTGGGCCGTGGTCCAGGTGGTGGGTGCACCTGCCATAGGCACAGGCACAGGCACAGGCACCCGACATGCCGCTCACAGGTGCCCAGTAGCACCCCACCCTGCCAGCAGAGGACTGCCAAACCGCCTACAGAGGCTCTGTCTGGAAACACGTGTGCTGTAAATCGAGAGGGCTTGGTGGGCCTACAGGCAGCTTGAGCACTGTAGCACCCTCCAGAGTGGCCTATTGTCGGGTGGAGAAGGCCCTCGTTTTGTGAACAGAGTCGCCTCACCTGTGCTTCCGTCATTCTCACAAATAGCTGCTCCTACCATCTCGATATATATTCGTAGCTGTATCCCGGCGCGGAGCCCAGTCACCGTGCATTTCCATTGTCCCGCATAGCACAGCTCCGGACACAGCTCCCCGTCGCTAGCCCGGTTTTGAACGGCCGGTACGGTCTAGATATGCTCTGGCTACTGCGACGGTAGACTACCTCTCACTCCGACCACCCCCCGTCGGTGGTTCATTCGCTTCTTCATTCGACTGCTTGTCGGCACCATTGGACCACTCGTTTTCGGCATCCTGCTTTATTTTCAGCATTTGCAGAAATGGATGAACCCTCGGAGGCCGCAGCCCCGGGCCCGGTGGCTTCGATTCTCAAGGGGGTTTTGACACTGGCGGTGGCCTTTGCGCCCTTTCTGACCGCCTTCGTTGGACCCAAGCTAGTCCGCCTTTTGGGCGCCGGTCTTGGCTGGATTTTAAAGAAGAAGACCGAAGGCAGACGGGCGCTACTTCTCTCTCTTATGAATGACAGTGATGCCAAGTTGGCAGAGCAGACCAAGGACCAGGAGACTGCTAAGGAGAAAGGTCCTGGTGCGAGTAAGGGAGCATCAGAGAGCCAGAATGAGTGGGACGGAATTGTTGGCTTTTTCCACCCCTTCTGGTAAGGTCCCCTTGTTCCCTACAATGAGCTGAACTATCTGACCGAGATTCGACGTATAAGCAATGCTGGAGGTGGCGGAGAGCGAGTGCTTTGGGCAGCTATCAGGGCTACACAAAACCACTACCCCAAAGCCAAGTGTGTGGTATACACAGGAGATCATGAAGTGAACAAAGAACAGATCCTGTCTCGAGTCAAGGTCAGAATAGCTTCACCTCTCACTGATACATCATAACCTGTCCCCGATTGCTTACATCCGAACAGAGCAGGTTTAACATCAACCTACATGCCCCTACAGTCCAGTTTCTGTATCTCTCGAAGCGCCAATGGGTTCTCAGCTCTACATGGCCTCACTTTACCCTCCTTGGTCAGTCCCTCGGTTCAGTAGTGCTGGGCTGGGACGCATTCTCTCTGCTGGTCCCTGATATCTTCATCGATACAATGGGGTATGCCTTCACGCTCGGACTGGCCAAACTGCTCTTCCCTCGTATGCCAACAGGTGCCTATGTCCACTATCCCACGATATCCACGGATATGCTGGACTCCCTGGATCCCAATTCGGCCGTCGGCTCTCTCGGAGTGAATGCCGGAAGGGGTGTTGGCACTCGGGGCTCGTTAAAGAAGGCATACTGGCAGCTGTTTGCTCGCATCTATTCCTGGGTAGGGTCCTCCATCGACGTGGTCATGACAAACTCAACCTGGACCTCCGCCCATATAAAGTCACTATGGGGCCCCTTGCGTGCCGAGAAGGACAAGGGCCACCCCATCACCGCGGTCTACCCGCCCTGCGCAGTGGAGGAGATGGAGCAGGAGGTGGAGGTATCTGAAGCGAGCGAGAAGCAGCGCCAGAACGCGATAGTCTACATCGCTCAGTTCCGACCGGAGAAGAACCACCAGCTCATCATCCAGTCCTTTGCCAAATTCATCAAGTCGGGAACCGAGGCTGCTGAGGATGCGAAGCTGGTGTTGATCGGCAGCGTCCGGGGCGACCAGGATAAGAAGAGAGTGTACGAACTTCGACTAATGGTGAACGAGCTGCACATTAAGGACCGTGTCGAATTCCACCTTGATGCCTCGTGGCCAGAGATCCTGGAATGGCTCCGCAAGGCATCCGTCGGCGTCAACGGCATGTGGAACGAGCATTTCGGCATTGGCGTGGTCGAGTATCAGGCCGCCGGCCTTATTTCCGTTGTTCACAATAGCGGTGGCCCCAAGCTGGATATTGTCATTGAGATTGATGGCGAGCCCACAGGTAAGTTTCTTCTTGTGTCATTTAATGAAGCTCATTTGTTAGATTAAGGAACATGTGTACTGATTCGTGCGCGACTAGGATTCCATGCTACATCGGTGGAGGAGTTCGCCGAGGGCTATGAGAAGGCCCTCTCGCTTCCCGACCCTCTGGCCGTCCGTCTTCGAGCTCGGAAGTCTGCAAAGCGATTCACAGAGGAGGAATTTGCCCGCCAATGGCTGATCCACCTGGATCGGCTGGTGGCTCTGGCGCACTAAGGAACAGCGTTTTAGCAATACATTGGGTTGGCACTATAGATAGATCAAGGATACCCCCTTCTTTTGTAGAGAGACACGGCGTGCGGGCTGTGCGGTGAAATCATTCCATTTTCAAAACAAATAATCATGCTTCATATAATTCTGCCGCCGAAACAATGCAAGGCTATGTGACTGCAAGGAATCTAGCGCTGTCTATACCGATCTAATACATCTATGCAGTAACACCTCCGCTGTTCTTCTGCCTGGGCTCACTCGCCGCCTCGAAGACTCCGTCGCCGTGGCGCCACACGCCCTGGACGGCACTGAGACCGGGAGCCACGTATCTGATGTTGTGTCCTCTCTCTACCAGACCGTCGACAGTCGAGTTGTCGAACGCATACTCAACCAGGACATGGTTTGGCATGAGCTGGTCGTGCAGCCTGGGCTCGCCGATGGCGTCCGTGAGCGACATGCCGTGCTCGAGGGTGTGCCAGAGGGCCAGCGCGGTGGACGAGATGATGCGGGAGCCGCCCGCGGCGCCGACCGTCGCCAGCAGGGTGCCGTCCGGGAGCGCAGCGATGACGGGGGTGATGGAGGAGAGGGGCCGCTTGTTGGGGCGGACGAAGTTGGCTTCCGAGGGCTCGAAGCCGAACTCGTTGCGGACGCCGGGGATTGAGAAGTCGTTCATCTCATTGTTACTGTACGTTCGGGAGGTTAGAAGGGGTTGTCTTGTTGACGTATCTTATTACATTTCGGGGGCAAGATGGTGATGGCTTACATGATGACGCCAGTCTTTGGATCCATGATCTGAGCACCGAAAAGAAGGTTGACAGTAGTGGTGAGGGATGTTGCCATCCCAGAATGGTCCGCGGTGGAGATGTGAGAAGTCCCATGGCTGTCTGTGGTGTAGATCTTGAGAGGGTCGTATTCCGTGACCGGCAATGTTTGGTTGTCTAAAATGCGGTTGCGGATGTCCCTGGCGTTCTTGTCGCTGATCATCTGGGACTGAAAGCTATTCATATGGTCGACAAAGCTCGGGTCGCCTAGCTGAAGCCGAGCACTGTATGCGAAGCGCATAGACTCGACGAGGCGGTGGGTGGTCAGGTTGACATCTTGCCAGTCTTCCAGGTCATATTGCTCCATAGTCTTCAGAATGCTGAGACACACGGCGCCACCAGCCGGTGCGCTGATGCCGTGGAGATCCACGCCTCTGTAGGAAACCTTGGCAACGTCCCTGGAGATGACCTGGTAGTCTCTTAGGTCGTCGAGAGTCATGGTACCGTTTGTTTCCTGGATGATGGCGATCATGGACTCGGCTATGGGTCGGTGGTTAGTTTCAAGTGCCAACAACTCTGGCCATGCATCGACATACCAATCTTTCCGGTATAGAACGCATCTGCGCCATGCCTGGCAATCGTTTCTAAGGTCCTGTTATAAACGTCAGTCTGGAGCCCAAGGAAGCCAGGGGGGAGAGATGACTGACTTCGCGTAGCGCTTCCGGGTCATGGTTTCACCAACTTCCAAAAGCTTTCCTATGCGAGTGTTAGAGAGTTACGGAGACACAAGGATATCAGGGTCTCAAACCATTCGGAGCGAAGTCTTCAGCCCATACAGGGTCATCGACAAGAAATCCGGGACCGTCGCTGGTAGCTCTATTACAATACCTGACGAAATCCTCCGACACTGTGATGGGAACATGTTAGCAAAACCCTACCATTACAGCCAGTAATCCAAAGCTCACCTTTGAAGCCATCTCTTGCCACTCGAATAGCACCCTCTATGACGACATCCCATGGCAAGCTCTAGATTCATACAACATTAGTGAGAGCCGGCGTAATTTGCGAACCGCGTGAAACTCACGCCGTATTTCTTGTGGGTATACTCGAGACCTCGGACCTCGCTTGGCACGCCGGCCGAGAGACCCCCGTAGACGCTTCCCGCGATGTTACCCTGGTACATGTCCTGGAAGGCTGCAGCCGGGGCGGACTCTCTGAAGTCGATGGCCTCGTAGTTGCCCTTGGCATCTCGAACAAGCACAAAGCCTCCGCCGCCAATGCCGGAGTGGTACATGCCAATCACGCCAACACAGAATGTTGTACCAACGAGCGCGTCAACAGCATTTCCCTATGTTTCCTGTTAGTGAACAAGTAATTGTAGCGGAGAACTAGTGCCTGGGGAGCGGATGGGAAAGGTAGGTACACATACCCCTCTGGCAAGGAGATCTCTCCCAATGGTGCTACACTCGATGGCCTCACTGGCCACTCCCCCAATAAAGTCGGGAGAGATGCTATTCTGGTAGACGAAGCCCGGGTTGAGCGCCGCACCTAGCGACAGGCCATGGTGGAGGAATGCTGCCAACAACAGACGGACGGCATGGTTCAACACCTGTGATATTGCTACGTAGATCGGCGAGGCCAGGGTTAGTTGGAAATAATTGGCCGCCGGAGCTTCTGGCTTGCTGTTCACTCACGCATCCTGTCCTAATACAGCCTTGAGTGGAAAAGAGAGACGCAGCCCTACACACTCACACTCACTCAGCTTATCGTTCCGATTGTCGGAGACCGATAGATAGACACGATGCTCTGCTGCGCACGTCTTAGCCTTGCAGGATGATGAAATGAGAGCAGCCAGGCTTCCCTTCCTCCAGTGTAAGACCAGCAGAAATCACAAGACCGGCGTCCGGGTAGGTAGGACAAACGGGGGACAGCTCGGGTCACAAGACAGCAATAGTAATATATTATCTAGGGACGGGTGTGTCTTATCTCCTCCCTAATAATACACACACAAAGCAGATCCCGGTACATGAATCGCCGTCTCCAGTAATTGGCAGCCTTCCGCAGCCAATCAGCACCTCGGCCGATTCGCCATCTGCGGAGCGGATCGTCAATTTCGGTCGGGCATCGTGAAGACCGCGCCACGGCAATGAAGGCACGTTGTGCGTTTTATGTTCAATTTAAAGGTGGCTCTGGGGGGGAATCTAAGTTTCCTGGGGAAGATTTCCACCGTTGGCACCGTTATCTGCAGGTACCTCTTACCGAGCAAGTCGCGAGGGAACAGCCAGTTACGGCAACCTGATAAGATGCCCCCCGAGGAGTCACCTGGACGAGTGAGGTAAGGTACCTGGGTAAGTAATTAGGGTATCTCGCTCCAGCACAGCCCATAGCGACAAATTGAAGCTAGCAATCCGACTGCTGGTATGTAGGAGATCGGTATTGATTCTACTATCTTTCTCCATCGTCAGAATCCATCTGGAACTCGAACAAGGGACTCGGTCTGTACCTTATGGAAGTATCGCCAATCGATAAGGTACAAGGTACATCCAAAAGAAGGCTTCCCCAAATCTGGCATTTTGCACTCCAGCCAATGAGCGGAGTCCTCAATACAATTACCATGCACTTGGAACCGCGGCCCCATAATTCTTGGAGTACGTACCGGATTCAAGATTCTCATACCAAAAAAAAAGTTTCGAGAAGGAAGATCATCGATGAAGACCGTACTGGTATCTACCAAGTATTGCCTATAAGGAGAGACAGCACCTCAATGCGATTGCCCAAACTTCCCCTAAGTCTCTCTCCCTACCGAATTTCTTCATATTCAGTAGCTGTAACGGCCAGTCCTTTCACTTTCCCGAAGCGTCACGCTTCTTTGGTCTCAGGACCGTCCATGGCATCTGCGATGGCTTCATCCCAACCTGGAACAGCGGCTCAGGCCAACGGCAATTCCCGGCCGCCAAAGAGGACCTTTGATGGCCCCAATAGGAAATGGAAGCCAAAGAAGACTAAGCGGGAGAAGAACATCACAGAAGGGTCTTCGGAAGATATTCTGAGACTCGACATCAAGGCCCTGTTGGAATCCCGGAAACCGCAGCCTGCTATTGGGGCAGAGGCCGGCCGTGAAGGCGCTGAGGGCGCTGAGACCAATGGTTCAGCCCAGTTGGATCTCCCAGAGGAGGGAACCGAGACTGAAGTGGAAGTGCTGGAGCTTTCCTCGACAGGTGACGGCCTCGCAATGCGCCCCGGCTCCGACCAGGTCTACGTTGTCCCCTTCACTGTCCCCGGCGACATCGTCAGAGTCAAGGTCTATCGCCACATGCTGCGCGATAATATGACCCAAGCTGACTACATCTCCATCGCCAAGCCGTCGCCGCTTCGCGATGACTCACGGATCAAGTGCAAGTACTTCTCGCAGTGCGGCGGCTGCCAGTTCCAGATGCTCGACTACCCCGAGCAGCTGAACTTGAAGAAGCGGGTGCTTGAAAAGGCCTACCAAAACTTCTCCAACCTCCCTACAGAACTTGTACCAACCGTCCAGGATACCATAGGCAGCCCCCTGCAGTACGGATACCGCACTAAGTTAACACCACACTTTGATGGCCCCCCGGGTTTCAGACCCAGCAAAGGCGGGAAGAATCCCCGTGCGTCCTTTGAGACGTGTCCAGACATCGGCTTCATGCTCAAGGGGAGGCGGAAAGTCATCGATATTGAGGAGTGCCCTATTGGCACGAGTGCTGTCAACCTGGGCATGACGAGGGAGAGGGAGCGGATGAAGAACGAGTTCAAGAACTACAACCGCGGAGCCACAATCCTACTCCGCGAGAACACAAACCGCCATAGCAAAGACAGCACAGACGCCCCCCAAGAGGGTCAGACTCCTCCGTGCACCGTGAGGACAGAAACCGACAACTTTGTCGACATCAAGACCTGCGAGACCGACCACAAAGCCACCACCACCGAGTACATTGACAACTACACCTTCACCAACCCCGCAGGCTCCTTCTTCCAGAACAACAACTCCATCCTCCCCAAATTCACAGCCTACATCCGCGACCGCATCCTCCCTCCCCTGGATGCCGACAAGGGAAACATCAAGTACCTCATCGACGCCTACTCCGGCTCCGGCCTCTTCACCATCACCATGTCCTCCGTCTTCCAGCACTCGACGGGCATCGACATCGCGGCAGACTCCATCGCCTCGGCCCGCCAGAACGCCTCGCTCAACGGGCTCGACGAGGACCGCTGCAGCTTCATCGCCGCCGACGCCGGCGAGCTCTTCAAGAACATCAGGTACAACGCGGACGAGACCGTCGTGGTGCTCGACCCGCCGCGCAAGGGCTGCGACGCCGACTTCCTCGGGCAGCTCACGCGGTTCGGCCCCAAGCGGGTCGTCTACGTCAGTTGCAACGTGCACACGCAGGCCCGCGACGTGGGCGTCCTCGTCAGGGGCGAGGGGGAGGGCCGTAGGTATGAGATGGAAAGCTTGGTTGGGTTTGACTTCTTCCCCCAGACCGGGCATGTGGAAGGCGTCGCTATCCTCAACCGGGTTGAAGGGTAAAGCGCCGATATAGATCTAGATATTTCTAATACGGGAGAGGACTGAAGATAAAAGCGATGTAAAATGAAATGTCTCTGTCTTGATGCTATTCTTATGTCTGACCAAGTAACGTTTTAAGGGCTTGCACAGTGATCTGCAACACCTCGGGCCGCCTGCTCTTCTTTAAACACTCCTTCATCACCTCCACGCCGTCCTCCTCCTTGACCTTCTCCTGCGCCTCCACACCCGTCTTGCCCTCCGCAGACACCATGTTGTGGATCGTCACCACGCCGCGGTGCCTCAGATCCTCGCTGTCGTCGACGCACATGCCCAGGATGACCTTGACGCCGCGCTCCCGCATGACGATGCAGCGCACGACCGACTCGAACCCAGTCAGCGATGCAAGCGCTCCGCCCGCCGCGCTGCGCGTCCCCTCGTCCTCGGCGTCGGCGAGGGCGAGGAGGATGTGGAGTCGGTTCTTGGCCTGCGAGCTCTCGTCTGCGTACAGGGCTACGCCCTCTGGGGCCTGCATGAGATTACACACCAGCTCCACGGCGGCTTTAGACACGTATGCGTTGGAGGAGAGCAGCTGTTCCTCTATCTGTGGCCAAGCTGAGCGGATAATAATACGGCGTGTGTCCTCATCATCCAGGGATGCGAGGTTGGTCAGGGCCATGAGACTCTCAAAGGACGGGAGGAGATCACGGCGGTCGGCCGCTGGGTCAGGGGGGAGGATGGCAACAAGAGGACGGACGGCGACGCTGACGCCGCTGGCCCTATTGCCGCCGAATACGAGGGCGGGGTTTGTGCTGATGAGGATTCTGGCAAGAGCCTGGGCAGCCAGGCGCCGGGGAGGGTCCTCGGATTCCGGGAGCGCTGCCCAGCAGGCGAGAAGGAGTTTAACGGCGCCCTGCTGGGCCAGCTGCCCGCGGATGGTCTTTGTCACAGCCAGGGAGTGGACAATGGACACAGTCAGAGCTAGAGCGGCAGGAGAGCTATGCTTGCTTTGCGCAACAAGAACTGGAACGATTCCTGCATTAAAGACAGCCTTGCACCTTCGAGATACACGATCATCTTCATTCAAAGGATCCGGCTTCCCTTGTTTGCCAGCCGCGTTCGCGTACGCCTTCAACTGATTCATCTTCTTGTCCTCTTCCGAAAGCACAGGCAGGTACCGTGTAAGATTGACAAAAATGCTAAGAGATCCATAGGCCGTCGTTGATCTGGGCTTTGCTTGTGATAAGACTTGAACCAGATGTTGCAAAAGTTTCTCGTTGTCGATAATGCTCTCCTTAACCGACGATTGCAGGGAGGCGTAGGCCAAGCCTTCAATGGAGTGCTGACGGGAGTGATCCTCGTCCTTGAGGATCATGTTGGTGAAGAGGTTGGAGAGATCCTCGATGCTTGAAACTGCATAGTCGACTTTCGGTTGGTTTGGATCAGCCCCCGCCGGCTTGGTCGGAACAGCCTTGAATCTAAGTCAGTCAGCTATCGACAACTAAATAGACAAATAAATCTGCCCCTTCAGAATCGAAGACAAGTTGGCGCTGGTTGACCTACCCTCAGTTTTGCTAGAATGACGGCTGCTAGGTTCTGGACCTGTTCCGAGTGTCTTCTCATGGAGATAGAGCCACCTTCACTCTGAACATTGGGGTCGTGGTTCATACTGCGGACCACCTCCGTCGGTTCCTGGTCGACTACTTCCTCCAGCCACTCGACACAGTACTTCTGGATGGCCTCTCGGCAATGTTGGTTCATGGATGCGGCGTTCAACATCTCTAAGCAAGCGGTTTCCACCTTGCGGCTCTTCCATTTCCGCCTCATAAGTGGAGCAAGAGACGCGAGGAAACCCTCACTAAGAAACAGATCGGTGGTCAGATCCGGGACAATCGGGAATGTAGCTGCGGCTACACAAAAAGCGACAATGTAGTCATCGTATGTGCCTCTCTTGACACGATCAAAGAAGAAGGCAGATAGGGCCTTGGCGCCATCCTGGCCTGCAGCTTTGAGGTAGGCTGAGGTGGTGAGGATGGCATGGCTGCGGACGACATCTTCTTGCCTCATGTCCAGATAGCAGAGAACAGTGTCGACACAGTCGCCATCAATAAGCTTGCAGATGCTCTGGTGATTTTTGTTCTTTGTCTGGGCCTCTGCGTCGTCGTTGAGCAGGCGGGTGAGCTCATCGAGATCCCTGCACGTCTCATCATCCTCGCGCCCACCTTCCATCAATCGCGCAAGCAGAATCAGAGTCTGATCCTCCAGAGTGGCCGACGGGCCCGTCCGCTGGAGCGTCTCAGCTACAGACGCCATGGTAGAAGTGTAGCAAACTTTTTGAAAGGGGGGTTGCGTCCGGCTGAGACTCTGGTACTGAATATAAAAGGAGCATACACTAGAGAAAAAGGAAAGAAAGCCACTAAGCACCAGAAGCGCGATGTGTTATGCCCGTGAGTGATATGACAAGACAAAAAAAAGCCAGGAGGAAATGGGTATTCAGGACGCTGAGGGGATTAGGTATAAAAAGACCAGGTTTGCTGGCAGGAGGGATGTGCGGAGAGAATATTCCAGCAGCCAGAGGGGTTTACACCCATCAAAGTAACATGTAGGATGTATCACTCAGTGATGGCATCCAATGAAGATCTGCGAGAGCTAAACGAGCTGTCAAGGGTTCTCTTATCGATCAGCCTTATCAGTGCCACCAGCACCCTTTGCCAGCGGAGCAGACACCTGAGGGGAGCAGTCAGTAGTGCAGAGCCCCGCCATGGCTGCTGCATTCTTGCGTCACAGATGATAATCGCCACACGTAATAGCCTGCTTTTCTGCCTACCCTGTACACGCGGCTAGTCACCGGGGCTGGTGGTACGTGCCGATGCGATCTCGAATCGCAAGACGTGACTTCGCGCCGTGAATTTTAAAGTGACTGACACGCGCTAGTTCGTTCATCTCCATCAGAAAGTCCAGCACTGCGATACCGCTGAAGAATTCCACACCACCCAACCCAACCACTACATTTCCCATAGAATATCGTCGAAACGAATCATTTGTGGCCTTGATTTTCTCACGACGTCATGCTTCACTAAGAAGACCGCCAAAACTGTCGATTGGTTACACAGCCTAGGAGCGAGTCATCCCAGGCTCAACCTCCCATCCAACTCCCACGCAAAGCGACCTCGTAGCTGTGTTCGCACATGACTTGAGTGTTAAGCACTCAACATGGATGCCGTCGATGTGTCGGACCACTACGAGGTCACAACCTCCGAAGAGACCCCTTCACTCCTCTCCATCGTCCTCGACACCAACCCGAGAGCGTGGGCTGCCCTGGGCAACGTCCTGCCTCTGTCCAAGGCGATAGCTAACATTCTCGTCTTCGTCAACGCCCACCTCGCCTTCAGCAACTCGAACCAGGTAGCCATCTTCGCCGCACACGTAAACCGGGCTGTATGGCTCTATCCCTCCCCACCCACGGCGAAGAAACCGACAGACACCTCGGGCGATGTCCAGATGCAAGATGCCTCGACGAGCGCTCCGCCTGGCTCGGCAAACAAATTTCCCCAGTTCGCCCAGATCGAGGCAGCAGTGCTCGCATCATTACGGAAACTCACCGACGAAACGACCGGGGAGGATCTCGAAACCACCACGACGCAGCTGTCAGGGGCCCTGACACTCGCCCTCTGCCATATCCACAAAGCTTCGCAACAGCTCAGTGCTGCTGGCACCAATCTCGAAGACCACACCAAGTCCAGCGCGGCAACCAACCCGATGAAAGGCCGTATCCTCGTCATTTCTGTCTCCGACTCGGAGCCGGCCCAGTACATCCCGACCATGAACGCCGTGTTTGCGGCCGCGCACTCCCAAATAGCCATTGATACCCTCTCTCTGTCCGGCGACTCTACCTTCCTGCAGCAAGCGTGCTTCAACACAAACGGGACCTTCCTGGCCGCCTCGAATCCACAGGGCCTGCTCACCTACCTCATGTTCGGCCTCATCGCCGACACCGAGGCCCGTCAGTCTCTCATCCCCGCCACCCATGACAAGGTGGATTTCCGCGCGGCCTGCTTCTGCCACGGCAAGGTCGTCGACACCGGCTTCATCTGCTCCATATGTCTGAGTATATTCTGCGAGGTGCCGGAGAACACCGAGTGCCTGACTTGCGGCACCAAGCTCGCACTGGGCAACTATGGCGCCAAGCCAGCCGTCATCCCCAGGAAGAAGAAGAAGAAGAAGAAGATCGTCAACGGCACCCCTCGTGAAGATACAGGTAGCGGCGCTGGCACGCCGCGCCCCTGAGCATAGACTTTCCTATCATGTCTTACCTATATATTATATCATCCGGGAGGGAGGGATTTAGCGGGATGTCTACTACAAGACTAGGTCAACTTTTTAAAGAAATGATCGTTTTTAGCTAAGCCTTGTACATGGAGTCAAGACTTTACATAAAAGTACGAAGTCTAGACAGTACACCCACATACCTCCTCCATGTGTATTGACTCCATTTCTTTGGGGGCCAACGCAATTGAGAGGAGCTCAGCAAAGATGACGACATCAAAGGCTACATCTTGGTATGCTAGTTTGTTATTTCATCGTATGGACTATTCACAGGCCCTTAATGGAGCGCCGAGTGTGTTTTCAAGCAAAATAAAGGAGTAAAATCAAAGAATGAGAAAATGGTTATAGGTTATCCAGCACCATTCTAAGAATACATGCTTTCCATTTTTTGTTCTAGGGGCAACTGCAGACTAAAGAGTTTTGTGCAATCTAATACTGCCTATGCCACTATCTCGTGTGCCAGGACAGTTCGCTATTTTGTGTTTGGGCAATATAAACTCAATGTCCGCGTAGAGGGCTATGTATAAGTCTGTTTCCAGGAGGTCACCCACAATCAAAGATAATTGTGAGCTGCCGAAGGAGCGTAGGCGCTTGCTTATTCAAGCCGGATTTTCCGTCCACCTCTTGCGATCTTAGCACCTGCTGGTAGTCGAGACATTGTGCAAACGGGCTCCTTTTCTGAGGCGCCCATCGATGCTAATGCAAAGGAGTCGGTATTGTGTGCAAAGTAGAGATAATATCCTGAAGGTGTCTTTTTAACCACCATTGCTCCAATGGCACCAGCAGAATGGCATGATCTGACACCAGGGTGGTTCATGAAATCTTCAGCGATGAAAGATTCCATAATGGCGTCCTCGTCATCATCGTGAACGTCACCTCCTCCCGCCCCTTTGCGAGTTCCTCGGTAAATGCGCTCGGCGCATCTCTGAGAAGCCATTGTGGTAGCCATATGCTCACCAGTTCCACTTGTAACTGCGGCCACTGTAATGCTCTCCTCGTCATCTTCTGAGCAGGGAATGACTGCTGTTCCAATACCGACTAGAGCTGCCGGACCAAGGCGGCCTCGATGTTTCATTCCAATCCCACCAGATGATGACCCAGCAGCAATATGCCCTTTCTCGTCTATGGCAATGGCACCAATAGTGTCAGTAATGAAGTCCTCTTCCCCGTCTGTCCTGGGTTGGATGAAAGGTTTCTTTGAACGCCCAGGGTCTCCGTCCTCCCCGGTCTGGACGATTGATCGCTTAGATCCTTGATAAGAAGGAGCTGAGGCCCGCAGACCACCGGGCATTGTTGAATAGCTACTTTCTGGTTCCTTCAGAGGTCTTGCGTGATCAGGAACCATCAAAGCGTCTCGATAGCTTGTGGCAGCTTCTTCAGTAACTGATACGACACGCTGACCATTCTTGCCAGAACCTTGAGCAGCTGAATCGGGTTTCCCATGTCGGCCCTTGGCACGCGAACAAGAAGGATTCACTTTATTATTGACAGTGCCACCTGGAGGTGGAGGAGACCGTTCAGTCGTAGCCCGGACTGATGTTCGACTGCTTATGGGAATTGCAACCCCCGGAGAGCGAAAGTAATTGGCTGGACTGGAAGATCCAGAGCCCCCTGTTTCTGGTATTGGCGTGCCACGGTATGGAGAATCCGGTTGGCCTTCGTTCCAGGTTCCAGCCATTATTGCTGCAGTGTGATCTCTTGGAATGTCCTGCACATCTGTAGAATACTGGCAAGGGTCACAAGCCAAAGGCCCTTGTTCCGGCCCTACTGTAGCTTTGGTATCCCTAAGCTTATTCTCGGCTCGGTTAAGATCATCTTGCCAGCGCAGAAACCGGTCACGGGCATTTTTGGAAACAAGATATTCGTTGGCGAGCGTAACCATGCCATATTCCTCAGCAAAGGTCTTAGCACCATCTCCTACAAGGACGTTTGGAGGCACACGACGGAGACTCAGGGGTTGATTGCTTCGATCCAAAATAAGTTTTGCCAGGGAGATGGGATTTCGGATATCTTGGGTTTATTAGCCTTAGATCCCATAGCATGCTGTTCTGGTAGGGAAACTGACTGGGTACAGCACCACAAGCACCACTTCGACCCAAATGATCAACTACGGTTGCATCACACTCAACAGTTCCGTCAATGGAAAGGTTCGAGCCGTACCCTGCGTTCGTAATTTCTTGATCCTCGAGGATACGAAGGGATGCCTCAACTGCTTCGGTGGCAGTGGCACCGGCTCTCAAGAACTTCATTCCCATCTCTGCGGCTCTAAGTCCGCAGTGTCAGCCGAGCTACAAAGGCAAAAATGATTGTTAGGGACAGAGCACGAACGTGACGCAGGCTTTAAGGTGAACCCTTTCATTTTGGGTGCTGTGGAAACCAGCCCCAGCATGTATGAAGATAGCCGGCGGGCACTTGGAGCGTTGGTTCATCCGTAGCATTCGGTCAAGGGTGCCATCATTGCCGTATGCGGTGTCTGGCATCATGGAGGAGGTTTGAGCATGTTGGCAGGTCATGCTCAACCAGGACAAGGCACCTCACTGGGACAAAACGCCAGGTATACGGGAAATAATTATATCCGGTAGTGCATATAATAAAGAAATGACGAAAGAATATTGAGTGATTTCTGCCGTTGACCCAGCAGGACGAGTGGTCGCCGAGAAACGTGGGGGTTCAGAGGAAGAAGTTGACAAAACCAAGAGGTCTCAACACCATGTAGGAGACAGGGTGAACAGGGCCAGCGTCGTGCCTCGGCCGGGCCAGTACAGTTCCAGGCTGCCCTCCGTGGCAACAGGTACTACAGGACTAATAAGGCCATCTTCGTACTGATAAAAGAAAAGGAAACAATGAAAGGTGCTAAACCTGACAAGTAGTGGACCGGCAAGCCCAAGAAATTGTCAAGGAGGGAGGTGCAATCGACACCCAGGATGTGCTTAGTGGACCCAGGTTTGCGGCAAGAACACCCACCAGACAGGACCTACCTACTTTCGCATTATAAAATCACAAACTTGAGAGAAGCCGGTTATTGATAGCCCATTCAACTTGTTTGGTGGATGGCATGCCGGATCAATTCAATGGCAAACCAAAGGGGAAACAGGAATTACAATAAATGAGCTTACAATTGTGTTCATCTGAAATCCGTAGACGTTCTGCCATTTTGGTCCTGGGTGGAGGCCAAACAATGTCGTAGCCTGCGGGAAATCTATTCATCCGTGCTCAAAGCTGCCTACGTAGGCGCAGGCGCAGTCTCTGGAGCTACGGCTAGAGCTCCTTACTCCAGTGCAGGCACCGGTTCTTCAGAAATGGCGGGGCGCCCAACTTCCGACTCGTCACAGGCCCCACAAACTGTCGGTGCAGCGCTGTCGCTGGGAGCTGTCCACTCCCAACGTAAGACAACCTATCATCATCCTTCACATCTACCTCGCACCCGCTCATTGCCCTCACTCCGGGTCCCCTGGGCTCAGCAATCTCCTTTATTGTCGACAGGCACATTGAGTAACGCCACAGGCGTCCTTCTGTCGATATGGCTAACCAAACTCCCGCCGTTGTCATGGACAAGTGAGTGAGCTCCTACGTCAAACCCCCCGCTCCTTGGAACCGGACAGGACTGACCACAGAGCCATCTCTTAGCGGTACCGGCTTCTCGAAGCTAGGTAGGCATTGATCAATCGTTTGCCAAACGACTAGCCGATCTGATTCTAATATGTCTATCAGGTTTTGCCGGAAATGACTCCCCGTCATTCGTCTTCCCGACCGCGATAGCTACGAAAGGCCCAGCCGCCGGGGCTGGAGGATCGGGTTCAGGACGACCAGCCGTCGCAAACAAGCCTTCTTTCCTCACCGGTGGAGCTGGGCCTGGCGGTCACTTGAGTGCGAAACGGGGGACTGAGGACCTGGACTTCTTTATCGGTGACGAGGCCATTAGCGCTGCTGCTGGACCAGGTATGCCAGTACCATATCGACATCACTTTCTCAGTGCTAACACACTAAGGCTATGGCCTCCATTATCCAATTCGACATGGTCAAATAGAGAACTGGGTAAGTTCAGGGACGCTGCTGTAGTTGCACGGCGCTGACAAAAGTTAGGATCACATGGAACGGTTCTGGTCAAACTCCATCTTCAAATATCTCCGCGTAGAGCCCGAAGACCACTACTTCCTCCTCACTGAGCCTGTAAGTATTCTGCTCACCATCTGCCATTTGTGAATATGCCAAAATCTGACTGTTGTCGAAAGCCATTGAACCCCCCCGAGAACCGCGAGAACACTGCCGAAATCTTCTTCGAGTCGTTCAACTGCGCAGGAATGTACATTGCTGTTCAGGCTGTCCTGGCTCTGGCTGCTTCTTGGACATCTTCAAAGGTGACCGACCGATCATTGACGGGAACTGTTATCGATTCAGGTGATGGTGTCACCCACGTTATCCCAGTCGCCGAGGGCTACGTTATTGGCTCCTCCATCAAGTCCATCCCAATCGCTGGTCGAGATATCACCTACTTTGTCCAGTCGCTTCTGCGAGACCGAGGCGAGCCCGATTCCTCCCTCAAGACTGCACAGGAGATCAAGGAGGAGCACTGCTATGTGTGCCCCGATATTGTCAAGGAGTTTGGACGGTACGACCGTGACAGGACCCGCTTTGCGAAGCACGTTGTTACCCAGCCTGGCGGCCGGCAGGTGACGGTTGATGTTGGATACGAGCGTTTCTTGGCCCCTGAAATCTTCTTCAACCCCGAGATCTATAGCTCCGATTTCCTGACTCCCCTTCCCAATGTTGTCGATGGTGTGATTCAGCAGTCACCTATTGATGTCCGACGTGGTCTCTACAAGAACATTGTCCTCTCTGGTGGAAGCACCCTTTACAAAGATTTTGGCCGCCGATTACAACGAGACATCAAGCACCTCGTCGACAACAGAATTCGTGCGAGTGAGCAGCGCAGCGGTGGAGCTCGCAGCGGTGGCCTAGAGGTTCAAGTTATCACACACAAGAGACAGAGACATGGTCCTTGGTTCGGCGGCAGTCTCCTCGGCCAGACCCCAGAATTCCGATCATACTGCCACACCAAGGCTGAGGTAAGATTCCCTAAATTCTCTCCGCTTTGTCGAAAATGTACTAACCAAACGACGATAGTACCAAGAGTATGGTCCCAGCATTGTGCGGAGGTTTGCTCTTCTTGGCGGACCTGGTGGTTCTTAAATCAAAGCAGTTTCAGTCCTATTCTATACTCAGCGGCTATTCCCATGTTGCTCCTCAATTCGCGAAGGATATAAACGTTCCGATCTAGGAAAAAGAAAACCTTTGCCAAGTGCACGGCTGGCCAGAACTGAAAGACGCAGAATTAAATGGGAAGATAAAAGTGAAGTGGCACTTAGCATAGGAATTAAATGGATACTGTAGACAGGAGCGGTTCAATCAATTTGCAATTCTACATCATTCAGGCCATTCAAGCCATTTCTAACGCGAAGACGTGTCAAAGCCAATGATCGCTTTCAGCTCTACCTCGAAGGGCTTGAGCAAAGTTGGATCAGGGATATGCTGATGACGGCCTGTGGTTGTATTCCATGGTAAGACACCGAATGCTGTCTGTGGGGAATTCAAGCATGCTATCATTTGAGTCTGCCAGTAACCATCTGGTTAAGAGAAACGATATGTTGCGACCACTATGTAATATGTTTCCCTTTTCCAAGTATAGGTCTTTTTTGTAATTTTGAGAAGAATGCTTATCTGGAACAGACACTGTATCACAAGGCAGGGGATCATAAAAGTTGGCCAAAGGAATATATACTGATTGAATACCTATCTGATAGTACAACTAACCCACCGCTCGCCCCGTCAACTCCAAAAGTCCTGTTAATCCCAGGGGCGACTGCCCGAAAAACACTCCCTCCAGTTTCAATCTTGGGTGGCCACTTTTTCCAACGTAGCAATCATCATTTCATTCGCTTTCTTTCTTTGATTTAACAATTTGTACATTTATCGGCTGGTGTCGACGACGTAGCGACCGGCAATCTTGCCTGCAATCATGAGGTCGTAGACCTCCTGGAGCTGGCTGAGGCCGACAGTCTTGAAGGGGACGGTGATGAGACCGCGGCGGTAGAAGTCAATGGCCTCAGCGGAATCGGCACGGTTACCGACGTAGCTGCCCTTGATGTTGATCATGCGGACGACAGTGTCGAAGACAGGTGCGCTGATCTTGGCATTGGCGGGGAGACCAATGCAGACGACAACACCGCGAGAGCGGACGTACTGGGTAGCCTGCTGGAAGGGCTTCTCAGTGACGGCGACGAGGATGGCGGCGGAGGGGCCGAGACCATCGGGAGTGGCGGCGCGGACATCGGCGACCAGGTCCTTGGAGGACATGAAGTCAACGTAGGCGGTAGCTCCGAGCTTCTTGGTGAGCTCGCCCTTCTCGTTGCCACCGTCGATGGCAATGGCGTGGAGGCCCATGGCCTTGGCGTACTGAACAGCCAGAGAGCCGAGACCACCACCAGCACCAACAATGGCGACGGTGTCGCCAGGCTTGGCACCGGACTCCTTGAGACCCTTGTAGACAGTGATACCAGCGCAGAGAATAGGAGCAATGGCCTCAAGGTCGCACTCCTTGGGGATGCGGGCAACGTGAGCAGCCTTGGCGACGGCGTACTGCTGGAAAGAGCCGTCGACGGTGTAACCGGAGAGAAGAGCCTTGGCGCAGAGAGGCTCATCGGAGCGCTGGCAGTAAGCGCACTGGAGGCAAGATCCGTTGATCCACTTAATACCGACGTGGTCGCCGATCTCAACATCGCTGACAAGTTCACCGCGAGCGACAACGACACCGGCACCCTCGTGGCCACCGACAAGAGGCAGCTTGGTGGCCAGAGGCCAGTCACCCATCATAGCATGGTAGTCAGTGTGGCAAACACCGGAGAACTTGACGTTGACGAGGATCTCATCGGGGCCGGGCTTAGCAACGGGGATCTTCTTGTAGACAGAGGCTAAGATATTTGTTAGTACGAGAGTCGTATAAGAGTCGGTTTGAGGTCAATGCCCGAAGAGATTGCTACTCACGTCCACCAGTCTTCTCGACGACCTGGGCCCATTGCTCGGTAGGGATAGACATGTTGATAGATTGTTGATGGAAGAGGTTGGAAAGAAGAGTTGAAGATTGAAGATTGGAAGAAGATGATTGTTGTTGAAGCTGTTGGATGATGAGATGAAAAGAGAAGCTGGAATCTGGGAGCAGCGATGGCCTTATATAGATGTGAGATCCGGGGAAGAGGATGAAGTTAAACAGATCATCTGAGGGGTCTAAGTGAGGGGAAGGGGAAGGGAGTGGAGAGCAAATCAGGCCACGGCCAATGAACCATCCTCCTTCAGCTCAACGGCAAGCCAAAGCTTGGGGATAAAACAAGATGCGGTTGTAATGCGTTGCGTAGTGCGTCGTGTAGGCACAGGAGGATGGGTACGGGGTGGACAAGCATCTGTCCGCCACCAAGGGGCCCCGCCATTGGGGAAGCTTTGCCTACAGCAAACTTACCATTCCTGGGACGAGCTTCAACCCGGGTCCGCCGGGCTCGGTCTCACCCTTGGCTTGGATGGCCACATGTCCGTCTGTCCCTAGCGAACATCACTTCCGTTGGTCCCTAGCTGAGTAGTCGGACGCCACTCCTCACTCGCGCCTTGCTTCTAGAGCCCAGCGCTTGGAATTCATCGCTGTGCTAATCAATACGTGGGTGGTTTTAGTCGTCTTGGCCCACTCATGCGATGGAGAATCCACACTCCACTCCATCGTGCGCGCGTGTGACTTTTCTTGGTAAATTTTTTTCCGTTTCTCCATCGATATAACTCACGGGAGACACAGCCGAGTCTGAGAGCAAAAGTCCATGCTCATGGAGCAGAGGATGGGAGGATTGCAGGCGTTGCAATGCCTCCGGGCCGGTCATCAAAGCCCCGAGCTCGGTACATGTTTGTCAACGACGTCGATATATTAGACAAGGTGTGGTGCTAAGGGCCGACTATTAGTGGGTGAGATCTTGAATTGGAACGGGGAAGGGGAAAAAGAGCGTGCGGGGTGGAAGGGGGCTGCCTCTAGCATGGATCTTCCACGCACTGATTAATTAGTGCGATGCGGGACCGCACCTGCAGGTCTCCAGATTCTCCACTTAGAGACTCCATCTCCAGAATCAAGCCAGCCTGCCGCCATGTAGGTAGGTACTGTAACCTAAGGCGGGGAGGAGCCATGCAGGGAGGCCCTTGCTACGACGGACGGCACAGGTATCACTACATGCGCAGCCTGCTGGCACCGGAATCTCCAATACTGATGCGCCAGCCCCTCGCACCTTCTCCCACTGACCTCCGCAGCGAGCAACTAGGACCGTCGGAACAGGCTAGCGCAGAAGGCTGGCGGGCAGGTTAGGCAGGCACGCTGGAGCAAGGCGGTGGCCACATCAGTCTGTCAGTGAATCATGTTTAAACGAGCCAACTCGGATTTGACTCGAGCCACTGCAGCGTCCGACTCATGATGGTCTGTCCCGTCTAACTGACTCTGGGGAGAGCCAGCATTGACGGACCCACTGCCTTTGCTGGCTCTGGCCGTTCTAAGTTAGGGCCTGGCCTGCTTCTCCAGATTCCAGAATCTAGGTTCCAGATTCCAGATTCCGCCTTCCAGAGTCCACACTGACGCCGTGGGGCCAGAGAGAATGAAAAAAAAGAAGAGAGAAAAACACGCAGAAAACGCAGGCGAGAGGGGCATCACCACGTTCCTCCAACAACTTGGTGAATGTGCCCCATACGACCTCCGCAGAAATAGGAGCGTATCCACGGCGTAGCATCCACCGGCTCCCAACAAACAAGGAGGCAAGCCAATGCCATTGCCTCCTCACAGAGCATCGTGCTCTCTCCCCACGTCGAACTCGCTTCTCAGCCACTCGAGTCTTCCATAGTACGAGAAGCTGTCTTCCCGTCTTGTCCATATCGAACGATGGTCTCGGCTAGCGGCCCACCACCAAGACTAACAAGCTCCCTTTCGCCGGGACCAGGGCGCAACTAGTGCATATACAGCGTCATCCACCTCGCTCGAAGGGAGCTTCTCCAAATCGAAGGAGTCGAAGACTGCAGAGCCCTGGCGCAAACCGGGCACCGAGTCAGCGCGTCAATTGAGGTTGGCTTAGTTGGAATACGGAAAATGGGGAAATGCCAGGCCATGTATCGAATCAGAGGCAAATCTCGCACAGGGCTGCCCAGAATAGCGCGCACCTGCACTCCATAAATCTTACCATGCATCTACAGCCAGCATCAACGAGCATCCATTGGACCTAGACTGCATTCCCCGCACCCCATGGGTTGATTTCAGTCCGCCAACTGACTTCAAGCTCCTTGCGATCTAGGTTACATCACTGTCGGTGACCCAGCTGCAGGTCGGTTGGAAGGAGAGTCAGGATGGATCATCACGAGTTTCATGGAGGAATAGCTCGCCCTGAGTGGATACAACTCCGTCCACTTGCACCACGCGTGATCTTCAAAGATCAGTACTTAGGTATAACATGCCAATCAAGGATGGAATTCATCCTTCCGTCATCGGAGATTGAATCTTGTAGCTCGAGGTGCAATTTCATTTTCACCGAAGGAAGAGAAAGCAGCTCCTCTTCTCCATCCTCACTCTCCACACTGTCGGCCATGACCAACCTTTCCAATATTTTTCTTCTTTGCTGCTCTTCTGAGTGTGAATCGCTCAAGCGATCCCTACGTGCTTAGAGCCATCTACTCCCATCTTTTACAGCATCAAGCTGCCAACCAATGGTCGTGTTCGGGATTTACGAGGACTTTGGTAAAAGCGCCGGGTATTTGCATGCAGCATGGCCAGTAAGACGGCCTAGAAGGTATGTTTCTGGAAAGGCATTTGACCAGGTCTCATAATCAGTCAACCAGGCCCCCAAACTGCGAACAAGGGACATGGTCAACGAACGATTGCTACCCATGCTTCGATCGGCCGAACCGCGACGTTGAAAATTGCTTCATTCCGTGAACCTATCTCTACTCTACTTGGTCTCGATCAGCTCCCTCAGTCAATTCATTTGCCTTTGGCAAGAGAAGCGAGAGAGGAAAAGCTAGCTCCTTCACAGGGCAGAGAGAGAATCATCAAAACAGAAAAGCGGGGGGCCAGAGTTGCTAAATCAATACATTTTTGCCCTCCGCTCTAACCGACACGACAGTACCTGCGCCCGTTCCTCAGACGATCGCAACTCTCATGCGGCTGTAGGTTGCGGCAGCGCAGTCGCTTCGCCGTCCACTGTGACCGAGTTGATCTTCTTTCCGGTCTTGTTGATTTTGTCAAAGACCTGCTGGAGGGTGAGGTTGCTCGACACCACCTTGGCGGTCTGTGTGTCGAGGGAGACTTCGTGCTCATCGACGCCTTTGATGACGGAAGCAGACGGTTAGCGTGAGGTAATGACCGTGACATGACTGCCCGGGTATCACGGAGGAGGGGGAATGACATGACACAGCATGTCGAGCAAGAGGGCAGATTGGGAAATAATAGCGCCTTTATCGCGCGGGTGGGTAGCGCAACGTACCATCAAGCTTCTTGAGAGCCCGGTCGACAGCTCCGGAGCAGCCACCACAGGTCATAGTGACATTAAATTCGTAGGTATGGGAAGCCATGGTGATGGATTGAGTGGGTGGGTGCTCGAGAAAAATGGCGGGGTCAGCGTAGCTCAAGTGAGAGTCTAGAGAAAACGGCTTGCGTTGTCTTTGGGCCGCTGGGAACTGCGTCGCGCGGTGATTTGAGGTAAGTGAAGAGGACAAGGAAACTCCCAGCGTGTCGCGAGTGGGTGCGGTGATTTTAAATCTGCGGAAGCCAATGCCCGAGTGAGAGGAAAGGGGGAGAAAAAGAGGCCAGCTAAGAGGTAGTACTTATTGGTGATATCGCCGGCAAATCACTTCATCACATTTCCTTCTGACGATCAGTCCAGTCACTGTTGGTAAGCGCCGTTCCCCCCACTTGAGCTGCCATTAATAATAACGTGCTCTTTGTTCTCTCGCCTGAAACGGTGAGCGGAAGGAAAGCGCAATAACCTAAAACCTGCTCAATTGTCCTTGAAACGGGAAGTAAAATACCACCTCAGCTTGGCGCCTACCCTATTCCCACCTTCGTATCTCATCATCAGCACAACACATGTAAGCCCAGAGGTCATAAGCGCTCGCGTGGCAGTGTCTTACTGGGTATTGGGAGGCATTCAGATGTGAATTTATTGTTTGACGACAGATACTAGATAATAAGGTAGTACTTTGTAGACTATAATAAGTGTTTTCTATGTGCGACTGTGAATGATTATTAATTAAGATGGTGTAAGACGCAACTGCCTGAACGTCCTTCCGGCACATTGCGACAACTTCTTCTCACACGGAACCAACGTTTTGTTGCCCAAAACATGCCACGGATACACAGTGCCGCCCTCGTGTTAGACTCTGACATGGCATAAGCGCATCCAATTCTTTACCTTCATTTCGAGTCAAACCTCAACATCAATCAATGGGAAAAAACAGATGAGCGACTTGAAATTAAAATGTCGTATTTAAAATCGTACAGATAGAGCCTAGTGCAACTACACACAGCCTAGTTGAATCTCATCCAATCTTTTTCAACTTTCCAGATGATCCAGGATCTAATATGGCCGACGTCCCAGCTCGTCTCGGGCCCCCATCTCAAGTAACCCCAACTTTTCGACTTTAGAACCGGGCCTGGACCTTCTTCTCCGTATCCTGCAGAGCCCACTCGCTGGCCTTGGTCTGGCTGCGGACGGCCGTGGCCTGAGCCTTGGTGAAGCCCTTGGCCTCCACGGCAGGGTTGTAGCCGAGCTTGGTCTTCTGGCCGACGGTGGCGGAGTCGATCGAGGGGGCGACCTGGCCGTCGGCGCGCTTGTACACGGTGACGACGACGGCGCCGCCCAAGCCTAGGTTGTGCTGGAGGGCGTACCGCGTGTTGGGCGTGAGGCGGTTGTTGGCCCAGCCGCGGAGGTGCCAGACCAGCTCGGCGCACTGGGCGATGCCCGTCGCGCCCAGGGGGTGGCCCTTGGAGATGAGCCCTCCCGAAGGGTTGACGACGTACTTGCCGCCGTAGGTGATGTCGCCGTTGCGGACGAGCTCGTGGGCCTTGCCCGGTTCGCAGAGGCCAAGGGCGTCGAGGACGATCATCTCGTTGGCGCTGAAGCAGTCGTGCAGCTCGACGACCTGGACGTCGCGCGGGGAGATGCCCGCCTCGGCGGTGGCGACCTTGGCGGCGTGCTGGGTCATCTCGAACCCCATGAGGTCGATGGCGCTGCGGGAGAACAGGCTGGGGGCGTCGGTGGCCATGCACTGGCCCGCGATCTGGATGGCCTGCTCCTTGAGGTGCGGGCGGGCGTCGAGGAAGGCCTGGGAGACGATGATGGCGGCGGCGCCCCCGTCGGACGTGGGGCAGCACTGCAGCTTGGTGAGGGGCTCGTGGATCATGGGCGCCTTGAGGATCTGCTCGAGGGTGTAGACGTCGCTGAACTGCGAGTAGGGGTTCTTGGGCGAGTGCTCGTGGTTGACGCGGGCGATCTCAGCAAAGTCCTCGGGCTTGGCGCCGTACTTCTCCATGTACTCCCTGCCCGCGTTGCCAAACATCTGCGCGGCGCCGGGCGCGTTGGTGAAGCCCCTGGTCTGGGCCATCATCAGGCCGGTGGTGCCCGTGGGGTTCTCCCTGTCGTCCCAGAAGCTCTTGAGGCTCCCCGGCATCATCTTCTCGAAGCCCACCACCATGACGCAGTCGGCGGCGCCGCTGGAGACGAGCGTGCGGGCCATGGCCAGGCCGGTGCTGCCGGTGGAGCAGTTGTTGTTCACGTTGTAGATGGGGATCTGGGTCATGCCGAACTGGTAGAAGACGCGCTGGCCGCAGGTGCTGTCGCCGTAGCAGTAGCAGGCGACGCCCTGGTCGACGTCGTCGTAGGTAATTTGGGCATCCAGCAATGCCTTGACGCCAGCCTCGAAGCCGAGCTCCGTGTAGTCGACCTTGCCCCGGGGCTTGATGAACTTGGTCATGCCAACGCCCAGCACGTATGCGGGCGACTTCTGCTTGGAGGGCATATTGAATATAGTAGGATGGGGACTCAGTTGGGGAAGCAGGTGTTTTGATAGAACGGAATTAAAAGTATATTTCGGATACACAAGAGACTTGAATCAGGGACTACGCATGCAATGTAAAATGAACTGAACTGAATGGGAACGTAATAGACGACGAAACAAAAGACAGGAGGCGGCTCCTTTTTAATAACCACGGCTTTCGGTCTGGAGGTGGGAGGGAGAGGCAACCACTTCGGCAAAGAACACTAGAGCATCAGAGGGAGGCTTTCTTACTTTGTGGCCGAATCAAAGTTCGGCCCCAGGGTGAGCTTCTCCAGACTTCGTCAGTTGACTGTGCCCCAGACACAAGGATGCGGGGTGAGTGAGCAACGGTCGCACCACTTCGATGTTGCGTTGGTTGGGGATATGCCGAGGCTCCCTCGAGCTATCCCTTGCAGTACAGACAGTTCGGAGTCGATTCTGCCGCGGCTCTTTGGGAGGCGGTGCTTAGGTAATCCGACCGGCGGTGGCAGATAAGATAAGGACCGGGGAATTATGACGAAACGCATTCAAATGAGTGTGCATTCTGTGTTGGGGAGAGCCGTTCTTATTATTGCATTATTTCACTTAGCACCAAGGAGTAAGCCGTGAGTTTTTCGAGCTAGCCAATGTCTTTTATGCTGGGTGCTGCTGTTCTCTCTAATGTTACGTCCCACCTCTTCCGTCACCTAGTTGCAGTAGAGTCCAGGAGGCTTCCTATCCACAATGTCAAAGGCTCGGTTCTAAGCGACTGAAATACAACAGCTTCCATGAAAATACTATTCATTGGTGTACGGACGCAAGGTCCGTATTGCTTGGCAATTAAGATCTATTTTATAAGGCGGGCTGTTTCGAGACGATGGATGCACGATCGTCACTCCGACTAAGAAAGAAAACACAGGCGAGATTTTGGTGACAGAAAAGAGAGATGTGACAAATGAAACCTAAATGAAGTAGTACAGGCTATCCTTCGACTCCCGTGGACCAGAATGGGATGCACCATGCCCAAAAGTTGCTTCCTCCTAATTTCTCTCCGGGGTGAATAAAAACAAAACCAATCTTTGAAGCTTGCTGAAAGCCACGAGCGCAGAGACAAACCCGCCAAAACCCGCCCTGCCACAAAAGAAAAGCCCTTCTATCTATACATGTATCAAACTATAGGACTCATGACTCGTAAAACGTTATAAAGCAGAACAGAATCTTCTTTTTTCCCTCAGCTTTGAAACAAACTCCAGCCAGTCTCCAACAATAGGGAACTGATACATATCGCCCACAAATGTCCAAAAAGTACTTTTCTTCAAATGGTCCTCGATGTTTGGTATCTGGAATTACTCCCATCCGTCCCAAAACGCCCAGCCATCCTGGTCATCATCGACAGAGCTGAGGAGGTTGACCGAATTCAAAGTTTGCTTCGAGTATGCCGGCCTTGCAGGGCCATATAATTCACCCTGGGGGGTTTCCGCCTGTGCAGCTGCTAGTCTCTCGAGGCTGAGGTTAGCAGATCGTAGACACGAGTCCAGGACGACGCGCAATCCATATGCCATCTCCTCCGGGTGGGGGTTCGGCTTCTTCACACTCTCGAGGACCACCGAGAGGCATATGATGTCCTTCGTATCTCCCCGCTTAATATTCTTGATAAGAAAATCGAGTACGTTTTGGGTCGTGTTGATCAGCCGAGGGAGGGACCACAGCACCAACCCACCGCTGTGCGGGGGATCGTCGGCCTCGGGTGACATGCGGAGTGCCTGCTGCATGGCTAGAGACGTGCTGTCTGTAGCCTGTCGCATCGCGGCGCGGATGTAGTAGCAGACGCTGAACGCAGCCTGTTCAATGTCGCCTTTCAGGGATGCATGCGACATGTCATTTATATCCTCATAATCCGCACTGGTTGGATCAAGCTCCTCCACAATGCTCATCAGAGCCATTGACGATCGGAAATAGCCCCGCAGAATTTGAGGCGGGACATTTGGTACTCCGAGAGTAAAAGGTCGGTACAAGTTGAGGAGCGGGCGCCGGACATGTCCGTCGAGGAGTATGAGTGTCTTCCATAGCCGAGCATTCTTTGCTTCGTTAGCCATCGCACCGTGCCGAGGCGCGATGGCATTGATTTCTTCCAAATGCCGTTCTAACTTGGAGCCTACCTCGAGAATCTCGGTCCAGTCTGTTATCAAGTCGACTCGGCGCACCAGGCTTGCGGCTTTCAATCGAATACCGAGCGTCATGGCCGAATACGACTGGATTTGCATGTCTGTGACTTGGTCAAAGGCCCTGCTGGGCGGTAGCTCCGTCATTTCCGGGTACAGCTCTGAATCGTCTACATTCAGAGGAGGCCGGGTCGTAAAATCTCCCTCGCGTAAGACACTGGGCATATTGCAGTCATTGGACACGAAGTAGTCTAAGTTTGCCACTGTGATCCAGAGGCGTCGCCTCATCTCGGCGATATACGGAGAGATGGCACCGCCGAATTCCAAGGGGTCTCGCTGAAGTCCCATATCCATCGCCATGCGCACAATCGACGAAAGGGCTGTCCACCCGTCACGGGTGCCCTCCCTAAACAGGCGCTTGGTCATTACTAGTGAGAGAGATACCTGGAGAGTGTCCAGCTCGATCAGCTGCTTTCCCTGCAGGCCACTGAGCCATAACTGGACAAGGGCGCAAGCCGTGGGTAGGTGGATGCTCTCGCTTCGTTCGTGGCCGAGACCCCTCGACTTGGTGCCGAAGCGGGATGCGGTCGCAAGGATGGTCAGCAGAAGGGGGAGGAACGCTTCTGTTGACGGCTTGCTCTCCCAATACCGATTGTACTGCTTTGTGAATGAGGGAATGTGTACGATACGGTACATGGTTTCGTTTGCGTCGAAGTACGCTTTGAGCAGTCGGTCGCATACGCCCTTGTTGGGCAGAATATCAGCCATGCGCTTTTGGAGTGGTAGCATGGACTCGACGAATATGGGAATTGGGGACAAGGATCTCTGGTACTCGGCACGTAGTACGGTATGAAGCCTTTTGAAACTAGAGAATATTTCCCTCGTTTCTCGATCTTTGGCATGGTCGCGCATGAAGTCTTTTGCTTCGTCAAACTAGTGAAGAGATCGTCGTTAGTATCCGTCATCCGCCAGAGGTAAGAGCTAGGAGTCCACACTCACAAGATTCAACAACACACGTGGGCTCCCCGGGCCATGGAGGCGCGCCCTCTGACCCCCAAGCTTCACAGACAAGGCGCGAACGGTCTTAGCTGAGACTTCAAGCGATCTCCTCCAACCTGCAGGCTCGCTGTCTGCCGAGTTTCGAGGCTGTAAACGCTTCTCCAAGCTCTCTATCCGATCCAGCAGGATTTCGAGTGTGGGTTGTTTCATTGCCGGGTCTCCGTTGCGAAAGGGCGTGTATAGCGGCTCTGTTACTGTGGACATGACCGTAGCTGATTTCAGAGGCGCGATTGGTGCCGCAGGAAGACAATTGCGTTTCGTCGGTCGCGCGGAATCGGTTATCTCGCTGTCCGAGGCGTCGGAGAGGTTCCCGGTGTCGTTGTCGGCGGCATACTTGCAGATTCGGCTCGACTTCTGGCACTGGGAGCAAGGACATGAGCGGTCGCAGCGCAGCTTCCGCTTGCGACACTCGGTGCAAGACTTGACGGGTCGGGGGCGCTTCACGCTGCGCGGCAGGGATAGAGGCTGGTGCAGCTGCTGCGGCGGCGGGGACTGCTGGGGCTTGAGCTGTTTCTGATGCTGGAGGGAAGGCGGCTGGGAGAGAGGCGTGTCGTAGGGCGCCGGCGCGGAGGGGTTAGTGGGCGTCATGATGGTCGAAGAAGCAGTAGGGCCTGGCTCCATCACGTTGGAGTAGGCGAGCGCCATTCATCTATTCATCCGGTCGTCCTCCCGACAGCCTACGTCCCCGGTACGACAGATGGGAAGCTTTGCTGACGGGTGAGGTGTCGAGCAGTCGTGTGCGTGCTGCTGGCGGTCTTGGCGTACGGTTGAGCTTTCGGCAAGCGGAGGCAGCAAGCTGTGACTCGGGGTCGTCCAGTCCTGGAGAAAAGGTCGGTAAGTGCTGTACAACGTAGCTGGGGGATCCCGAGCGGCTGAAGTGAAGCTAACGAGTGTAGTTGTTGGAGCTGGTAAGGAAAGGCAACGGTTGGCTCTGTGGAGCAGGTGGTATGGTCTTAGATGGTATATATGTGGTGACGACTATGGGCACAGAAATCGGCACTCGAGGTACGGGGGGGTGTGGGATCCGCCGTTCCAGGATCTACTCCTACCTTTTCACCTAGCCTTCTGCATTGGCCCTCGGACTGGAAAATGCTTGGAGGACTGACTGTTAATTAAATTGGGTGGGTGGTGGCCCTGCTTTTTGGGGCGAATCCGACAGGTTGGATCTGGGGGGGACCGTCCTCGGGTTGGCCGCCGCTTGGATCTGGGGCGCTGGTTAGGGCGCAAGAGGAGTAGAGGATTCAGGACTGCGGTGCTCTGACAGCTCGGTAGGTGGCATCCAGAGCTCCAGCTCAGCTTAGCACCTACTACGGATAGGACTGTATTGTTCTATGAATAAGACACGGCGGTTGGAGGCCCCAAAGGCTACCTAGTGCCGACCGCAACACGTCCGACGCCACGCTATTACAGTGCGCCACCGCCTCTGCTGCCACACACGGGCGAGGCGGCCTGGTTCGTACGAGTAGCAGAGACAAACCCGAGAGCTGAAAAGGGCCGAGTGTCCGAGGCCTGGTAGGCTAGAGCGTATCACAATCAACAATGAATAGAAAAAGAAAGGATGCAGGAAGGGGTGCAGGGATGCGTGAGCGTCGATGCGCCAGTGCCTCAAGCTGTTGGGCCGCTCAGTATCCTGCCTATATCAGCATTCTTGCCGGAAGCTGAGGATAGGGCGAGGGAGGTGAGGCGGGGCGAGGCGAGGCGAGGCCTTGCGGCGCGCTGAGTCGATGGGGGACTCTCCTTACAGTCAGCCGGATTCTCCTGCACTCGGCCGTGGATTCCGGCCTGGGGCAGGCATCATCACAGCTATCGGAGATATCAGCTAATAGCAGGTAAGGGCCGTCAGGCTGGTCATGCGACAAGGCGCCCAACGGCACGTGTGCTGCTACCTCCTAATGAGGATGTACAGGGCGCACTGGCATCCCAAATCGTGCTGACACTTGGACCTTTATTAGCAGCCCCCAACCACAGGCAGGCAGGTAGCAGCCAGCAGGGCCTGCCGACGGGAGCCTGTGCAACCGTCGCTGTGTGTCCTTGTCGGCTCCTGAAACCACCGTAGGCGATCGACGGCGTCTACAGCGAGAACAAGCAGCTCGTTGAGCGTCTTGACGTAGTTGCAACCTCATCATCCACGGATCCACGCATGACGACGACGCTTGCTGGGCGCACCGGCAGTCCGCGGCACGCACGCACGATGCAAGAAACTAACACGCTATGTAGGTACCGTTTGACAGCAGAGGGACCTGCACCCGCGCCTTGGAACCTCGTCTTGGGATAATCCAGCCAGGGATTGGATGCCACTCCCACCCACTCCCTCCTCTGTCAGCCTGTCAGCCATCGCAGTGAAGCGAACCGAACCGCTGCGTGAGAAGCGAGACACTTGCATATGCAGACGGGCATCATCCCTTTCTCTGTGCTTCTAGCCTCATCCATTGGCTCTCATGCCGCCTGGGTTTGCTTTTTCCGTGCTCGACACTTGCTGTGGGTGGCGAGCACCAGGAAAAAGCAACGGGTGTCTTGGGCACCAGAGAGCACCACGGACCTTCATAGCTGCCCATCCGCTCCACCAGCCGGATGGCCCCAATCTCGCTAGCCCTCTTCCTGGTTGACGATCTACTCGCAGAGAGCTGCTGGCTAGCAAAACGGCCGGCCCTCTCATCTACCGTGGCCCCAGCGGCCGGACCCAGACCATTGTCCCCTTTTCTTTGTCTTGCAACTCGGACACCTACCAATCCCCGCCGGGCTGTTGGAGCGTGCAAATTGTCATTAATGCTCCTGCTATTCGTCACAGCCTGGCCTCAGGTATGCTCTTGCTCTGGTGGGCCTGCTCACAGACCCGTGCGACCAGCCCATTTCCTCCCTCGTCCTCGACACTCTTCCAATCAAGAACCGAGTGCTACCAGATGGGCATTAAATTGTGTAGCCCCTTCTACCCCCCATCTCGTATCTAAAAAATTTCTGGTCAAAATGTCCGAGCTGAACTTTGAGCTATCACCCGTTGTCCCAGCCCTGGCCCCAGCAGCCGTCATGGCAATTGGGCCAGAACGAACCGTGATACGCTGGCAGTGGGCTCGACCCAGCATCATGACCTGGGCAGATTAAACCCTTCATGCAGCTAAATTCTACGCAAGAGCCGATGGAAACATGGCACGTGGCCACCTTGGCGTCCCTCGCGAAATTGTCAATCGCTACGCCTGATCGAACCAGAGACTACTTCAGAGTCAAGGCGCCTCCATTGGGCGGTTGCAATCATGTTTGCCCATGCTGCCATGCCCACCGCATGCCTTGGCATCCTTTATTAGTCTCAACGTTGCGACCTGCACATTTCGCGACGAGGGAAAACGCCCACCCTCACCACCAGCCAAGTCGCGGCAGAAGATGCCTAACATCAAGCTGATCAGAGTGGCAAAGCCCCGACTGCTACGCTGTCAAGCAGTGCCCTCAGGCACCGAACAACGTCATTGGCACAAGGCTATTTGCAAAGTCGCTGATTGGCATCGAACGGGAGATCACCACGAATACGCGAGCAGGGGGGTCGTTGTGGCGAAGTGGGCGACGTCAGCTTAGCATTCGCTGTGACCAGAATAAAACCCACGGGCTGAGACAGTTCTGGCCCAGACCTGCCCAGTCAAAAGCAGCAGCCGGGGGACAGGACTGCCTCTTCTGAGATCAGCTCGAATCGGATCCGCACAGGTCTACGATGCGCACTTGGCACATTCCTCCTCTCGCTTCGCCCTTGGCTGGATGCCGTTGAATTGCCTTATGGAGTTGGCCGTGGCTGGGTGCTTTGTCCAATTTGCCCCTCGCGTCGGCCCGTCCGCTAATTACGCAGTTTGCCATGTAACCGGTATAAAATTTCGAAATTACTCAAAGCCCGATCTTGGCAAAAAAGAGAGCTTTGCGCCATCCCTGTCCTGCGGCTCAGTCTCGCAATCAGAGCTCCATTGGTAGACCGGTAGACATCACCACCAAGGGACTAACAGCAACCAAGGGATCTCACGAAACTCAGCTTTGGACCCATCTTTTAGGCACCTTTGCAAGGATCGACCGGCCCCGTAAGGGCGTGCGTAGTACCAGACCGACCGATTCCATGGACCGAGACCTGGCCATGGACTAGGAAGAATCGACTATTCCACGTAGTTTAGAGACATTGTCCTTTACCGGAAAGACATGCATGTACGCAAGCCACCAACCACGTCAATCAATCGTCCATTGAGCGGTGAAGCCCACCGTCTTCCATGGGCCAAGCACACTGCAGTCTAACAGCCCTCACGGAGTGGGTGATTGGAATCAGTTGACAATATGCAAGAGGTAATTGCCGGTGGCACATGAAGTACGAAGTTGCGGAGCCAGCATGAAGAGTTTCACGGACATGACTGTCTACCTGATGATCAAGACGCACGTAAGCAGGTGGGATTCGGAAAGGGCTTCATCATCACATGCCCAGCTTCTATTCTCAGGCGGCTGCGAGTTGCCTGCACTATCCAAAGCGTTACGTATGCCACAATGTTACGAGGTGGTGACCATGGCGCGGTGTTACGAACACACGTCAGTTGCAGGGACAGACGGGCGTTCTTGAGAGGGATCCAGGGAAAACGGCTCCGTAACCTTTTTCATCTCTCGTCCCTTTTTTGGATCTCTGCCCTATACGCTAGTTGTCACGGCGCTGGTGCTGACCACCCTCACCCTCATCCTCCGCTGGCCAAGATCCCGGGAGCAATTCCTCTCTCTGTTCATCCTCCTGTCCCGCCCCCGCAGGCACGTCATCCGCGTCTGCCATCCTAGGCTGCCCGCGAATAACCTGTATCAGTGCGTCTAGCCAGCCAGGCTGCCCAACTCGCCGCGCGTGCTCCTCCAAGTCCGCGCGCAGCTCCGGATCGTCCATGTCAATGGCATCTAGCTCTGCGTTCTCGTCGTCGTCCTCGTCGACGCCGAAAGCCCCTGGGAATGCACCCGCCCCAGGACCTCCCGCTCCAGCGCCGCCGGCGGCCTGTTGCCGGGCCATGAGGTTCCGCAGCTGCATCTCAATCTGGTGCTCCATAGCACGGCTTCCCTGGGAGTTGTCCTTCCATGGCAACCGGCACCCCTCGCCGCTGAAGATATTCTCCGATTCCAGAGGTGGTAAAGGGTCAAATTCGTAGTTTGGTTGGCGATCAAGAATCTCTCTTGGGGCCAGCGCGATGATCGAGGTTTGTCCCTCTAGGTAGGCCAGTCGCGTCGCCCCGAGGTCGGGGGGCGCATCGTCGGCCGGTAGCCCAGATGTTTGCACCTTGTCTAGGCTCTTGGCCACCTCTTTCAGCAGGGAGATTGCCCCTGTGTTGTTCCACAGGTCCTTGGTCTGATGGATGTACAACTTGACCCAGAAGTTCCGTGATGATGTCTCTATGCTTATACCCCAGATCGAAGGCGGTGCGTCCAGGCCAAGTTCCTGGAATAGTGCACAGTATAGCCAAGGAACCCTCTTCATCCCATTAGTTAACTCTGCTCTGGCGCCATCCAAGTCCTGCAGCTGTAGTTTCGCCAGTACTGTGCTTTGTCGAAGATAGGCCGTATCCCGGTTATCGCTGATGTTCTCCAACTCGTCTATGAAGTCGATGAGCCACTCCGCCTCGTGTGCCCTGACGGCAATGAAATGGATAAAGTGCCTCATGGCGTATGGGTCGCTGGTATCCAGAGCAAACATCAACTTGGACCATTCAAGAGCTGTGCGGTACGTGCCCTTTCTTAGCAGACTCTTCAGATAGTGGTAGCCCGCGAGCCAGAATTGGCGGTTCTCCGGCCTCCGGAAGTCGAGACGGGCCTTTCCATTCTCCAAGTCCTGGCGGAATGCCGAGGTGGCTACTCTGCCAAACGTAAACAGGGCACGTTCACAAAGCTCTGCGGCTAATGCCATGTTTTGGTCCTGCTTCGCCACGCTGCTCACTTGGAGTAGAGTAGACACGTGGTAGGCTGGAGAATTAGTTAGTTAGTACCAGAAGTTTTAACTTAGATGTTTCCAAGGGGATGATACTTACGGCACTGTTGCAGTAGGTAAACAATCCTCATCGGGTCACCAATCTGCACGTAGGCAAAGAAGACGGCCTGGATAGCATCGTAATCCTTATCGTGAACGTACGCATACTCCGTGTAGGAGCCATCCGCAGCCTTGTGCAGCTGCTTCATGCCCAGTCCCCCCGCGGATCGTAGCGGCCAGTGTTCCCGGCCTTGGATGAAGACGTTCCGCCGCAACGACACCTCGGGGAGCCGCTTCGCACCTGGAGGTCCCCGCAGGAAGGTCTCCAGGTCAACCTGCTGCTGAGCAGGACCGCGTCTGCGGCGGTTGTTGTTCTCCCGCTCCTCCTCGGCGTTCGCGGACTCGATGATGTCGCGGCCGAACAGCTGCCGCATCTCATTGATCGCCTTGAGGTGGTTCGTGTTGATCCCAAGCAGCGTGTTGATGCGCCGCTGTATCGCCAGCACCGCCGCCGCCGCAGCCGCCGAAGAGCTGGAGCCGGCATCACCGCCGGCCGAGCTGAGCTTGAGCTCCTCGAGGACCTTGTCGATATCCTCCTCCGAAGCCTCGTCCTTCTCCTGGGGCTTGGCCTTGCTCTTGCCGCCCTTCTTCTTCTTCTTCTTTTTTTTACTCTTCTTCCCAGATTCGGGAGTGTTGAGTGACTGGTCCTCCTCTTCCTCCTTGACGACCTGAGACTGGCTCTCGCCCTCATCCTGCTTCTCATCTTCTAGGTCGTCATCATCCCCGTCGTCATCGTCCCCGCCCCCCAGCGCCGCAAACAGGCTCACCCTGGGCTTCGCAGCCACGGGCGACGGGGCTGTGTCCTCGTCGCTCTCATCGAGCTCATTCTCGGCCACTCCCTTGGCCTGCTCGAGCTCCCGTTGTTTTTGAAGCTTCCGGAGTTGTCTACTTGACATTGTGCTCGGTGCTTTTTACCCTAGAGGGATGGAGGGGTACTGCTGTGGTTTTTGTGCAGATATGTAGATTGTGCCTTGGATCGGACCACCCAAAGACTGTAGTGATTCTGGTAAGATATTTTCCAGGACACTTTGTAATTTAACCATGGATATTACAAGGTCCCTTGCATAGCCCGCGCTAGAATTGTTAGATTGTAGGTTCTCCCCGGCCAGCTGGTGTCTACAAAGAAGCTCTCGGCGAATGACGCACAGTGGGGCTGGAGAAAACTCTCTTGCAGATGGAGCCTCCACTAAATTATTGCTCCCTGCTCAATTACTAACAAATACTACTATCGTCACACCCGCCAGCTCAGACAAAGATACAGCAAACCTTGATCTCATTAATCTTGAGCTTTTACTTAGATTTGAAATGGAATAAAGATTAAGAATGCCTCATAATGGAATACATTTTGATGAGGCTCATCAAGCCTTGGCTACTATGTAATATGTACAGTATTTGATAGCTCGAAGGCTGTGGCACGAGTAGCCACAACCAGTGTCTCCCACTGAGCAGCTTGATATTTTTCTTTGTTTTGTTGTTTGTCCCTGGCTTGTTTGTTTTTTTCCTTAATTCGAAGGGATGTTGATGGGCTTTCCAACCAAAAGCATGCTGCAGACATTGGTAATAGCGAAAATGAGACTTCGTGAGAGTTGCATGCCGCCCAGCAACTCGGCATTAATAATGTGACCATCGCCCTTCCCTGACTGTCCTCGCTCGATGCGCTCTCCCCTACTCCAAATGGAAATAAAAACTCCAAAAGCTCCAAACTAGGAAGCAAAAACCGTGAAAAAATTCGTTCATCATCTTCCCCAAATCCTTTCCAGGGCCTTCCAGGGGATAACGCCAATCAGACAGGCGTAAGAATACCGTAATCAAGGTTGAACCTTTTCACTATGCCGAGACCCCAAAGTTTTGTTTAGGTGTACACTTCAGTGCAAGAGAGAGTAAAGTGACCTGTCCCCGTCCGTTCCCCAGGTTCCCCCAAAACTAATGCGGGCTCTTTGGACACAAGCGTGGGAACATTGAGCAAGACCCCTGTGATGAGTTGCAAAAGCATGCTCTTGGGGGATTGCCCCAAATCGGACGGATCGGGGCAAGGAAATGGTGGCGGACTATAGCTCTGCGTCGCCTGACTGGTAGGGCAATCGTTGGCCGCCTCGGCCTCCGCGACCGATGCCACGACCTCTTCCTCCACGGCCACGACCGCGGCCCCGACCACGGAAGTTTCGGTGTCCGCCATCAACGCTACCTTGGCCAAAGGTTTCCATGTTGCGGCGTTGCTCTTCATCGCGCCACTCACGACCACCGGCCCTCTGCCCGTTGTTTTCGGCTCGCTCCCTAGCCTCGCTTGAGATGTTGTCGAAGAATGATCTTGACTTGTTGTAGGCGATGGGGTTTTCCGAGGGGGCGGGCGACTCGGTAGTGCTGGGAGTGTGTGCATTTCCTGTTTCTGTTACAGGAGAGCCCGCGATCGCCTCCTTGAGAAGATCCTCCTTGTTGAATTTGGCATTGGACTGAGCGAAGTCGAAGTCCGAGTCAGGTACCTCAACCTTCCCTGTGGGACGGCCTCCACGGCCACGACCACGGGGAGCGGTAGGGGCCCGGGTTGCGTTGACTCTCATTTCGTTGACCTTATTGGTCAAATTATCCATGGCATTGCCTCCGCCATTGCCAAGCTGAGCCATAGCAGCAGCAACCGCAGCCCTGGCAGCGCTTGTGGCATCCTGGACGCTGTTTGGCGCTGTAGAAGTAACAGTTGCCTGGACACTGGTCTGAGAGATCTTTTCCTGGGCAATGGGAGGCTGGAAAGGCTTTGATAATGATCCCGACAGAGGAATGACCGGGTTGACCCGGTTGGTCCGAGGCCCAGTAGGGATACTCTTTGCGGGCTCAGATGGAGCCTGCGCCTCAGCGGGCTTAGCCTTCACTTCTTCTGTGGAGGATTTTGACTCTAAAGCAGGAGTCGGTGCCTCAACTGGTTGATGTGAAGGTTGAGCCAGTGACTTGGGCTCTGTAGGTAGGGGGGCTTCAGAGTTGGGACGATCAGCTCCAGGGCCAATTGGCACATGCTTCTTGTCTTGCTGCCCCGGAGCCGGTGGCGGTTGTTGTTGCTGCGGACCGTCAGGACCAGGAGGCCCGCCAGGGCCGGGAGGGAAAGGCTGTGCCCCCCAAGGAGCTGGCCCACCAGGACCTGGAGGGAAGCCTTGGCCAGGAGGAAACCATCCAGGAGGGTAGGGCATGTTTCCAAAGGCAGGGCCACCGGGACCGCCAGGACCACCAGGACCGGGTGCACCACGACCCCATGCCCCAGGGGGTCCGTAGAAGTTATTTGGGGGATAAGGATGCTGCCCATAGGGCCCAGGGCCGCCAGGGCCAGGTGGCGGAGGGGCATTCTGGTTGGGACCTGGACCTTGAGGCCCGGGTCGGGTTCGTGCAGACTAAATTTTTCAATTAGCATACTCTTCGTGTGAAAGAGAAGAAATTGTAAAAAGAGAATTGAATGATCTCCAGATCAGAAGGAAGGCAACGGAAATATCGACATTGTTTTTGCGCTTTCCGACATGACAAAAAGGTTTACATCCGCAATAATTCATCATTTGGAGAGTATCAAGCAAAGTGGGGAGATAGAATCTGTTCATACGTACTCCGACAATTGCAGGATCATCAGGCATGGCAGGAGGTTGATTCTCCTTGATGCCTGGGTGGTCCTCGATCCGCAGGTCCTTTACATCGCTTCCACGGAAGACAATATATTCGTAGACCTGGTCAGAGGGGCCGACCTCTTCTTCTGGTCGTCCTCTGCGGCCTTCCGTGCCGAAGGATCGAACATTCTCGAGAGATACTGTTGACTCGTCGGAATTGATCTCGTGGAGCACACCCACATAGCTAATGAGGCGTCAGCAGAAGCTGAGTCGGGGCGCGTACTCTCGTTCACGCATACCGGATGTCGCTCTTGGAAATCAGAGAGATACGAGAGCTGAAGACTGTGTTAGCAATGAGTTACCAGCTTCGGTAGACTTCAACCCGTCAATGTCGGTAGGTGTGTTCGTACCCTAGGAATTCAGACATCTCGAGATGAGGCTACGTTGCGCACGTAGGAAGCTGCTATGGCGCTTGGGGGAGACGGTACAAGCAAAGAAGAGAAAGCAATGAAAATTCGGCGGCCTAAAATAGGCGAGAGATGGAACCGGTGCCTACCGGGGGGGGAGGGCGGAGAAAGGGGTGGTTGGTTAGAGGGAGGACGAGCTAGGGAGGGAAGAATTCGCTTTTGTGAAGGTAATTCGAGATTTGTGAGAAAGTGGCTGGTTGGTGGATGATCCAGGACCTCTCCACCGGTCTACGCGGCACTACCACGGAAGAAGACCGGCTATTCCGGGGCGGCTGCTTTTGTGATGCTGCCTTTGGCTATAAGACGGCGTTTCATATAATAAATTTCGTTTACTCCTGGCTAGTCACATAGTTGTCTTGTCTTTCGTTTCTTATCCTCTTAAAATATGTTCGTAGCCGCACTGTATGTATTATGTTGCTTGCTTTCGACAGCCACCAGCAACGAAGCGTTATTCGCTCTGAAAATCCATCTGAAGGAATAGATGGTTGCGATCTGCTGCTTTACACTTCTAATGACAAAAAAACATGAATGACTGACCCATGAAACCTGCGAACAGGTTGGGTGGACAAATGTAACCCTAGCGAAATCGATATTGCAAACCAGAACTCCGTACATAAGACATCATTTACCTGAACTTGCTCCAGATTACAGCGATAATGAGAAGAACAAGAACCGTGATGATCGCAATTGTAATCACCCGATTTGTAGCCATCCTGTAGCACTTGTTAGATAGGAGGTTTACTTTGCGGTATTATGAGAAATTCAACAGTACCTACGTGCCATGCCCCGGAGGGTCTTGACACTACGATCGACATAACCTTCACTCTGAGTCAAGGTGTCGTGAGTATTGGTGATGATATCTCGCTGAGCGGAAAGAGTGGCCAGTGTTCCGGCTCCGATGGCTTCAGTCTCATTTGCGAGGGCCTGGCTGTGCTTCAAACGCTGTGTACTCCGGTCAAGACGCTCTGTGCCTGAGAGAAGCTGCTGGCGCTGTTCTAAGTGGACATCGGAAGATCCAGAAGGATCATCGGTATAACGAGATCCGAAGAGAGCAGATCGATCGGATGAAAGAGAGGTTAACTTTCGGCGAGCCTCATCAGTATCAGATTCGAAGTTGCGGAATCGCTGGTTGACCTTGGTTCGTGCTGATGTGGGAATATTCTGCTTTTCTAAACGCATTTGACCAAGCTATAGAATGTACTGTTAGCTGGAGAGTACAATCAAAATCATCGCAATTGAGCGGGAACCATGTGGCTCACAAGTTCATCGGCTTCCTCCAGCGCTCGCTCGGCCTGGCTGATTGCGGCCTTGCGGGGTTCACCGGAGAGTTCTGGAATCTGGTCTAGCTTTTGCGATAAGTCGGCCTGGACCAGCTTGAATTCCGCCTCGTATGAGCTGAAGAGCTCAGAACCGGCATCGGTGTCGAGAGGATTGGCCATCTTGAGTTCTATATCTGGTTATGACGACAGACAGCAGTCGCACGAGGATGTCGCTTGGAAGAGACGAGGTTTTGAGTCCTGGGATTGGCGCTCTGACTTGATCGATGCGTTGAGCGTTGAGCGTGACGTCGAGAATAGAATGCGATCGTGTTGCTTCGAGGTAATCGTCAGTCGTGTGGATGGCGTCGGGATGTACCAGGAGAACGCAGGCAGCTGTGATGAAGCCGGAGTATCATGCGCCTCCCATTTAGCAGTGGAGCGAACTACGTACCTAATATCAGGCAGCTGGCATTTGATTGGAGGGTGAGCCGGAGTGCGTCAAAGGCGGGTACGTCTGCATTCCCAGCCATCACTGACTCCGTTCGGGCTGAGCTGAGTCAGCCACGCACGTGATACTGCAGTGCCAGCGTCGGTAGCAAAATTCGTCGTGAGCCTGGCCACGATTTTCAAAATTTCTTCTTCTTCTTCAAGTTGATTCCCCCGGAAGAAGAAATTTAACGGCTCGACGTCGCGACCTTTGGTCCATGGCGCAGGGTTGAATTGACCGGGTAGAGAAAAGCAGGTATCCTGCACGGCGCTTCTAAGAATTGGTGATTCGTATCCCACGTTAATCGATCCCGTTGAGTGTCCGACATGCCCTCCGGCAAGAGAAAACCTGTGTTCAGGCTCCGGAGGCAGCATGCTCTTCTTTAGTTCTATTCATCGTAGCGCGCCTGAGGTACAGGCAGAAGCAAGCAAACCTTGTATAATGTAGTGAGCTATGCTGGCGACCGAGCCAGAGGGCGTGACGCTGAGACTCGGGAGCTGTCTCGACTCGACTGTCGAAGCTTGTGAAAGCACCAGGCGATCTGATGTCTGTATGCGGACAGCCGCTCAAATCCGAAGGCTGTTGCACCGCGACCAGACCAAGTGCGACCTTGCTGGTTCTGGCTCAAGGTGGGTCGATGCAGACAACCTTCGCTGGCCCGAACCGTCATCTTGCATGGGATAGTCCGCATAATAAACGATGTGAAGGCGCCTAAGCGCTTCCCCCCAGCATTGATGAAAGGCACCTTTAGAACCTCTGCTGCTGCCACCAATTACCGCCAGGCCGCTATGGGGATATCGAGGTAGCTGTCCCAGCATCTACGTCTCCCTAAGTAGCTGTCCCGGCATCTACGTACTCCCTAGCTTGAGCCCAGGTCGTGTATCCTGGACGCTGAGTTGGCCTGCATCGACTCTGAGAGGGGCGGTGGATTGCGTCAACCATTCAAACACAATATATAATGCATAACATCCCAAAAGTGTGAGTCCCCCCTTCTCATGTTTCTTTATGGAGGGTGGAGATACCCATTTCCTCCATCCATTTCGCCTTCCAATTGGAGTTGCCGGGGAGCGAGACACAAGTACGAGCTACCAACGCCCGGTAACGTCACTCATCGCTCTGCATTTCCCCAACTGCCCGTGAACGTCGTCGCGGATCCCAATTCGTGATTGATTGAGTTTGAGCCCTACGACGTTGGCGAGCGTCCATATAAGCTTTGGACCTTCTTATGATGCTGGAATTTTCACATGTCATTCCGGCCATTCCAGTAATGAGGCAGAGCTCTCCCTACTCTCCACCCGGCTATTAGCTTGCTTTCCTGCATCAATATCATCATCATTATCTCCACCCCTACCGACGGGAGCATTCTTCCATCTCTCAAACATATTTGGATATCGCTGGAATTTTGTCATGAGCCCCCCCATTAACTGTGCCACTAGGAAGAGGGTAGCCATCATTGGCAGTGGTTGCTCCGGTATTGCGGCTCTTTGGGCCCTGAACAGGACCTACCATGATGTCTATCTCTACGAAGCTGCAGACCGCTTGGGTGGGCACACAAACACTGCGCAATGGAAGGCTGGCCGATATACGGCGGCCGTCGACACAGGCTTCATTGTCTTGAACACTGCCACGTATCGTAAGTGATGAATCCAGTATTTGATTTCTTTTGCTCGCCCGCTCAACGTACATATGCAGCCAATTTTCTGGGGTTTCTGGAAAAGTTGGGAGTCGAAACCGAGCCTGCCAAGATGAAATTCTCTGTGTCCCGGGACAGAGGCGTAATGGAATGGGTTTGCGGGACTACTCTTGGATCAGTCTTTTGCCAAAGAAGGAACATATTCTCTCCAAGGATGTGGCGAATGTTATTTGATATCATCCGTTTCAACCAGTTTGCCTTGGATTTGCTTCTAGAAGAAGATGCACGCTTTGGGAGGCATAGAAATGGTTCCGCCAAGTATGCCGGCTCGACTGAGAACATTGGCGATTATCTCGATCGCGAGGGTTATTCCGAGGCCTTCAGGGACGACTATCTACTTCCACTCATCGGAGCCCTCTGGAGCACAAATCCGGCAAAATCTCCTTTGGACTTCCCCGCGAAATCGCTGGTGCGCTTCTTGTAAGTCGCGGTCTCTTGAGATATCTAGGATGAGGATCCCGTGACCCACTGAATAGGCACTGACAATAAACAGATGGAACCATGACCTCTTAACAAGTATTGCAGAACGGCCTCAGTGGCGCATCCTCAAAGAAGGATCGCAGTCATACGTCGATGCCGTCATGCGGGGCTTCCCCCCGAATCATCTTTTCCTCAAGACGGCTGTGAGACACCTTGCCAATGATGATGATGGCCGAGTGCGGTTACACCTGGAAAATGGCAAAACAGAAGTATTCGACCATGTCATCCTCGCAACCCATGGTGATCAATCGCTTTCTATAATCAACCCCTCTGCAACTGAGCAGGAGCGTTCTATTCTTTCGTGTTTCCAGACTCTACAGGTTGAAGCTGTCCTACACTCGGACCCGACTCTGATGCCCCGAAGACAGAAGGCCTGGTCCAGCCTAAACTACCTTACGCTTTCCTCACCAAACCCCAGGCGTAAACTGGGGATAAGCAAATTATCCCTGACATATGACATGAATCTTTTGCACCACATCCCCAAGACCACCTTTGGTGATGTGTTTTTGACTCTAAACCCCCTTCACCAACCGCGCCGGGACTTGACACGGGGTCGTTACTACTACAGTAGTCCGCAATACACTGCAGCTTCCATACGCGCACAGAGCCTGCTGGGGACAATTCAGAATAAGCGCAACATCACTTACGCTGGCGCATGGACTGGGTATGGCACACACGAGGATGGGTTCAGCAGTGGGCTATGGGTCGCACAGGAATATCTTGGTGCCAAACTTCCTCTCGAGTTCAAGAACCCTACAGATATCAAAGAGAGGAGGCCGAAGCTGGGACTTTTTGATCATCTGCTGAGGTTCTTCATCCTACTCATTCAGGTATTTGTTGTTCAGATTTTGGAGAGGCTTGTTGGATCAAGAAGGCCCATTTCAAAGCCAGTGAACGGCTTTGCAAACTCAGGAAAGCTCAATGGGAAAGCCGCGTAACCGTCATGTACATTTTATGTTTCATAGTGTTAGTCATTAGTAGCGTTTATATTGCATCTTTATACTGAACAGCCAGTTAATTACACAGCCTGTCTCAGTGTCTTCTTCCCTTTTGTACAGCTCTAGTTTGGAATCTGAGAGCTTGGTAGTCTGTGACCCACACGAGTGATCTCAATGAATATCTATAAAATTGCAGCAAGCTCTTTATGAACCCACGTCATCTTTAAAAAGAAATTTTGTGATAAGGCGGCTCAGTTGAGAAACAAGAAAAGTGGTGTCGTTCCCGGCAGCCCGCGGCAGGTGGGACAAATCCGGGGCCCAGCTGCCAAAACTCCACCGGCCCATGCCAAGCTGCTGGATTATTCGACATCACCCGATCTGCAGCACTCACTCCCAACGACCGGCCAGCAAACTCATTGCCCGTGTTAAAATCGATCTCGATGAACGCCGCGCCTCGGATGCGGCAGGCTGTTGCCGCCACCGGCCGCTCGGCCCAGCGACAGTCGCCTCGAATCTGCCGCTATGCGCAGTGCCGGTCACCGCTGTCCCAGCGACGGGACGTCCCCAGCTTCCGCAGAAACGCCTCGAGCACGACGCCGAATGGAGGACCGCAGCAGAGCCAATCGCCATCTGCCTCTATGGAACAGGCTCGACAGTACTATAGCAACAGGAACACGACTATTGGGTATGGCACAGTCTCGAACCCATGGCAGTTATAATCTCGTGGCTCACCTGAATAGGTACTATGCTATAAGCATTATGCTCGGGACATTGGCCTGTGCATACGGCTCCGTGCCGTTCTACAAGATGGTGAGACTTACTAGCTGGCTGGCTGGCTGGCTAGCCCCCGAGGACGAGAACCCAGGCTGACAAATGATCCCAACTTCTTCAGATCTGTCAAACGACCGGCTGGGGAGGACAACCGGTGCGCGCCCACGGCACAAGCGGCGAAAAGTACGAAGATATCTCCACGCGCGTTGTCCCCGTAACGTCGGCGAACCGCATCAAAGTCACCTTCAACGCCTCCGTCTCCGACGTGCTGCCCTGGAAGTTCGTACCGCAGCAGCGCGAGGTCAGTGTCTTGCCCGGCGAGACCGCCCTGGCCTTCTATACAGCGACGAACAAGGGCGACAAGGACATCATTGGTGTCGCGACATACAGCGTCACTCCTGGGCAGTGCGCCCCGTATTTCAGCAAGATCCAGTGCTTCTGCTTCGAGGAGCAGAGGCTGAACGCCGGCGAGACGGTGGACATGCCTGTCTTTTTCTACCTGGACCCCGATCTGTTGAACGACTTGAATATGAGGGGTGTCGAGACCGTAACTCTCAATTATACCTTCTTCAGTAAGTTGATGAACCGTACCTCGTCTGTTCCCGAGCACTCACGGATGCTAACAACATCGTAGAAGCGAGATATGACAACAATGGAAGATTCCAGCCACCTACCAGCTAGATATGTCAGTGGGCGAAATCCTTGTAAACTGTACAACACAAAATAATCCACTACATCTTGTATTTCATATATAGATTTAGGCGCTTGGAATCGCCAACCTGAGACATGAGGCTTCTCAAATGTATAAACGAAATCTTCCCAGTCCAGAACCAGCGAAAGTTAATTGATCTCTCGCAACGCTATAACTCGCAAGAGATACCTGTGTATACCCAGCCCTCGGAGCTAATTGATCAGAGCTTAAACTGACATGGCCGTTGTATCAAGTGTAACCTTCTATCAGTCTTTGGCTTGCTCCACGTAGTCTAGAAAGTGAAGACCTGAACCTACAGAGGATATCCCTATTATTAAACGAATAAGCAGGGACCACGAGGTAAGCCATGATTTACAAAATCATGATCACCATTCAATGATTTGATTTTACTAGCCACCTTGCCATGCTTCAGCCGAAGATATTGATGTTCCTCGAGCTCTCACAACTTAGCCCCACTTGCCCCCACCATCCACCTAGGATGACTCAGCGATGCTCACATCTCAAGGAGTACGTACCTAGGGTATCTAATCACGTGCGGCGAATTCTCCAATTTTCGCCCACAACTCACAGCTGCACGAGAAATTACTATTTTCTCGACTTCTTTTCTGCATCCCCTCGCATCTCCCGTCCCATCATCAACAACCCGCCCAAACCCCTACTAACCGTCACAATGGCCAAGGTCTCCTCTTGTAAGTGCCTCGAACGATTCACCAGAGCTGCAACTTCATCACCCAATGCTCAATGCTCAATTGCTCGGAATGACCCTCCTCAAACTAACCGACCTGCTGCTCAGCCGTCTCTACCTCCCGCCGCAAGAGCCGCGCTGCTCACTTCAAGGCCCCCTCCAGCCAGCGCCGTGTCATCCTCAGCGCTCCCCTCTCCAAGGAGCTCCGTGAGAAGTACAACGTACGTTCCCAATAAGATACCCATGCCTCGCCGAAAAAAAAAAAAAAAAAACCTGGCTCACAGTTTCACAACAGGTCCGCAGCATCCCCATCCGCAAGGACGACGAGGTCACCATCGTCCGCGGCAGCAACAAGGGCCGCGAGGGCAAGGTCACATCCGTCTACCGCCTCAAGTACGTGATCCACGTCGAGCGCATCACCCGCGACAAGGCCTCCGGACAGTCCGTCCCCCTCGGCATCCACCCCTCCAACGTCGTCATCAACAAGCTCAAGCTCGACAAGGACCGTGAGGACATCCTCGCCCGCTCCAAGGTCGGCCGTGAGCTCAAGGCCAAGGGCAAGGTCACTGCCTAAATTTCAACCAAAAACAATCGAAACCTTCCTCGATAATCGGATCGAAACGACTTAACAAATCATGGGTTACAAAAGTTGATGATGGACATGGGCATGCACTCCGGCGTTTAAGTACTGTGATACCCACGTATTTCCTTCGTGGGCCGGGCCAACACAAAGGCAGGGTAGATATGAATTGAGAATTTCACCGTTCTCAATGGCCATTTCACCAACTTGTGAAATGTTCCATGGGAGGCGTTTCCCGAAGTCACCTTGCTCTCGTTCTCCGAGATGTGAATGCGTTATCGTGACTGACAATGTCCTGAGTTCTTCTCATATGACAAAGTTGGGGCAACCGCTCTGGCAGCAATGTCATGAAAATAACCGAAGGTTGGTTTCGTAGAGTCCCCAGCATGTAACTCCCACATCCGCTAGTATATCACCTCGTCTGTCACTTCACTCTATGGCTTGCGAGGTAAATGATTAGCGAAGAAGAACCCAAGTGAGAGATACCTAATAGTTATCAATCTCTCGCTCTCGCCCGAAGATTTTCATCTGTAGGACTACCAATGACGGTGGAAATTTGATGGTGAGGCACACTTCTCTTGCCAGTATATCCCATCGTGCAAGATTTACCTTGTACTCCCGCTGTGCTTAGCTTGGGCCAAGATGGATGGCATACTCGGTAATAGTTGATGCTAAATAACTGGCAATTGCTATTGATGGCTATGAACCTCTATAGTCTTGAGAATACATCTGATGCCTCCTCATTAAGACCTCGCGCCTCCCTCAAATATCAATTCTGTTTCCAGTTTGTTACAACTTGGTTTTCCGATCCAGGTAATCAGTGTGCTACTCATATTCCTTTCGAGCTTGGTAGTAGCTATAATTAGGAGAGACCCCTCTCAATGCCGATGCATAAACAAATATTAATGAACTCGTGCAAGTTCTGTTGAGATAGGAAATAATGAAACAATGATCTGCCAAATGTATGCCTCTGGTTTATATCAGCCTTGAAATAAGGTTGTGGCGAGGTGAGTCTGAGATTCATCCCCTCCAAGTTGTGCATAGAAAAAGTACTAGCTGACAATTCTCGAAAAGAAGAGAGTGGTCTATCGTTTGCCGCCCGCGTTATTGAAACCAGGAGGGCGATTCTCCGATTGATGCCCCTGCAGCATATCATTCGTCTTGACATGATAAGCCTCATTAGGCTTGGCCATATTAGTCCGTGAAGAGGCTTTGTTGTTGGAAATAGTTGGTGTGAGGGAGGCGGTGGCATGGCCACTGTATTGTGGCAAAACCCCCTGCGCAGTCGTAGTCGAGACCGCACCAGGGACAGCGCCGGCACTCGAGTTTCCTTTATTGAGCATGCTGGACCAGATGCGGTTATGTGTTCTATGGTCCATTGTTAGCGCTTTCGCCAATCGAGACTGTAAAGATGTTGAGACATACTTGGCATGCTGCATAGCCTTTCGACCCTTGAAGAGTAACTCTCTGTCCTCGTCACATTCATCACTAGATGAACTTTCCTTGGGATCAACGACCGGCAACTTAGCCAACCTAAAAGGATTTTTAGCTGCAAGCTCATCAAGACTGTTCCCTCCTCGCTTCAAGGCTCCTCCACCATCGTGATGCGCACTAGCTACTGCGGCTCGTAAAAGACTGTGTTCAGGTCCAGGTAGCGTTTCCGACTGCGTGGAATTGCCAGGACCGTCACGAGAGAACAAATGTCCCGATTGACCCAGTAACTTGAAAGGGTCTGCGGCCAAAGTCTGCTCTTGAAGGGTGCTCATGGCCTTCTTGCCTGCTTGAGTTGACATTTTGCGAGTAATTGCGCTGTCTGCGCTGTGATCCTTCAGCGGCGAAGGGGGGAAAAAGTCCTTGCCATTGAACTTGGGGAGACCCTTCTGAAGGTCATGAGGAGCTTTGCCCCAGTACATATGTCGAGCACGAAGCTCATCTTCTGTCAGCTCACGTTCGTAGGTGAAATCGGTGACCTGTGCCCGATCCATTCCAATGCCATTAGGCAGATGACCAACGAGATATGGCACCCTGTCTTCCTGTGGTACGCAGGGAGTTGACAAGGCATCCCAACTAACCCTCTCTCCTGATAAAGAGGCCGTGGGATTGTTCACAGCCTCAATCCCGCTCCCTGGCCTTCCGAAACCGCCAGCAGAATTGGCAAATGTTTTATTATAGGTTTGGAGCATAGTCTCGGACCGAGGCTGAAACGGGGGGGCTAGTGCAGCATCGAGTGGTAATCTTGACTTCTCAGTTCCTGAACGAGAGCTTCTGAGAGATCCGGTCAATGGCTGAGATCCGGCAAAAGCAGATACCGACTTTGTGGAATTAATGCCTGAGCCGAAACGAGTTTCCGACTTTTCGCGCTTTAGATTTCCACTAAGGGCTTGACGGTACAGCGAAGAATCTGACGCGTTTTGCGATCCGTGGTGAGGTTTCGCCTCATCATTCAAGGCATCTTGGCAGAATGCGCCATAGTCGGATTCTGGGCGACAATTATTTGCGGTTGCCAAATTTTGGTAATTCAAATTCTCTGAAGGCTTTGGGGTTGCGTCATAAGAACGTTGGGCTTCTATTTCCTTTGCCTTGGGATAAAATGACTCCTCAAGATTGTATTGCATTTCGAAGTTTGTCTCAAACTGCTGGATGAATTGACGAGCTAATTGAGCGTCATTTTCAACGGCGCGTTCATCGATTTGATGCTTATTAAATTGCAGCTGGTCCTCTAGATACCTGAGTCGTGCTCGAAGGATGTCAAGGTGCCTTCTTGTAATCTCGCTCGGACGGATAGACGAAATAGGAAGACTTGTGCTGTTAGGTTGAGGAGCTGTACCCGTTGTCGCCATTCTAGAGAAGGACGGGTGATGAGGTCCTTTGTTCTCCATAGACTGGTCAGACTTCTTAGCATTAGCCATGTCTCTATTTCCTCCTCCAGGTGCCGCACTAGGTGCGGGAATTGCCATCCCGTTGAAGCTGTGCGATGGTGCGAGTGGGACATGGTAGAAGGGCGCGGTAGGTGGGATCATCCACTGGTTGTTCAGAAGAATTGACCGAGTGTGATCATAAAAATCGAGAGGCGAAGCTGCGGACGCTTCCTTCTCAAGGGTACCAGATTCGCTCTGCTGCTCGCTACTTGTTACATCTCGATGTTTCTTCAATGCTGGATTGGCACCAACCACTGGGGTTGGGGTAATCGGCATTCCGAAGTTGGCACCCATACTCATTCCCATACCCATGTGCCACGGAATGAACGTGTACGGGGGTGGTGCTGGTGCTACTCCTGGACCTGGAGCGAAACCAGGATACATCTGAGGCATTGGCCCAAGGTTGACGTGAGGGAGCTGAAAGGGTGCGTGCTCGGTCTGTCCTTGAACAGTAACACGGTTTGATGGTGCAGTATCGCTCATAGGTTTGTCTTTGACCCATTTTGGGTTTGGAGAGAAGGTGGCTCGATTGTTCGGTACAATTCGGCCTCCAGCCGTGACCCGAACATGTGTTGGGGAGACAACTGCTCGGTAGAAACGCTGAAAGCCTTCGTCTCTCTGGGCTGCTATACCTGTAGGGGCAGAAATCGGCTGGGGTTGAGCATCCTCAGAGTCAGACCTGCCACGGTATTTCCATTCCGAGTCGGTTCCATCTAGCTGGCGAACAGATGTAGGTGCCAACGTCAGGGCTTTCTCGACAGGGACTTCTCGAGGTTCTTCGGGAATGCGTCCAAGCTTCCTGTGGCCTCGGCCTGGAGCACGGACGATGTCGTCTCCAACATCATTAGCGACGCGTTTGAAGTGTGGTGGGGTTTTGACGAAGCTTACTTAGATCTACTTTGCCTTTCAACTTGTTCCGAAGATTCTTTTGCAATTCAACTTCGGCCGGGGCTTGCCTCATCCGGAGGAGGTCGTTCTTTGAATATATCTGAGCCGCCATCGTTTCGGAATTTTGCTGGGCCAAGGCGAAACAAGAAACCTCGTCGGCTTGGTTGCTGTTCCAATATACGATCTGAGAGAATCTTTCACCCTTAGTATCAGTAAATGCACCATTGCCTACGAGATCGGAAGTAGACGTTCTTGACTTGGTGATTGTGCTAGGGCCATCCTCTCGTGATGACCAATAGTGTGGCATTGGTTCTGCGTGGGATTGATGCACAGTGAGAGGATCGTAGGGGTGTTCTGCCAATAGGGCAGATTCAAGTGTGGACTGAAACCGCACTTGGTTCATGTTGGACACGAGCATTGTGAAGTGGAGGTGATGGACCGTGAGTTGGTGATGATAGTTGATCTGGTGTCAGGGAGAAGCACACTTAGCATACTCTTTGAACAAAAAAAAATGACAATCAGTGGCCAAGCGGCATACACCATATGCCGGGGCGAAAAACAGTTGAACGTGATAGGAAGGAGGGTTGAGCAGCTGAACTGATTGATCTGTCTCGATCGGTTTGCAGATTGCTGCTATATCTGAGGTGGGAAAAAGCGAGGCGAAAAAAAAGACAATCAAGGAGAGGGGTGAGATCAGAGGTAGAGAGCGAGATTAAGCCAGATGGTGCAATAAGCAAAGATAAAGAAGCCAGAACATTTCGCTCCACCGAGCTCTTAAGTCAATGGAAAGTCGTTATCCTACCTAGTCCTCTTCAGCTGGGACGAGAGGTCTTCTTGCTCAGTTTGAGGACTGATCTTCCATATAGAAGGTGGTACAGGCGTGTGTACCGGAAAAAGAAGGAGCCTAGCGAGCCCGGGGAGTTGTTGTCCCTCAAGTTGGTGTGGCGGCAGCGATTGCCACACCCAGGAAAGAGCGTATGAAGCGATGTCTGCTGAAGAAGTGTTGCAGGAGCGACCAAGGGAATGTGATGATAGAAGTTTCCACTGGACAGCCAGGTGGCTCAGTGGAGAAACGAGAATGTTTGTTGTTGTGAGAATGGCTCTGAAAGAGGTGAGCAATCTCGAGGCGCGGGTTTCGTGTGATGAACTGGAGAGAAAATAAACAAACAAAGGCGCGGTGGGCACAATAGACAATAGGTGAAGTGAATCTGAAAGGCAGGTGCCCACAGGGCGGTCAGCTTTTGAAGGGCAGAGAGCAGAGAGGCAACGGTCATTTCCGTGCTAGTAACGGCTGCGTACAGCTGCGCAGAGGAAATGAGACGCTTTTGACAACGGGTACCTGGCAGCTCGCACTAATGTCGGCTGGACATGAAGTAGAGCAAGTCGTAGACTTACCTGGACTTACATGGCGGAAGGCAGGCAGGAACTTTGTGGTACCTGCCTTTGGGTGCCAAGTGCCCAGCAACTGCCTGGTGTTCTCCTCCACGGACTGAAAGAACGGCGATACACACTGGTACTTAGAGAAGTGCATGACTTACTGCCTGGTAGGCGGCAATTCCTTGGTGCTCAGGTACTGCCCACGTAGATATGTTCAGAGCATCGGAGTTGATTTAAGGAGTGCATTCCAAAACTGAGGAGGTCATCTGAGTGCGCGTAGGGAACCAATTGGCAGTGTGAGCCCGCAATCACTACAGCAATAAAACGTCCCAGCCATGATTTGAGCCCGAGGGTCTTGGCCATTGTACATTACCAGTGCAGTGTCGTACTCCGGCGTGTGCCCGTCAAGATGCCAGTCCAGTACAAGCAATGCACAAAGCTCCTCCCACTCTTCGTGATAGTTCCCAATCTATCACATTATAATAGAGATGCCACCGAGTGCAAGCCTGTTGCAAGATATATCTTCCTACCTGAATTACTTGTATGCATCATCCACCACCACTCATACCTAGGGATGCATCCGATGGCCAGGGCCGTCAGGACGGGCAGAGTAGCATGGCGCCAGGGGATGTTTCCAACTTTGGGAACCATCAGCAACCCGATAGGCTGCCAGCGTTCCACCGAAAGCGCACCGGTTGGCCGGCTCTTCATGCTTTGGACCTGACATACGGAGCAGTCGTTGAATCGAGGCCTCTGCCCCCACGGCTCTACCCCGCAACTTAGCCTGCCGCCCTATGCCAACCACATGTCTCCTGCGGGCATCCACACATGCAAGCAATATCCACAATTTCATACTCCAGCCATTGAAACCGCGGATGGGCGTGGCTCTCGGTAGTACGGAGCATGACTTCATGTGCTTCTGCTGAGGCGTCCCGAGGGTCCGGCTTCTCGTGGGCCGGTTCAGGCTCAAAAAGAGCCACAGCGCCGGCTTCCCAGTAACTTTCGTCTGCCATCACCATCACGCCTCCAACTCCCGTCCTTTCTTTCAGTTTCTCCCACACCCAATTCACATTGTTGGCATCCTGCACTTACACACAGACGGAACAATGGCTCCTCTTAAACCCCACTGGCCACAGCCCTCTCACCCTGGGATCCAGGAAGTCGTCATTAACGAGGCTGAATTCACATCCAAGAGTCTCTCCAAGGTGTCACTACCACCTTTTGCCGTATTCTCGAAGCTCTCGTTCCCTCCCTGCAGCGAGGCACCGGAGCCGACATATGCGACGGTCCAGATGGGCAAAGACAAGCACTTGAACCTGAACAGTGACTTGCTCTACATCAACCACTCTTGCGACCCTTCTCTCGTTAGTCAAAGTCGGAGGGGAGAAAAGGGGGGGGAGCCGCTCGCGCTTGAGGATTATTCCAGACAACTGATCTCAATTTTAGATCTTCGATACCACAAACTTCAACATCCTCGTTGGCCCCAATGGCCTGAAACCAGGAGATGAGCTCACAGTAAGCACCAAGCCCTCCGAGCAGCTGCTTACTCCCGATGTCTGGTCCACCCACGCTCACACCCCTCCAGTTCTTCTACCCATCCACGGAATGGAGCATGGCCCAGCCCTTTGAGTGCCTGTGCGGCACTTCCAGGTGCCGAGGCACCATTGCCGGGGCCAGAGACATGACCCACTCCCAACTTGAAGGATACTGGCTCAACGCACACATCCGCGAGCTGTTGGAAGACCAGCGCCTGGAAAACGGCACTGCGGCTCTCAGCGACTCGAACGACCCCACAGCACAAGCGCTGAAAGATGCCTTGTCCCACGCTGAGCAGGTGGTCGAAGCTGCCCGGACGGCCCTCCGCACCTACGCCGAGAGTGCCGCTGTGAATGGCTCTCGCTTTGCACCATCCATCAATGGACAGTTTGAGAACGGACTCAGCCGCAGGGGGCTCACATCTCGGGAATTGGCTGGGGAAATGGGCGGCGATACCAGTCGTGCCTAAGTAGAAATGGCGGGGGGCCGAAAGGTTCCTTGGAGTTCCTAGATTGAGGCTTTCAACACCATCATTCCCGAACTCGCAGCCTAGCTAGTTCTTTTTTCCTTTTATTATCCGCCTGAAGGAGATTTCAACATTTCTTGTCTTTCCAAATCTTAGCTCTTGTTCGAGAGGAAAATCATAAAACTTCGTTTGTTGTATCTGTACAGTTGATTATCATCCCTGTAATCCATACCGCAGAATATGCTGCATAACAATATCGGGACCAATATACGTTCCCGTTCTATAATGCCATCCGCCCCCCTCCTCCTCCCCCCCCCGGTTCCCTCCAACATAGCATGCTTGGAAAGTAAGACGGAAAATTATTTGTCGCCCTTGTGGTCCTGCCACCGGCTCCACGACGTGCGCCCGCCCTCCGTACCGGCACCCCGGCTGTACCCGGCCTCCTCCTTCTCCCAGTCGGTCCGGACCTTGATGCGCCTGGCCTGGAAGGCCCGCGTGAACTTCCAGATCTCGGTGTCGGCCATGCTCCACGCCTCCAGGGAGGCGCGCATCTTGGTCTCGTCCGTGGACTTGGTCAGCGCGATGAGCTTCTTGGCGTTGTCGAATATCCTCTGCTCTTTTCCGCCGACGTCCTCGACGACCTCGGGGGCGTTTTGGGGTTCGGAGTCTATGCTTTCCTTGTCTTTGCTGTCCTTCTCCTGGCTCTCCTTGTCTTTGCTGTCCTTGTTTTTGCTTTCCTTATCCTTGCTGTCCTTCTCCTTGCTTTCCTCGTCTGCACGCTTCTCGGCTGTGGCCGTGGTGGTCGCACCAGCAGCAGCGTCCGCCGTACTACTACTAATCGTGCTACTCTCTGTGCTGCTGCTGGCGGTACTGCTACTCGAACTGTCCGTGCTGGCAGTCTTGGGATCATCCAACGCGGACTTGGGAATGTCAAAGCCAAACTGCCAGTTCAGCTCGACAGGCATGTCCTCGGCCGGAAACCAGAACGTGTAGGCCAGCGCGCCGTCGCCCGCCACGGCCTGCTTGAACCGCATGATCTGCACGCCCCTCGAGGCCGGGCCGCTCAGCAGATCCCGCATCACCTCGTCCAGCCAGGGATCCCGCTTCGACTCGCGGCGGATCCAGGGCACGTCCAGCCTCTCCCGGAGGTTCGACAGCGTGGCGAGCGTCCAGGGGTGGGGGACCGTGCCGATCGTGAAGTGGTCAGTGGCATTGTGATACTGCGCGGGGGTCGAGATCCTGGCCCCCTTCGCCCCCTGCTGGCCTTCTCCACACGGGGTGCATTTCGGCGCATTGGGAGGGCAGCTGGAGGGTATCGGGGTCTCTGGGCAGGAGAGCAGATACTCGGCCAGGCGCATGGCTCTGCCTATCAGGGGGGCAGTGTGTTCCGGGAAGGGCTTCAGGACCTCGATTCCTTTCGGGAAGGCACTCCTCCAGGTGTGGTGGAGGTGCGAGTTCATTAACTTGTTTAGGCTCTGCAGCTGCTTGGTCTTGCTCTCACCCTCCTTGGCGAGGATCTCAGAGTAGCGCTCCTCAATGATCCCGGAGCTGTAAGAGGCCAAAGAATTGGTCGCCTTCTCGATCATAATCTCCTTGTCCGAAAGCGCTGACACTACCGTCTTCTTGTCCTTCAAGTCGGAGCTCCCCACCAGAGCGTGAATCGCTGCACTGAGCTCCGTTTTGTGACCGGCGACCAGACCTCCATCAAGGTTTTTCCATGTGCTCAATTTGGGGTATTCGCCTCGTCGAAGATATTGGATCAGCGGGTCCTGTCGCGAAGCCATTGGCAGCACCGTGGAGTGCGCAAGCAGCCCGTCGCCCATTGCCTCCCAGGCCAGCCACCTCATGAGATCATCCTTCATGGCAGGATCCAGGCTCAGCCTCTGCACCAGGTCGTAGTTCGGATTGTTCATCGCCTCGGCCGCACTCAGGATGACGGGCCAGAACCCCTGCGCCCACCACGCCCGCCTCCAAGTCAGCAGCAGCTCGCTCTCGGCATCCTTCTCGTCCTTTGTCTTCTTCACCGTAGCATCGTAGTAGCAGTAGACGGGCGGCCTCCTCGCGAGCGGAGGCAGGATGGACCGGTCTTCGTCGAGGGTCAGGTAGCTCGAGAAGGGGACGGAGAGCCACTTCCAGTCCGCCCACCACGAGGAACCTTTGTACTCGTCATCCTTCTGGGGCGGCGGTGCGTGCAGCGGCTGGCGGAACGGGTTGAGGCTGCTCTTCTTCAGGTAATCGGTCACGTGGCTGGTGATCTTCTTGTTCTGGTCGTGTGATAGGCCTGGAGAGGGTGGGATTCTGGATGTGAGGGTTGTGATGCCGATAATGGCAAAAAAGGAGACTAGAGCCAGCAGCAGTGTCGGCCGGGCCGTGAATCTGCGCCGTGTGCAGAGGCGAGATCTTGGCATGGTGAAGGCCCAATAATTATACCGATTAATTAGAGTACCAATTGCTGTCAGCGGCCGGCTGGAGAGCACCGGACCATGACAGATGCAGGAACGATGACTGATGACAAAGGAGAGTGAGACTCGGCACCGTCTAAGTCGACATAGATAGCGAATTGTCGCGCCCTGAAACATCCATCAATTAGGAGGTGTTACGTAGGCCCTCGTACGGTTTCGGATTCGGGGCATGTGGATGGAGTGCCCCCGGCGAATGTTACGGAGAACCCTGTTGCCACCAGTAGCCACCAACATCGACCCTGCATCGGTGCAGTCAAGCATCTTTTCCCTTTCTCAAACGGCATGCTCCAGAAATATTCACGACGAGAGGAACCAGAAATTGGACAGAGGTTTTGTCTATTCAGCATTGTTTATATTTAATTCTACTACTTGCCCGGGTGGAGTAGGTGTCACCTGCGCTGGAGGGGTCCAAACCCCAGTTTCCATAGTCTACGAAGAACTGGGCATTTTTCTAGTTCGGTTTCTTCAAATTTGCCTCGAGGACAAATTCAGTTTTCGTTCTACTGGTGTGAGAGTGTATAGCAAGGATGGGGAAGAGAAGACGGAAGAGGAAATGAAACCCAACAAACAGAAAGAATAAGAAAAGATGTGTAGCAATTTCCCATGACGAAATTCCTTCCTTCCGCCCTCACTGATTTAGTCTATTAGGAGCCAGAGTGCCATGCTAGAACCGTGAGAAGGGTGAAGAAGGTAGAACGCCAGATTTCATTCTTGTATGCATGACCACTGTCTTCTCGATGCATCCGGTCAAGGTTTCCATGTCTTTGATAAAAAGCGAAAAAGAATATAGTCGAAAGAGATCCTTTAAAACTCCGAGAATGTTCAAAATTCCAAGATCACAAACAGCTATCGGCCGAGCTCCAGGCGGCCGAAGGAGATGGGGTTCCATATTGATGCGCTGCGCTTTCCCCGATGCCTCTGTCCGCTAAACTGGACTAACTGTACTGGAAAAGCACGCTGATGGACTCGCCGTGGTGGACGCGTCGGATAGCTTCGGCAAATACCGGCGAGATGTCGAGGACCTCCAGCTTGGGGCAGGCACGCTTGTTCTCCTCCTGTGGGACGGAGTTGGTGACAACAATCTTGTCCAGGGCCGAGGCATTGATGCGAGAGATGGCATCCCCGCTGAAAACACCATGAGTTACGAGAGCATACACCTTCGTGGCGCCTTCGCGTTTCAGCAGCTTGGCGGCACGAGTGATGGTGTTTCCGGTGTCGATCAAGTCATCCACCAGGATACATATACGGTTGGCAACGTCACCGACGAGCATCATGCTGGCGTTGCGGTGCTCCTTGAACTTGATGGGGCGTCGTTCCTAGAAAGGGGATATGTGAGTATCGGACCATGTCCAGGAGCGCACAGTATATTACCTTATGAATGAGGGCAAAGTCGATATCGAGGCTGTCACGAATGAGGGAGGCTCGCTTTGCGCCACCGGCGTCGGGGGAGACGACAACTGCATCGCGCCAGCCGGGAATGTTGCGCTGGATATAGTTTTGAATCAAAGGCTTGCCGTACAGATTGTCGACTGGGATGTCGAAGAAACCTTGGTACTGAGGATCGTGGAGATCCATTGTGATGATGTGATCGGCGCCAGCGCACGTGAGCAAGTCGGCGACGAGGGTACCGGCGAGAGCAACCCACTGCTTGTAACCAGGCTTGGCCTGGAAGACAGCCTTGTTGGTGGGCTTTTCGTAGTCGTGCGTCGTGAAGCTGGGCTGTGAGGTTAGCGCGCGGTCTGGGTTTGCACCTCCGCTTGCGTTAGAACTCAGGCTGGAGATGGTATCCGATCTCTTTGGGAAATAGTCTCCGTTCCTATCGGTCACACTCGTCTTGGAAAGTTTCTCGGCGAGTCCATTCACACCGTTGGTGAGGCCACTGCTGCGAGGGCCACCTGGACGGGGAGTAGCGGGAACGCTCTCGAAAGTGTAATCTTTCTTTGACGAGGTGTCGATGGACTTGGAGAGGGGGGCACCGGCTTTGTTGTAGGGCCAGTCAGGCTGGCGAGAGTAGGGAAACAAGGGAACAACTGCAGTGACTCGCTTGGCAGAACCGATTTTGCAGGCGGAAATCATGATGCAGAGTTCGATGAGGTGGTCATTGACACTGCCAGAGCCGGACTGGAGGATGTACACATCCTTGCCTCGGACTGAGTCCTTGATCTCGCATCGGCTCTCTCCGCCAGAGAACTTTGAAAGGATACGGTCGCAGGACGGAATACCCAGGATGTTGCAGACATTTTCCGTGAGCTTCGGGTGAGAGTTTCCTCCCAAGAGAACAATATTGCGGACCATTCTGATAGCTGGGTGTGTGAGGCCGGTACCGCGATGCTACCTAGCGATGGGTGAAGGTGTCGATGTAACGATGTCGAGAGAGGGATAGTGCAGTGAGCCCGCGCGAAGGGAAACGTAGACCCGGGCAGAAGAGGTGCTCTTCAAGGCCTAGAGAGGACTCAACCTTGGTCTCGTGAGCAACTGCGATTTCTGGCGCTGGTGGCGGCGACTACTGAGTTCAATAACGGTTAATTTTTTTTTTCTTCTCCCTTGACCCACGTAAAAGACGACGCGGACGTGCTCCAGAAGGTAGGTTTTTCTGGGCAGGAAGGAGGAAGGAAAGCTTACCAGAGATATTGTTCAGCCGAACAATTCAAGCCTTGACACTCGGATGCTGAACAGTGGAGTTCGCGTTCGCCAATGGTGGGGGACGTTGACTCGAGCCTCAGTTTCGTCCTGCAGCCGTGCTAGATGATGGATGACCACCGATTACGGCGTTGCGAAAGCTCACAACCAGAGTGCGGGATGGACAGGCAAGGGCGGGTCCAGGAGCACCAGGAGAGAGTCTGGGGACAAAAGAGTCAAGGACAAGATGGATGGTGTCAAAGAAACTTCATTGTGAGATAGGTAGGCAGACTAAGCACATGACGACAGAGTTTGGGTTGAGTCAATTCCTCCATCTTGCCCCAGTAGCAGGACGGGGGAGCCAACCAAGGGAAGACGGGAAAAAAAATCTTTGTCGGTCGGCAACTCTAGGCGTGCTAGGAGTGAGAATCTCGGCTAGGCCTGGGAGTAAAAGGCCAGCTCCTGACTGGCTGCCTGGACGGCTGTGGAGGGGCCAAAATTGGACCAATTCGGGGGCTCAATTGGGGCCATCCCCAAGGTCTAGTGGCCATTAGCAGTGCTGCAGCCCGCTGTGTCACCCCGTGCCGCGCAGCGACCCGAGCAGGCAGGGCAGGGCACCAGCGGCTGGCGCGCTGCAGTATGATGCCATCCGGCCAAGCAGCACCTACAGTGCGACATCGTAAGCCGCGCATCACTCACCGATGAACAGGTTTGTGCATCCTCGTCAAAGTGCCCTCGTCAACCTATGCACGATGGTGGGGGCCAGCGGCGTGATTGGCCCCAAAATGGCGGGGTCACGAATATTTGGGAGGCGTGCACATGCGACATGCGCGGACAGTGCAGGACATGAACCTACCCTAAAGTCTAATCCGTTCCGAAGAGACTCCAACGGCTGCGCGGACTGCGCTAGGTACCCTTCTGCCTTGTATTAGCATGAGGCGGACGGAGAGTACCTCCGAACACGGGTGAGTTTTGACAGGGAGCGCTGCACTGTGAGCCAGATTTGTACCTCCGTGGCCGGGATATTGGCTGGCAGTATCTCACACACCAATGGGATAGCTTGTCCAGTTGGCACCCGTAAGCTCTGAAAAAAAAGACCTCTTGTCCTACCAAGCAACACTCATGCAGCCTGTCGGATAAGCGTTTTCATGTCATGTACCTTGATTTCAGTTTTCGGCCTGCAGCGACCTGGCTTTAGGTTGCCTCCACCGCTTGACCCAGCCACCTGCAAGTCTGCGACATCACCCCTGGGCCCTGGTGGAACGAAGCCTAAAGAAGCCCTAGCAGGAAAAACTCGATGGCAGGCCTGGAGCTCTCCGATCACCACTGACTACGGACCTTAGGTAACCACTCCAAGCAGCAACACAACTGTCTTGACAAAGTCAACTAGTGAGTGTGAGAAGGGGAATTATCCAACGTCTCAAGCTAGCGCACCTGCACCGCCATGAAGGTTCTTGAATCCCAGACCGCCGTGCTCTCCAATTTCGAGGTCCACGAGCACTTGGCGGAGCTCCAAAGCCGCAAAGAGAAAAAGAAGCGTCATGCACCACCATCCAACCAAGGAATGGTCATTGATCGTGTAGGTCAACAAATCATCCCACTGCCCTGACGACACAGGCAATCAAGATGTAGTCCACTGACACTCTTTCCCAGACCCTGGATTGGTTGCGCTTGCCGCCCAGTCCGCTAAGCCAAACGCCCACCACATACCATGCTGATTCCATCCCTACCCTCCTGGAGCGCCTTCGCCCTTATGACCTGACCAAGGGTGAACTTATCATGATCCTCAATCTGCGGCCCTGTTCAGTTCCAGCTCTGAACACCACGATTGAAGACATGGAAGTCCGCCTCACCGAGGATCAGCAAATGGAGATTCTGACTATCATCACCGAGGTCCTTGGCCAGTTTGACCCTCCCGAGGAGACAGAGGACGCGGAAGCAGCTGCCGATACATCCATGGCGGATGCTCAGGGATCGTGAGATCCTATAACCCACCCCTAAGATACTGCTAGAACGAACTTTTTTGAGGATATAGCGAGGCGTTTACAATGGTTAAATTCACAATCCGCTTGCCTTGTCTATTTAAGCATATTCTGTTCTTGGTTTACATGACGGTGCAGCCACCTTCGCTCTGACCACCCGCCGCCGACTTGCATTTTATAGCAGTCTTGCAAAGATCTTCAAACGCTAGCTTCAGAAGCTCTCCGGTTACCGCTGAGCACTCAATGTACCGGTCAGCCCTGAGCTGCTGGGCAGCCTGATACCCTTCCTGTGGATATATGATGCCGTTTGGATCATCTTCCGATCTGAGGTCCCTTTTCAGACCTAATATAATAATGGGGAGCGAGTCAATCTTCTGGAGGCTCTTCTTGACTTCATCTATCCACTGCGGTCCGCACACATTGCTATATAAGCCATCGTCTTAAAACACCAGGGAAATGTTAGCACGGGAGGGCGATGACAAACTGACAAATCTCTTCATATTAATCATGCTCATTCGCTGGCTGATATCGTAGCATATAGTCACAATGTCGGGATCCAACGTCCGCCAGTTCTCCGGGCTCGATGTGTCGTAAAACTCCAGGCGATACTCGGCACCTGAGAGCTTGATCTCGAAGATGAAGGGCTGGTCGATATCACGTAGGAGAGGAATGGGATTCACATTCTCTCCTGCGCTGAGTCTCCTAGGAAGCCAAGAGATGTGAGCAACGACGATGGCATCACTCGCGGAAGATGGTATAGGATCATGTAATTACGGACGATAGAAAGGTTGTTTTGCCACATTTTTCATCCCCGACAAGCAGCACCTTGATGACTTCGGATTCCATGTTTTCGATTTACAGTATGAGAGATGATGTAGGTGTTCAATCGGCGCATCTCGACGCATGCTCTCCTGGTAAAATGAGATAGGAAGATTGCCCGCCTGGACGAATCTTGTTAGTCGTCCAAATGACTGATGGGACCCCACTTTGTACCGCCACAGGCCTTCCTTATCTCAAGTTTGGGGGTGACGGGCTTGAACAAGGCCCCGAGCTCACCGCATCCGACGACGAGTCAAGTGTTGTCCGGACTTGCTAATCATACCACCTGTATCGCATTTCATCTGGTTTCATGTTGTGGCCTTGTGAAGGACTGATTGTGTTGGACTTGAATGTTGAAAGGCTGCTATGCACCGCCACATCTTGCCGGCGCCACAATTCAAGATTTCACTCTCACCCACCAAAATGCACACAAGACGCAACCACTCACGTTGAGGGAGGTGAATAGACAGAGCAGGTGAAAAAAAAAAGTAACACCCCCACTACCCACACCTTAATGAGACGGCTCCCGTGTAGCAGCGTCTGGAGTCGTGCTCCCTGGGGGTCTATCAGAGCTGGCCGCACCCCGGCTCTCATAAGGAATATCATTACAAGGACTACCAAAACGTCAAAGGCCCTGGTAAACAAAATGGCCGCCAATGTCGACTACGGCAAGTGGTCCAAAGATAGTCTCATTGAGCGGCTGGTCCAGCTGGAAAAGGAGCTGCAGTCTCGTCCTGCGCCGCCTGCTGCTCCGGTAGCAGAGGATGCGGCCACGGAGGACGCCCAGCCAGCACCCAAGAAGCGAAAGGAAAAGCCAAAGATGGATCCTGCGACCAAGTCGTTCCGTTTCATCGCCCTCAGGCTGGCATATCTGGGGCGCAACTACGGAGGTTTCGAGTACTCTGCCAGCGGCGTGCTTCCAAGTATAGAGGAAGAGCTGTTCAAGGCCCTGACCAAGACGTGCCTCATCTTTCCCGAGGATGAACGTGCAGTGGACTTTGGCAATTGCGAATACTCCAAGTGCGGGCGCACGGATCGTGGTGTCAGTGCCTTTGGGCAGGTCATTGCTCTACGAGTGAGGAGTGCAAAGCCAACTAGTGCAAGCAGAAACAAGAGAAAGAAGGTGGTTGAGCAGACGCAAGGAGCCGAAGCTCAGGCTGAGGCCGCGCAAACAGAGTCAGAGCCCATGGAGACTGATACCCCAGAGCCACCACCCTTCGACCCTATCCGAGATGAGATCGACTACCCCAAGGTCCTCAACCGGGTCCTCCCACCAGACATTCGCATTCTCGGATGGTGTCCGTCGCCGCCACCGGATTTCTCTGCTCGCTTCTCCTGCCGTGAGCGCCAGTACCGCTACTTCTTCACCCAGCCGGCCTTTAGCCCATCCCTGCCTTCCCCGGGTCAGAAGAACGTCGGTTGGCTAGATATCGACGCCATGCGGGATGCCGCAAAGCGCTACGAGGGAGAGCACGACTTCCGCAACTTTTGCAAGATCGACCCCGCAAAGAACATCACCAACTTCAAGCGGGGAATCCTTGAGGCCACGATAGAGGAAGTCCCTGATATGGGGTCGGCCATGCAATATCTGAGCTGCCCTCCGGACTTGAGCGCCACGGAGAGCGGGCAGCTCCCCAAGGTGTACTGCTTCAAAGTCAGGGGCACGGCGTTCCTATGGCACCAGATCAGAAACATGATCTCGATTCTCTTTTTGGTGGGCCAGGGCCTGGAGAAGCCCGACCTGGTCAACAAGCTCCTGGACATCGAGAAGAACCCAAGACGGCCGGTCTACGTCATGGCTGACGAGGTCCCCCTCGTGCTGTGGGACTGTCTATTCACCGACGAGAACGGCGCAGAGCTACCATGGATACATGTAGAGGACAGCATCGACCCGGCGAAGCCAAACACGGCCTTCGGCACGACAGAGGGGCTGTGGAAGCTGTGGCGCGAGGTCAAGATGGACGAGATACTCGCTAACAGGCTCCTCAACCTGGTCGCCCGGCCGCTGAACTATGACGCGCTGCCGGTCAAGGAGGGCCCGCCGTCGGTGAAGCTATTTGAGGGGGGCAACTCTGGACGGCAGGCGGGCAAGCACGTGCCTGTGATGAAGATGGCGCTGATGGAGACGCCCGAGGAGCAGAGCAACAAGTTTGCCCAGCGTAGAGGGTTTGCCAGCGCGGAGGATAGGGACCAGCAGCGGTATGCCAAGAAGGCGCAGGCCAATGCGGCCGAATAGACATCTCTCTGAGCAGCGTATACACTGTGGAACGGTAAAATAAAAGACCATTTTTGAAAAAGGCGTAAGCAAATATAACGCCCATTCCTAAAACTTTCTGCAAAAGGGTATCTTCTCATAATGATTCCATGATAAACCAATGTTTCCCAAGTGTCCCAACGCCATTTTTCCCACCCCTTTTCACTCAATCCCCCCTCGGGGCGCCTTCTCATAAAGACACTCCCTCGCCTCCCTCCAGACCTTCTCAACAATGTGCCTCCGCGGCAGCAAGCCGGGGAACACCACAACCACGTCCTCCTCGCCCTCGACGACCACGACGAGGTAGTACCTGACCTCGAACCCCCGAAACGCCTCGTTGACGAAAATGTCCTGGATCTTCTCCGTCGGGATGAACCGCGTCGCCGCGCTCGCCAGGTACGTCCGCGGGCTCTCACTCGTCTGCACGCCTAGGCCCCTCAGCACCAGCAGGCTCTCGGACGAGTGCACGCGGAGTGCTATCCCGTAGCACAGCGTCGCTGCCCCGGGCACGAGGATTGGGAGCGGGATCCGCGCCGCGAGGGCTCCCAGCGCGATTCCCAGCCGCGAGCGGTGCAGGCAGCCCGCCATGTACCAGAGGGTGTCTATCGAGAACCACGCCGCGGGCCAGAGGGGGTAGGTGTCGAGGGGTTGCGCGAACGGGCTCTGCAGCCAGCGGGAGGAGAGGACGGTGCAGATGGTGAGGAGCAGCAGGAGGCGGAAGACGATGAGAATGATTCGCAGGATCCGGAGGGGGAGGGTTGGCGGTGGGAGGGTTGTGACTGTGAACTCGGCCGTCGTTGGCGAAGGGCGCCGGATGCGCAGGTGCGGCAGTGTCGTGAGCATCTTGGCTGCTTGCCCGTGGGTGGAGGCTTGGAGATGATCGGTAGAGTGAGGAGTAAACCTATTCGAAGTGGATCATGAAGTGGTTGAGCCTGAGCTTGAGCTTCCCATGGTTTAAAAATCCTTGTTTGATTAAAAAAGTCGGGTCAATTGATATTCATCGCTCTTCCATTATGTTGGTACTATGACAGCGTTCTGGAATTGGGTTGTGGCTACCTGGATTACAGGTCGCAGGGGTGGCGGGTGGTGATGGCGGGTACATATCGGATGTACCTCTGATCCGGTGTTTTGCCGCGCTATACCCTTATAGCCCAAAAGTTCGGCTCCAGCTCTCGACTGTAATGGTCTAATGGTGAAGAGTTTCAATTTCTCGATTGCCTCTCTCCCAAATCCGTCAGATCCCCCCCGTGACGCCCAGACCGAACGCTGCGGTGGTCGCCCACTCGCTCAGGTAACTAGCGATTGTGGAATGCGCACCCTAAGCATTGGAGAGTACCCTTGAGGGAGGTTTCACTCTGCAGAGATCTCTCCCCCGTCGCGTGGCGGGCTGGATTACGATCGCGGGGGGTTTGGGATGATGGTTCGAGATGGAAACATCAACACTTCTTTTTTTATTTTTATTTTTTTGCCCAATGTTCATTTATTTATTCGGGCTCAAAAAAAATATCGCTAGGAGCAGAATGGCTGGAACTTTTATAATTCAAAATGCAGTAAATTGAAAAAACGTTCAATCGTAAATCGTAGCCCAAATTGAACCCCTCTGGTACTCAGACACTTGCGTGGTGAAATGAGGTTATCGCCAAGTCCAATTCGTAAGTATACCTCCATCACTGTCAAATCAACCGTTTTTGGCTAGCTGAAAATCAAAAGCTATATTATCGAATTGCCCTTGTATTCTCTCTTCCAATATCACTCTTTTCCCACCAAATATACCTGAAACCGAGGAATCCATCCTTCAACATGAAGCCGTGAGGCAGCATTGTAAAACACATTCCTACACAACATAGAAAAGGGGTTACGACAATGATTGTTTGTAGAAAATCTGAAAGGATATCACAAGGTCCACCTTTCTTTTCTTTTTGATCCCATATCCAATGTTATAATGAGAGTGAAACAGGATGTGTGTGAGGTAGAATCTCGCGGCCTCCTCAATGAAACGAAATATAATGAAGCGAGAGGGGAAAAGCAAAGCAGAAGAGAAGTATATATCTTTGTAGGTTCGCTAGAACAAAGGAAAAGTCGTCAAGTCGTCATAAACGTCTGTAATATCCTCATCCGGCCTTCAAAAGGACTCGCGCGGAAACGAGACCTGATGGCGGGGGAGATCCGAACAAATGATCCAATAGTGAAAATCCAAGTACATGCCGATGTATATCGGGTCCGAGTATGCAAAATATGCGTAGCCGCCACTGCCCGTAAATCCTATGTAAATGGTGCCAGTCCACCAAAGTCCTGCTGGGCGTCATGCTAACTTCCTCTTGTTCAGATGGTATCAGCTGTGAATGGCAAGAAATAGAAAAAACGCAGTACAAATAACGTGAACAAGTCGTTACTAATGTAAATGTAAAACAATGGCTGAAAGTCAAATTCAATCGATATATCCGGGAACTCGATAAATAAATTGCGATGAGCCAAGTCCATGTCGATGGATATGGTACGCAAAAAGATGAATATAAAAAATGAGCATTGGTTTTAGACCTCTAAATCATCTCGCTCTTATGCATTCCAGTTGACATGAAAGCGCCTCTGCCTTCTACAGGCGATCGAACAATGTCTTGGTCATACATGACGGGAGGGGGGATGGAAATACTGTGGTGCGCGCCAGCTCCGGTCTTAAGATGTTGAGTTGGAACGCTCTCGTAAGGCGCCTCACCGTGAGGTGATCGAACCATGTCTTGATCATACATGGTAGAAGGAAGGAAGGGAACACTGTGATTGGCACCCATCCCGGACTTGAGGTGCTGAGTCGGAATGCTCTCGTATGGTGCCTCGACGTGCGGTGATCGCACAGCTCTGCCCTCCTTTGGTCCGCGACTCGCGGATCGCAAGCGCTCAGTTGCCTTGGAAATACGACCAGAGATGCTCGTGTCTCCTGTGCTGCGACCTCGGCTATGGCTCTTCGAGGCTGGCGGAGCAGGAGGAGGAATCACCGGGACCATACCGTCGTTGGGAGCTGCTACTGGTGCATCCCCCTCATCGTCATCATCCATGACTATCTCAATCATTCCAGAGCCCAGGGCACCTCCCTGGGGGCGTCGCATATTAGGGAGAGGCGCGGGAGGAGGAGGTGGTGGTTTTGCCAGGTGCTGCAACTCCCTGAGCAAAGGCGGCGCAGGGGGTGGGGGGGGAGGTGGTGGCATGAGAGGCTCTTCTTGTGATCGTCGCCTACGATTGCCATTGACGACCTCATCAATCCCACGAAGTTCTGCTGAGCTCCCCTTTCTGCGTCTTGGGGTCGGATCATCTGGTATAGGCGCCGACATGCTTCTGGGAATGAAAGGTCGGGTGGGCGGTTGATACACAGTCGAAGGCAGTAGGGTAAATGGATCTGCTTGCTGCGGTTGCTGGTTGCTTGGGGGCTGTTCATATGAAGGCTCCTCTGTCTTCTCAGCAACAAATGATGGTGGAATAGAAGGAATCTTTGGAAGCTCCTGAGCACTCTCTGCGTCATATGCAATCCTCATAGCCTTGGGTGTTGCAGGGAGACCGATAACCGGGGTGTGTCTGGCTGAAGTAAACCCGCCCTTGGGTAATGGCGCTGTGGCACAACGGGGTTGTTCACCAGGCGATGGCACAGGGCTCGAGGTTTCGACCACAACATGTCTAATATCCATCGAGTTCTGGCCAGGGTTTGGAATTGAAGGTGCTCGTGCGCGGTGCGCAAGGGACTTTCGGCGTTCTTCAAGCTCTCGTGCAGCTTGTTCCTTCTTTCGCTGTCTCTCTTCCTTCATCAATCGCAAGTCACCAGCATGCTCAGTCGAAGCGGCTCGACCATGAACACTTGGTGGAGGAGGGGGAATGTCACGAAATTCAGAAACATCTCGACGGCGGCTGCCGGAGCGATCGCGCTTGGTTGCGACTGGTGAGCTGGGTGCCCGTGAAGCACTACCATTATGCTTTGCTCTGAACAATTCCTGTGCCTCCACGGCCCTTCTGTAATCCTCTTCATCTTCAGAGCCCTCGTAGTGAAGGATCGTGGCAGAAAGAGGCGGTGCAGGCGACGTTGCCTGTAGCCCCTCTTCATCAACTCCTTTACTTCGCCCCCGGGTGTCCAAGGGTGTAAGTCTTGCGCGAGCATCAGGACTATGACGCCGGCTGCCACGGCTGGAATTTCGGCTCTTGGGCTTTGACACCTTGTAGGTACTACTTGTCTTACGGACAGTCACCGGCTCGCCAACCTCAGCGGCTCGAGGAGTGCTCAGTATAGCGATGTCTTCAGGAGACATCGGAACTGGAGAGGTTGGTGATCTCTTTGGCTTGTGCCAAGCTCGGGAAGAGCCTCGGCCACGTTCCTCTGAAGGTTCTCGGGACCTCGCTTTCCTCTCAGCGCTTGCATTCCTTCCACGCGAAGAGTCTCGGGTTCTCTCTTTGCTGCTATGGAGGCTGCGACCCTTCTTCGAGTATCGGGATGCAGCATCAAGACTGTGAATATAGTCGTCTTTGTGTCTCTGACCCTGTCGCAAGCTCCTTCCGGCGCTGGATGCAGAAGTAACGGAACTCACAGATCCAGGGCCGCGACGACGGGTTGGCGTTGGCCAATGGTACTTGGATGAAGAAGGCATTGCCTGGTCAGGAGAGAGGGCGTTGACCTCGTTCGCGAGAGCCTTGAGCTCCAGGTGAAGACCGTGGGGGATTCTATCCCGAGATCCGTTTCGGTGGTTGGCGCGAATGTCGTGGACCTTGGCCATAAAGTCCTTGTTTGGCGAGGGCGGAGATGGCTGGTTGTTTCGGTGTTCAACAGGAGTCTGCCTGTCACGTACCATCATAGGGCTTGCAGTGGCTGCCCGGTGCAATGTGTTGCCGATAACGAGGTTATCTTGTTCCAGAGAAGCCTTGCGAGCATGGGCGCCAACTTCTTGTTTCTCCTTCTTGAAAGATGCCAGTGCTGAATCGATTGCAAGTCGATTGTTAGCATCCATGGTATTCTCACCGATGGAAGGTAGTCGACCTCTAGGTCGGGCAGAGGTCGGGGTGTTGAACCTGCTGTTGCTTGACGGGCGGAGAAATGCAGTGGCTGCATCATAAGCTCCGCCTGGTGAGATTGCAGAATCAGCAATGGGAGTTGGCCCTGCTGCAATGGGAGTCTGTCCATCATCCCCTTGAGAGTAGAACTTCGCCTTCTTTCCAGTGTCTCCGAAGGAGGTGATTAATTTCAAAGCGGAAGTCTTAGCGATGCTCCTTTGAGGGCCACGCTGGACTCCGGGGGGCGAGAGGGGCGGGCTCAGCATTTCGGGTATGCTGGGCGTGATCGTCTGCTGGAAGTTGAGTTGCGTAGCAGAAGGAGATGTCCACGCTTCAGTTGGCTCGGAGTCGGTGCAGGCAAAGCATCGAATTGCGAGCTGCTCGTTGCGTCGTAGGATCTCATGCTTGCCCCATTTGCGGATAATCGAGGCCTGACGCTCCCAAACACTAGGGAATACCAGGCAGGTCAGGATCAAGGCCTCCATATAACGCTTATGAGAAACGTATACTTCAATGGCATCGTTATGATCCCCCATTCCTAGCATAATAGTCACCGCGACGTGGACATCCCCCGTCTCCAGCAGCCGTTGCACATATGTGCGACCGACCTTTTGCTGTGAAGCTTGGCCACCAATGCCGCTCAAGGCCAACAGCATCCAGTCTGAGGAAGTCATATTTTCTGTTCCCGCTGCCATCAAGTCCGTCTCCATCTCACCCAACCATTTGGCAAGGAGAATGCGGTTGGCTGACCCTGTTGGGTGGCGACTCATTTCATCAGCGATCAGGTCCTCAACGTCCTTGTGCCATCCAAATATCGTGCT